ACGTCGAAGCCAACATCGAGGGCTGCTTCTACTTTGAGATTGCGATGTTCGCTTTGCTCAAGTATGACAAGGTGCAGACTCTTTTTGCTACAAACTAGAATTTCATTGACGAAACCTATGGGTAACTCGATCCGCCCTTGAAGGAGACTCGTTTGAGCTAAAGCATGTTTACGACGTTTTGGATTACCAGGTCCTGCCAGTTTATGAAAGGCGGTGAAGTGCGTCTTTCTTTGGAGAAATCCTTAGGCAGCCTCTCTATCAAGAGAAATTGGCGTACAGATCTAAATTTGTAGCAAAATCGAACAGTTTTTGTACCAAGAAGTTTCAGCCAGAGGTTACTGTTGTAGAGTGAGGGTTCTTTGACAAACTGTGAGGAAATAATAATTAAATTTAACAATTTTTAAACCCGATTTTTTTTAAAGATCATGGGGCACTAGCGGTCGTAGCAGACGAGAAGCCACAGTAGTGCACTACTGGTGACGTCAATGCAGGTAATGCCGTTGATGAAAGGGCTATTACGAAATATAGCATTGCTTTGCAGGGCAACAGCAACAGTAAAAACATCCAGAGTAAACATGTCACTTTTGCAAGAAGCTGAGCGTCGCTTTCTTGCTTAGAATCACATGATTGTTACGATTGTGAGGTGCTAGAGCTTCAACAATGAATATGGTGTCAATGAGTCTGTGAGACCTCCGCGATCAGAGCTTGCTTGTTTTGCTAAGCACTACTAAGGATCAGTAAGCTCGACATTGTCTTTCACGGCGCTCAAAGGGATACGTGGTGGCTTGTGTGATGATCGCTCCAATGCTTTGAACTGCAACGGAAAGCGAGTCTAGTCCATACATACACGTCTGATTGAATTGAAGCTCGAGAAAGATGTTTGGATTCGACTGCCAATTGTATCCTGATCCTCTCACGAGAATAATAAGAGTGGAAAGCCAGAGACCACTGGCGGGCCAATGTGGAGCGTGCAGACATTTGACATCGACATCAGGAGGGATACGTAACAGGAATCGCGGCTCCAGGGTCGTCACTGCTTGATGATGTGGTCTTCAATCCAGGTGTCTCTTCAAGCTTCGATATCATGGTGGGAAAGGTAAGTCGTCCGCGTTCATTCTTTTGAGCGCAATGCAGCTGACTTTGTCGAAAGCATGCAGCGTATCCAAGATAAAGTCTTACTGGCTGACACGCGCCGGACGACCACCTTTGGCAAACCCATCGCGTTCGCTCAAGCCTTTGTACCAGCGTCCGCAATTTACAGCCCTCGTCTTTGTGATGTACCTAGGTCTATACAACTCGCTAGATAAAGACTCAAACAACGGTGGAGCACACGTTACATAGGAAGCAAGAAGACAAGACCCAAATTACATGAGATGGCAGTCTTGTATGGTCTTATAAAATACTCGATCGTCAGAGACAACTGTGCTTCGGGAAAAGAGACATCACGTGTGTAAACCTCACCATGTGAGGGCAAACCTGGGGTCGGCAGGTAGTTCGCCACAGGATGCCAACCGATAGGATCCAGGATGCGTGAAGACCTAAAGCATTGCCCGAGCATGTCAAATCCGACTACCGCAACGTCAAAGTCGAGTAGCCTTTCTCGATGTTTACAAACGCTGCGAGTGTCTACAACAAGAGCAAGATGTAGTCGGATGACGGTATAAGGTTTCATCCGGCAAAGACACGTGGGTGCGGCTGTCACTACCCTTATTATCATGCACGAGGCAAACGAAGCCCAATGAATGCACTTTGGCCCTCTGCAGGTGGAACTGGCTTGATATTATTCCAACATGATTCGACGGTGACATCATCACTCTTCGGAAAGATTCACATTGCATTTCTCCTCCTGCCCCACTCCTCCTTTCACCGCCAACACAAGACCTTTTTACAGGATTGCCGTCTCTTTCCGCGGCAGGCTACCGAGTCAGCATCCCAAGTCACCTCGCGTGCGCAATTGAGCATCAACAAGCACGCAGTAGATCTCAGTGGTATTGCGCATTGACAGACTCGTCATAGAGGGACTATTTAGCCCTATCCTAGAACTCGCTATGTGTCTTTGGTCTTTGTTCCGATCTTATCACCATGAATGCGAAAATCTTGCGAGCAATTGTGGAACGGGGAAGACTCTGGGTGCCAGCGATGAATTCACTATCGTCACTTCGAGAGCGGTCGAAACTTCCCCGAAGTATTGAGGAAGCACCTGGAATTTCCCCTCCTTACAATGCTTCACCCTTGGTTCACGATCAACGATACGTCAAGACAAGACTGAGCGTCTCTGTACGTGCTCGGTCCACTCAGGACCCTCATTTGCATGCGTCACATGTTACCCTGCCAATGACATTTCCTCCGATGTTTGAAAAGGCCCTCTCTATGACCCTCCCGTCGATTTCAGGTGCCTTGATGCTGCAGCCGTCCTTGCCCAGCAGGGCACTACACGTTCTACGAAAGGAATCGATTCTAATTCGGCGAAACTGGAGGAAGTCTAGTAAAAAAGCTAAGTGAGATCGTCTATTCTTTCTCAAACCTCCGCACCTTCATCAAAGAGTGCGTCCAAAGTCTCTTGTTCCATGTTTTCCTTGATTTGGACAAGAATCTATTTAGCATAGGAGGCATCCGAGGGAATATGGATACCACCGGGTTTCTCTAGATCGAGTACGTTCCCTTCAATATCGATTACTCCCACAGCGGCCTTCTGTGACTATGTAAAGTAGTGGTAGGACGAGGAATCTTTGGAGAATCAGCTCCGGTTCAAGGGGGCAGCTCAAATTTAAAGATTGGGATACAGATAAAAAATTGAGTCATCTTCAGTGAGGTCCAGGTTCAAGGGTCGCAGTGAGGCATTAAACAGGCTCTTTGATCAATTTGTGGATGCGAGTGATCGGATACGTGCATGGTACTACGCCCAATTCTCGATAGCTCAGGGGTATGGCGGATTTGGAGAGTCGAAATCATGCATGCCTATTCATTATGCGAAGAAATATACTGGTAATGGAGAAGTATTCTGAGCGCTCTCCAAACATTTGCCGTACGAAGACGTGTTTTTAACGATTGGGGACCCCCAAGCTGGAAGGGACAGAAGCCGTATGATACCGGGACATGCCAAATACGTTCAGGTCAATAAGGCGGTGCATAGCCCCAGCCTTTCCGAATATTGAGCCGCAAGAAATCAGCTTCCTACCATTTTCCATTTACATCAGGCAAGCAATCCATTTGTGACAATTGCTTCAGTGACCATCATGTAATGTAACATGAGCCAAGCTTCCCAGGTAGGAGATGTTTCAGGCTGGTACTCGAACGCAAGCAACACCTCTAGGTGAGTAGCTACCGTAGATCCCAGCGTATCTTTATGGTCATATCCAAGACCTGTGATTATTTTCTATTCTCGAGGAAAGCCGCCATGGGCACGCTGCTCCAGTTTGGCTGACATCCAGTAAATCATCCAGCCCAAATGAAACACTCTCCACCGCCTTTTCCCACTCAAACTCCTACGCAGCATAGCAAACCCGCCGAACTACGAAAGGCTGTTCCCCTTCGACAATGACTGCAATGCTCGATCTATCTCAACCCATAGCATCTTAGACGTCCAGCGTTGCCTTAAAAATGCGCAGAACTCGTACGAGTGTAGGACAAGACGTAGTTCTACCAAGTGTGCACTTAAAACAGTCGCGCCCATCACTACAGTCCCTTCTGTTACTACCACCAGCTTGGGTAATACTAAAGTTAAGATTCAATTACGACTCGTTGGTCTACCTGGTTTACGCACGCGACATTCGCTCATCGTCCCAGGACCGAGTACAATGCTCAACATCACCTCGTCTACATGAAGGGGCTCTCTGAAAACTTTGTACGTTGCTCAATTAAGACATAGGAGTTCGTTGGTGATCGCACAGACTCAAGACGCATCAGCGTAATTGTATCATGCCACCGCAAGTCATGAAAAGTGACCAACAACTTTTGCCAAACAAAGATTCAATGGTGCCTTCATGAACAAAGGCTATCCTCGGCTGCGATCAAGCAAGGTAGCCGTCATCTTACCGCTGTCCGCTAAGACGATCAGATGGAAAGTATATCGTTCCGTACCCGAGCCGCTGTCAAGATCCTGGCTTGACAGCTCCGTAAAATCCCGAGTATCAAGGTGGTTTCCAAGCAGGACTGAATATGAAATTTTTATTTTGTCATATGTTGAGCTAAATTGAAGTTGCAGAGTCATCGCAATGGTTGATTGGATGTCGGGGAACTTTGATATCCGGACATTTTTGCGTATTTCCAAATTTCTATTTTCACGTACAAAAGCACGCAGGGGCTTTCGTGATTCGGTGTTGCAGGAGACCATAGCTTAATTCTTTACATTCAAAAGATGACATGGTGTTTAGTGCCTATATGAGTGATGTCAATGACTATCGCCCGATGTTGCGGCTCATCGGGCTGACAAACGTGATGAGCTTCTCTCACAGTTCGGAGTCGGTGGGCTTTGATTATCTAGAGTAGAGTGGATAACAGCGAGAGCACAAAGAACCGCGAGGGACACCTTCGTTGAGTAAGTTATGACTAAATTGAGAGATGTATTGATGGTGATGTGTGAATATCTACACAAGGGATTTGCCTGACAGAAAAGTAATAAACCGAAAGATCCATCTTGGAAACATTTGTGATCGTGTGCTAAAGGACCTCCATCCTTTTTGTCTCAGCTCTTCGGCTGTCCCATTGAGCATATCTTGCAGTCGTAACGTTGAATGAATGTCAGAGAGGGCCATGTCGGGCAAGTGCTTGATCTCCACCCCCTATGTATGGTTATTTTCTTTAGTTGTGTATAAAAGTGAAGGAGCGTATCGTGAGTGATTAGGCCGTGGTATTCCTCGTCTGTAGCGTACTTTGTCATTCTCCAAGGTTCATCGGATTCTTTTTCAGGGCAGTGCATACATGTGTGAAGGTACAACACTTTCTGGTGGAAGTGTCAGCTGCAAATACGCTCTTAAGTCTGGTTGGGTAGGTACTTACCTCTAGGTCATGTAAACGACAAGTTGCTCCATCAAGATATTTAGTTGGGCAACTTCCAGTGTCAACTCTCCAGCGACAAGATCCAGCGCCACGAAACAGCGGACATGCTTTGGCGACTTTTCTTCAAGTTGATCTCGAAGACAGCGACGTCGCTGCTGAATGATGCTCTTCATGTCGTTCAGTAGCTTGGAGAGTTCCACATTTGTTTGCGTAATATTACACTCCACCGGGGTCTTTGTCTCTGGATCCCAGGCTTTCAGGACTCCCAGCTTTGTATAGAGACTGAGTGTAGCTAACTGTTCGCTAGCTTGGTCGTCCATGAAGTGTAGTTGGGAGACTTCCTTTCGGTCATAGCCTATGGTCTCCAGATAGTCTAGATCTGGCTCTGTGAAATCATGGGAGTCATCTTCGAGCTCATACATGGGATACGGAGGCTTTAATCCAAAGAGACCTGCTAGGAGTAAGGGAGTGCACATGAAGACACTGCTAATGAGTATGAGCAGGATAATTTTGGCCATAGTGCAATCTGAAGCTTTCAACTTGCTGGATAGTCTGGGGAGATTCAGGTGGAATTAGAGGGAAGAAAATTTTTTGAGACTTACGTGGAGGTTTTAAGGTGTTGGTGTGTTGCGTTTGACGCTGCTTCCCGATTGCACAAACAAGCAGGTCTTGCCACCGAGTGGCCTGTCATAATGGAGCTCGGGCAGGGAATGCTTCAACATGGTCCAGATAAAAGAAAATTGGAGACATAGGAGCAACAGCCTTCTTAAAATCGTTCTATAAACGTGGAAAAGAGAATTGGGGATTGCGATATTCAAATTTGATAGGCTTGAGTCATTGTCGGTGGTGGTGAGCCACACCATGTAGCTAGCCGCACCGTCTGTTGTGAACAGATTCAAGCACACTCAAAGTTAGCACTGAAAAGGGTTCAGGATGCGTGAACAGACAATTCAGTCAAAACTCGTCATACAAAGAAGTCGCGAAGATGGCAGTCCAATGAGAGAGCGAAAGGTCTCGGCGTACAAGTAAAAACTTTACTTTTTAGGATCGAGCCAGGCGTTCTCAATGGCGTAAGACTCTTGAGGCGGTACAGAGCTGACTACACGCAGTGTTTGACCATACATAGCAAGTGAAAAAAGTCTTGCCGCTATCTGTCGCCAACCAAATTGATCTGTGGATTACAACTTGTGTACTCAATTCTCAGAACCCCAAATTACTCTACCATCGTATTCGCAGTAACAGACATGAGATCAAGCCCACATCATTGGTACTTCCGTTCACGTGAAGTACAAGCCCAGGAATAGGATGTGTCATATTAGTTGACCATGAGGACTGGCTTCTCCAAGCCCGTCTTGAAGCAGCATATTTCGAGTTCCGCCTGTGAGGCTGTAGACATAGCTGGCTGTGGCCGATGGAAAGATAATTTTAAGAATTCGAATAAAATGGCGTGGGGATCCGAAAGATAAGTGATGTTGTTGTTGCAGATTTAGGTGCCGAGTCTGTGCTCAAACTTTTCGTCGCTCATCGAAATCGCGAACAGTTGAGCCTTAAAAAGCCTCAGGCAATTGACTTCGGACCCGTAGGGTATAATGTCTAGATAGAATGTCAATTAACACGATTCAGCACTCAGTAGGACGTCGGACCTGCATTTAAACAATGTATCTCGCCCAGTCCAAAACCTGAGTCTGTATGAAGGCAGTCACTTCCTCATTCCAATGGACTACACTCTCAGTGTAAATGCCGCGGTATGGTGCCATATGCTTCAACTCGGGACGTAGCCACTGGCGTCGTTGTGCAAACTTCCCCTGCTCAATACTCAAGACCACGTAGTCCTTCATGGTCTTCATCACAGTCTGCCAGTCCACATGTTTGATGCTCTTAGCTCGGAGGGTTTGTCGGACTTGATGACCCACGTATCTATGGATCGACTTGACCTTTTCCTGGAGTAAATTATTGAAGTTGTCTATTCGCACGATGTCTTCTCGCTTGTAACCCAGTGTTTCGAATAGGATCAGATCTAGTCCTGTGAACCGTCGATTCGCCTTTTGCAGTTGGGAGATATTCGAGCCAGCAATATCCCAGAGGCCTACTGACACAGCGATAATGAAGATAATGCCAAGAACTCGAGTCCAATGGACCATGTTTGCGGTAGAAGTTTGGAGGAGAATTTATGACTAGAACTTTCCAAAGCAATTGTACAAAGTCATGCAAGAGGGTGGCAAATTGTGTGAACTTGAACCATGAGATGTGAGGAGGAAAGAAGAGTCATCCAAGCACGCGTCCAATTTTTATAGCAACCTGCTGCAGTGTGTAATTCCGCGTATTGGGAAGCGCGTAAACAAGAGGGATTTGCCACAAACAGGATTGACACAGTATCCAAAAAGGGGATCAATATTTCCGCACGTAAGCAGGATACCAGATGAGCTATGCTGTTATTCTAGTAAGTACTCAATTCTTTGTCATCGAATATGAAGACTAGCCAGGCATGGCCTGTCCATTCAAGACGCTTGAGTAACAACGTGAATCGTTTTTGCCCCACGTACAACAGCAATCCGCGATAGTAGAAGTCTTTCATTGAGCAACTTACTGTCCTGGTACCGGCCACGATACGCAAATTCAGAGCTGGCTAACTCCTTGGTGAGCAAATTCACACCAATGCTCTGAGCTGTTTGTAAGAAATTTCAGGTCTCACTAGTCAAAGAAGTATTACACGCTGGCCAACAAACTTGCACGTATGAGCATCTGCACCTCTCCTGGCGAAAAAGAGATTGCTGCTACCGAGACTGTCACCACCTGCAAAGCTTGCATATAATTGTGCAAGATCCATCGGGATGACATCTTACCAGAACCACAACCAAAATGGGGACGTGTCTAATTTGTGAAAGCTTCAGCCTACTCCACTCAGCAATACTGACAGGCTAGAGGATCGACAGGCCTCGGACCCTACCCCGCCTTGAATTGGATCTTCAGCTTTCGCTGCCTATGCCTTTCATCATACTTTTGTGCAACGAAACTCATCAATATTTTCAGTAGAGAGAGACATGGACTTTTAGTGTCATTAGTGCTGCACTCTTCGATATGCGGCTGCTGCATACCTCGACTCTGCAGCTAGTAGATTTTCCAAGCAATCAGATCCCGGACTATGCCATTCTTTCGCACACATGGCAAGAAGATGAAGTTCTCTTCGCTGACATGCTATCAGCCAAGGCTCGAGAGAAAAAGGGATACGAAAAGGTTCGAAGCTCTTGTGAAGAAGCTCTCCGCCGTGGGCTGGAGTACATCTGGATTGATACCTGCTGCATCAACAAAGACAGCAGTGCCGAGCTTTCTGAAGCCATCAATTCCATGTATAAGTGGTACGAAAAGGCTATCATTTGCTTTGCTTATCTTGCAGATGTGCCCGCAGACACATCTTTCGAAATTTCAACGTCGGCCCTGACGGGTAGCAGATGGTTCCAAAGGGGCTGGACTCTACAAGAGTTGATTGCGCCATCAAACATGAATTTCTTCTCGTGTGACTGGACTGAGATCGGCAGCAAGCTCTCACTGCGTGGGATCATATCGACGATAACCGGTATCAATGAGGATATTCTTGCCGGTGTTTCTGGCTTTGACAGTGCAAGTGTGGCAAAGAGAATGTCTTGGGCATCTCGAAGAATCACAACCCGAATCGAAGACAGCGCATATTGTCTTATGGGACTCTTCGAAGTCAATATGCCTATGCTTTATGGAGAAGGCGAGAAAGCCTTCTTGAGGCTGCAGGAAGAAATTATCAAAAACTCGGACGACCAGTCTCTCTTTCCTTGGATCGATCCCAAACTACCAGCAGACTCTCATCATGGGCTTTTTGCGAACTCGCCTGCATGTTTCGCAGAGTCAGGCGATGTGTTTCCATACTGCGAAGGGGAAGCTAGCACTCCATACTCGGTCAGCAACAAAGGTCTCCGGATTGAACTCCATCTCCGTCATCATAAAGACGACCTTTATTTTGCAGCGCTCCGTTGCCCGGCGCCTCCAGATTATGTGCAGTTTTTGGGTATCTATGTGAAGCGTGTTCCTACTGGCCATCTTCAGTACACAAGAGTGAAGCCTCAAAGTGTCTACAAGACTGGTCTTAGAGGAAAGCTTGAAACACTTTATGTACGCAGCTCACCTTCAAACAGGCCCCAAGATTTCTATCCTACACATGTATTTCAGCTTCGAAACGGCCTACTTCGTGAATGTGAGCTGGTTGTAATCATCTGGTATTCCGGCCCAAATTACTCTGCGCCGCCTGCTATTGAGTGCAAGCAAAAGTGGCCCCCCACCGCGATCAACCTTGTCTTTTTAAGATCAATAAACAAATCAATGGGCTTTCTGGAGCAATCATAATCAAAAGCAAGTGCAGTGGAAAGTTCGCTATCATGCTGGGTTCCAGAAACGCGTTCGATGTTGGGTTTGACGTGACGACCAGCATTCATGATAATTGTCTTTCCAAGGAGACTCAGAAGATATTCAGTCCAAAAGCACCGGGGACCTGTATGGAACTCGGTAAACTCATGGTTTGCGTCAATGTGCAGCCGCAGATGCAAAACGGGATCAAGTACTATCTGGTGGACCTCGTTGTTGAACCAACTGGCCGTGAGCCAAGTCCTCAAGATGGACGTATTGCCGAAGTTTTGAGTTCTAAGGAGGATAGATTAGGCAGTACTGTCAAACTTTCTGGTCATCGGTGGAAGCATTCCTTTCCGTGGAAGGATAAACAGCCGAGACTCGAGCCAGAACTGAGCTCTTTGCGCTCCAAAGAGCATGTCAATACCTCTGATTAATTAGAAGTCAATCATTTCCGGATACGCAAACGTGAGCAAGACTCAGAGAGGCCTCAGAAACGGCAAAGTTTCCATCCAGATGGGTTGCTGGACCGCCAGGGGTTCTGGTAGATGGACCAATTTAGAGGCTGAGCCAACTACTAGCGGTCTAAACCAAAGTGCAAACCCACTATCCAAGTGCCCGTTTAGTTTCAAGGCATTCTTATTGACATTTCCATGGAATATGAGCTTGGGACATTGTAAGTAGACCAATCGGGGTGCCTATCAGCTCTTACCAATCCTTTTACAATTCCAAACCAACCTTTAACCCATTAGTTGTGCCATTTTGATCGAGTATGGGCTTTGAAGTGGACCACTTGATGGTTGGCCACTCTGCTTTTCAGCTGGTGGGATGGCATGCTTCGGAGGAAATGATTCACTTCAATTCGCCCGATTATCTCGACGGTAATTTTACGCGCCGGCTTTTCGTATTAAGGAAAGTCAGCTGACTTTATCTTAGAATACTGTAAAGTTATCTCACGCTATCTCTAGCGCATACACAGTAAATTACGATGCCCAATCACCAAAGGACGACAGGTCCTTGCGCCGACAATATGTTCGAACATGATGGGTACTCTTGAATCATGATTCAAGACAACTTGGACATGACTTTGGCTGCGACATGGATCTTCTAGAGCTAGCGCATGGGAGCAGGGTGATGTATACAAAGGGCGGCAAATTACTCCAAGCTCCGAGCGCTTCAAGTCCCTACCAATTGTTTTCTTCTCGTGAATGTTGAAATCCTTCCGACACTGGCAGCAACAGCTCCTCAAGTATACCTACACAACAGCGCAAAAGCATCCTTCCTTTCAATTGACCCAAGAACGCCACCTTCTCCAATCCGCGATGTCCCGCTATGCAGACGCTCACTCTGCGCCGAAAGGCCCTGGTGATGCTCGTCCAACTGCTCTCCAAATCGTCAAGGATGAGGGTCTTGAGGGCAAGCTGATTGACAAGGTGGTACTCATTACAGGGTGCTCATCAGGCCTGGGCATCGAAACAGCTCGAGCGATCGCTGCTACAGGTGCCAGGATCTTTGCTGGTGTACGCAACGTCCAGAAGGGCGAAGACGCATTGTCCGACATTCTCAAGAGTGGGAAGGTAGAATTGTTAAAGATGGATCTCAATTCCTTGGAGAGCGTCAGGGCAGCCGCAGAGGTCTTCAAAAGCCGGAGCGAAAAGCTGAACATCATGATAAATAACGCTGGTATGTGGACCCACAACATTACCAAGCATAGACCCGGCGTGCTCAGCTAGTTCGTTGTACAGGTGTCATGGCTACCCCTCAAGGCAAGACAGCCGATGGCTTCGAGACTCAATTCGGCACGAACCATCTAGCCCACTTCCTCCTGTTCCAACTCCTCAAGCCACTCCTCCTCTCCTCTTCCACCCCTGCATTTCCTTCTCGCGTCGTTGCCCTCTCCTCATCCGGTCATCGCACTCACGGCATCTTTTTCGACGACTACAACATCGAAAAGACGGCCTACAATCCCTGGGTCGCCTACGGGCAGAGCAAGACTGCAAACATCTATTTAGCGAATGAAATTGAGCGACGGTATGGCGACCGCGGATTGCACGGATATAGTCTTCATCCAGGCGGGATACAAACCGGATTGCAAAATCACTTGGGCGAAGATATGCAGGCGATGATGAAGCAGCCGGATATCGTGAGAAACATGAAGAGTCCAGAGCAGGGCGCTGCTACTAGCGTATATACAGCGCTAAGTAGGGAGGCAGAAGGGAGAGGAGGCAGGTTTTTTGAGGATTGTGCGGAAGCTCCGCCCGTGGGCGATGGGAAGGGGATGATGGCCGTGGGATATGCGACTTGGGCTTACCATGAAGAGGGAGAAAAGAAGCTTTGGAAGGATAGCCTGAAGATGGTAGGGTTAGAGGATGATGTATGAGTCAAGGGGATAAACTTGACCATTATAGAGACCGATTTCCAGCGGGCATCGACCGCACGTTGCAATGCTCCACACTCTCTTTTGGCTCTTGCTTGAAGTTTCATACACGGGAGCTCTGCAGACGAAGGTCCCGAGATCGAGTTCTAGACTGTGCTTGAGCTCGGATGATGATAATCATACAAGAGCTTCCTGGCTGGCTTGCCATTGTCATAGGTTGCTCGAAGCTTTGAGAAAGGTGTGCGGCTTCGGCGTCATCACTGTAGAGCAGAAAGAAACAAGGGGCTTTGAATGTTGTGACAGCGCAGTATCTTGTTCTTCGACCAAACTGGACCCGGTTGCTCTGCATCCTTCCGTCATGGTTAACGCTAACCAGGATTTCAAGGGGGCATCAGGAAGTGGGTTGCCAGTGGAAGCGCCCCCACCTGATTTTTCCTTCCGCTAATGCAGCTAATAATACAAGATGTGATGGTTGCGAAGTCACGTGAAACTCGATTCAGCCTTGAGGACCCGAGATGGTACAGTCTTTCTCTGCTCATATCGAAGCATTGTCTCCGTGAAAGGGGAATGCGCTTTTGGGTCAGGAGAGCTCTTTGAAGTTGTGTGGTTCTTGTATATGGCTAGAGCTGACCCAATATCTATCGCTCGAAAACGTCGCAATGACGCCTCCGAATCGCGCTCTGACATTAGAGGCACAAAGAGATGATTTATATGTCTCTAAATTGAGAATGAAGTTTAGCTCCCTGTTGACTCGGTCTCAAATCCCAGAAGATGTCGTAGAGCGCCACATGAAGGCTCAGATTTCCCTGTGCCGACGGGAAGACCGAAGATTTTTCAGGCGTCTTTGGACCGACTACAGATGGTTTAAGAACAGATCTGTCAAACCACTTAGCGACCGAATTTTCTACAGTTGGAAATTTGAGGAGGAGACGAGCACTAGCGGGAGTCAAAGTACTGGCTCCCACCCTTTAAAAAAATACCATGTCACTGACTGACTAAGCCAGGTGAAGTCGAAGAGTTGTTATTTGACGATAAAGCGAATTTCTCGACTTTGATGTCAATGTTATCTCAACATCTGCTTTCGCCTTGTGGGAATGGACTACGCTTGTTGTACGTTCACTATATTTTCCTCTCATCGGCAATCCTAACTCAATTCCGTGTTTAGCACATTTTCTCACGACACAACCGCACAGACGCACACAAAACTCTTTAGTGCTAGCCACAAGATACTAGCAACACTCCAAGGGCGTCTTCACTCGCTTCCCCTCGCGCCAAATGATGTTATTGCCTTTTACATCGCCCAAACTTTGCACCTACCGTGGCGATCTTTGAAGGCCCCCACAGATGACTTTTGGCAAGGAACAACGTTTCGCAGGCGTCATCCACCTTCTGTTGGTACGTTAGACTCACCCAAACCAGATTTCATATATCTAGGGTGTCTAAAAGGCCTGGCATATCTAGTGATATCTCGAGGAAACCTAGATCCACAACAAGACGAGCACAATTACATCCATCTTCAGTGGCAATCACAGGCACCTATATTCTCGGGTGATCTGCAGATTTATATGTGGGAGCAACATAAAGCGGCTCCAAGTTCTGCCCATGCTAGAGTCCGGCTTTTCCCTGGACGAGAGGACAGAGAAACGACATTGGTTATTTGGTTCAGATACAAAAGGACGCTAAAATCATTCTACCTTCGCCGAGAATCTATGTCCATGGAAAATAGAAGTTTTACTTCTATCGATCAAATCTGGTCGCCTTTCAGCGAAGTCTTCCTGTCTGTCTGTGCATTGTTTCAGATAATCATCGTTGATACGACAGACTTTCTGCATGAAGCTCATCGACAGATGGATAGCATGGCACGTAAACCATTCTAGATATTATCGCAAGTGTACTGATCGTGATATTCTTATAGAGTATTCTTGCTCGCCAGAACCCAAGTACCTACAAAGTCCGGTACCTAGTGCATTTAGAAGATTGTCGTTCAACCGCTTACAAGGGGATAATGCATGGAGTTTTCGTCCTTGATTGCGTCTCTGAATGGATAAGTACTCAACATAGAGAGAGACCTCTATGGAACGCTGGGAAACCGTTCGAAGACCGCAGGACGGAGCTGAAGACTGATCTGGAGTTTCTCTGCAATGAATTGCTTGAGATGGAAAAAGAAATACTCAAGCTGAAGAGCGGTCTTTACGAGCACCAGGCTTTGGCGCATGATCGCCGGAACTTCACTCTAACCTTCCTTGCTGCAGTTTTCCTGCCACTCTCATTCGTTTCGACATTCTTTGGCATGAACATAAGCACCGCAAATTCTGCAAGCCCAACAGGGTTCTCTAATTGGACTACTGACTGGATAGTCAACTCACCTACAGATACCCAAAACTCGACTAAAGCGTTAGTATCTACAATCGGTACCTCGGGGACACTCACCTTCAGTTGGAAAACTTACGGCGTGACCGCAGCCTGTCTCGTTCTAACTCTTCCACTTTCACTCACAGTAGGAAGCATTGTGCGCAGCATATACAGGAGCACAACTTACTACGCGACATACTGGCGTGTTCTCGCAGTATTTCCGAGCCTTGCGTTCGTAATCCTGAGTATTGGTGGAAGTTACATCCCCGTTTGGCTCCTAACTGTGGGGGTTAACAGCCTACTAACGCTGTACCTACTGTTGAGGTCGATTCTGGCATGGAGAAGTCGGCGAAGGCGTTGGACCTGGACAGTTCTGACACTAATTACAGCTTCCTGCGTCGGGCTAAGTGTAGTGTCTGGTGAGTTCCCGATAATGGTTTTGCCCTGGTTTAGCTTTGCTTTATTTTGGTTCTGGCCTTGGTGGAAGAGGCGGACACAGGAGAGGAATCGACAGCAAGATGCGGTCGCGGATGGCCTGGAGATGACTGACCAATCTCAATCTCAATCTCACACGCAAACGGGTGGTGTGCAAACATAGAAGTCGGATTACAGAGGCTGGCGCATTGACGGTCACCATAGACAGCCTCTTGACGGCGGTAGACCAAGCAGTCTTAGACCGCTCAGTACATATCCACGGATGCCGCCATCATACCTCTTCCACCGGATCACCTTGCTATCGGTGAGCTTTCATGAGCTCTTTCATTCTTTCATATCTTACCTGCACAAGCCTGCGGAGCTGTTCGGGTGAGTTAGAAGTATCATCCGCCCCGCTCCGCCAAGGCTGCCAAGGCTGTTCCCCTCCTTTAATCTCCCCGCCGGCAGGTCTTATCGCACCGCTTTGCCCTCAAACATGCATAAGGCAAGCCATGATTGGTTCAACTCGAGTGGCTATTGATCTAGTGTCTTCCGTAAGCGAGACGAAAAGTGGACAGTGCAAGCTCAAGGTTACATTTACTCGGACCAGCCTGTCATTAACCTTTCTCAGCCTTGTTGACTACCTGGTAGTCGGGTACGACGATTTCCTCGTAGGCGCGAATATATTTAATGAAGGGGATGGGCTTTTTTGAAATGGCTGGATTTGATCTCGAGGCTTTTAAATAGCCTCAACTCCACCACGATGACTGCTTTCACACTAATCATCGCGTTCCAATTGCTGAGCGCAGGCTCGGCTCTCTCCCCCATTGAGCCATTCCTGCTAGCCAAGCCAGACTTCAGCCTTGTAGAGCAGCATCAAGGGAGATGGTCAAACATGTCCATCGCCTTCGATGATCCACTAGATGAGCGCCATCTCTTTTCAAGACAATCTCAAGGCTGTGAGGATCCTGGCTACGGTAATATCTCCACAGTCTTGGCCGGCCCTTGCTCGAAAACCTCCCATCTAATGCGTTAGCAGTACCCTGCCCAAACATCGATAAATGCTGTCCCGCTGGCGACTCATGCCAACAAAGTGGCTGTTGCAGTTACGGCCAAGTTCAATGCTCGAGTAGCTCGTGCTACGATCCAGAAACGCAAGTCTGCTGCAAAGACGGTTTTTCTTGTCCGAAAGGTCGCGACTGCGTGCCCGGGGGCTGTTGTCCAACAGGCCAGCAACCGTGCGGGGCATCTCACTGCTACGATCCGGAAAAGGAGCAATGCTGCAAGGACGCCTCGCGCGGATGTGACAAAGATCTCACCTGCTGCGGCCAAGACTGCTGTTCAAAGTACGCGAAATGCAACAACGGTGATTGCGAGGGGATCACGTGCACGATCACAAGTACTTACTCGACCACGAGTTATGCCACACACGTGAATACCATAACTAAAATCCAAGAGCCCGACGGAGAGGAGGAAGCTCCGGAATTCACCTGTGTACCTGTGACTGCAACAGACGCTGTGGGAGACACGTTAGAGTTAGGTGATGATTGCGGATTGACGTTGCAGCTCGCTATTTTCAACTCCACCAACTCATCATCGAGCACGACGGCGACACCGACACCGAGAATGAAGCCGAGAGCCCCGCAGGCGTCGCCAGCGGACGATACATGTCTTTACACCAGCACAAACATAGTGACATATACGAAGAATACGATCACGACTACCACCACGACTGTGACCAGGGAGGAGCCTACCCAGAGCTTTTCGTGTCCGCCTATGAGTGTCACGAATGGCGTGGGCGATGAGTTGAGCTTGGATGAGGAATGTAAGCTTGCGTTCTCGCCTGGAAGCAGCTCAACTGCGGCGGCGACGACGGGTAGTAGTCAAGGACCTGCTCCTACAAGCTTGAGCGAGGGAACGAGATTACGGAGCGCTTCCGGGTACGCGGTTATGCTCGCCGCACTGCTCTCGACACTTTTTTGTATTTTATGAATGAGAACGCATCTCAATCCTTCCCCACACCTGTTTCAGGCCAGATAACGCAATCTGGTGCTAATGCAACAAACACTGCGCCAATGCATGCAAGCCTTAAGCCATGTGCATTTGCATAACTAGTGTGACTCATGATCCCCACTCACCCAGCCTTACGCGAGAATGAGGCTCTGTGGGAGTCCAGGTGGCTATAAAGGGATGCTCGCTGGAGCGGAGCGCCCGACAGAAAGCCTGACAGCGATGTCAGGATCAAAGCTACTCGAACGAGTCTCGCACTCATTCCACTTCCGTGACCACCATAAGCAGGCTGGCAATGTCATGGTTGCGCCGCTTTATGAGTTCAGCCTTAGTGTGGATGAATCCAGTTATGTTGCGACGATTGAAGACGTGCGGAGGATGTTAGAGGATACGTTTCAAACCACGTATCGCACTGAAGACATCCAGGTATGCTCATTTCCATAGCAAGGCGATGTGGAAGCTAACAAAGTGGTTAGGAGAAACAACACCGTTGGAAGTTTCTCGCTCCACGAAATCTCACAACAGAGGAGAAAAGGTCTTGTTCATACATGAGAAGTGTCTCGGATTGAGCTGATTTCTCTGCAGGCAGTGGTTCAGAAAGCTCGAGATAGAGAGAAAGGCAGCGAAGAAGGCGGCCAGGACGAATTCTGGGGGGTCGGCGAGCAGGGTCTGAGCGCGTGCTTCGAAGCGAGAGTGGGCACACTGATGCATGGGCAGTAGCGTGACGCACCGCGGTGCCCAATGGACTTCCTTTTGGGATCAGGCTGAGGAGCTGAGAAGGTTAGAGGGTGGCTGTAACCGAAGCGATGAGTTAGCAGTCCTGTAGCCTAATCACAGTGCATTAGCGCTCTTCATTCGGACCCAAATGGTAGGGTGATTGCAGCCACTGCCTTGATCACCTGCTCTTCCTGGCGCCCTAGCTCTTCGAGTCGTTCTGGTGTTGCGATGGCAATGAGTTGCAAGTCTGACAGCCAGGCTTCTTTGCGCCACAACGCAAGATTATTTGGAGCACGGCTTGCCCACTCTATGTGTCACGTCGATAACGACACAAACGATCTTTCTACGGCACGAAAAGTCAGCATTGATTGATAAGTGAACATGCCAAGGACGATCCAGGGATGGCAAAGTTACGGTTCTGAATCCAGTCTACCGATCAGCTTGACATCTGAGGCCACATCTGCAGGCAATCGTCTAGACAAGTTCTCTTCAAGTCACTTATCTAGTAGTGTAGACCTGAGATTCTTAGATCTAGGCGAAGACGGTATGTACATATGACTGTCTGGATTTAGGTTATGAAATTCTCAAAATATCTGACGAATTGTAGGGACGCTCAACTCGCGGAGCGAGGCATACATGGTTGCGAGCGATGTTGAGGCCCAATTGCCAAAGTTGGACAAGAAGAAGTCGCGTCTGAGAATAATGTGGGTCAAGCCGTGGTGGCCCCTATATTTATTGACCTCGCCAGCTCCCTACATTCATATCAAAGTCCGCAGCCAATCGAGATCACAGCCTCATTGTTGCGTAAAATTTTCAAGTTTCATGACGTCGATCTTGATTTTCTTGACGTCCTGTTTTCGTTTGGTAGATCACCAAATCAGACAGAAAGTGGAGCCTCAAATTGGACAAGTAAGGCGGAGGGCAATGGGTCGCGAAAATTGTCATATCAATTAAAATATGTCGAGCCAAATCCACTGCCTGGAAAACACACCTTTTCTCCTCGACAGACTGGCATTTATCATCATTCCTGCAAGGCAGAAGGCTTCGATTTGTTGATCTTGTTGCATCCAAGGGAAGAAACTCTACTTGAACAGCAGATCCTCAAGATGGTGCAGGACAAACAAGCAGCGAAGAAGCTTGTAGACTACCCAATGAGGGTGCATCTGCTTGCATATGAGCTCTATATTGGCAACTGGCGTTGGTATTTGCGAGATCTTGGCGAAGAATTAGATCGCAAGGTACCGACCGAGTCCCATCCACGATACACTGCTTCTTTGCCACTGACCTCTCCTCAGAACGACAAGATAATGATAGTAGACCTGGATACGCCCGCAGCTGTGAGCTTGAATCTCGAGAAGGTGCAAGCCCTTCGCAACCTAGGGGACAAGACGCTCACCTTGAATGGTCATTGCACCAGCGCAAAGACTGTTCTAGAGAAATTGAAAGTAATTCCGAACAATGGTTTTACAGATGGCTGGGATGCCGAGCCGTATGTAAATCGTCTAGCTGGGTACATCGACTGCATCCCAGCATTGACATCACGTGTCCAGAATTCGATCGAATTGGTAAGCTGCATCCTTTGGTTCATGCGCAGGATGCTAATGATTGTTCCAAGCATGCATATGCTCTCGATTTGAAAAACCAATTCACTGCAGCAGACATTAATCAGCAAGTTGAGAACATCGCGGAGGATACGAAGCGAGATACTACCTCGGTGAAATGGATCACATACCTCACATTAATATATCTCCCGTGGAGTTTTACGGCAGTAAGTCTAGCGGTGTCATTGCCTGGAGATGCAAACGGTGTTCTGACAGCGCCTAGACATTGTACGGAATGAACGTCTTTTGGTTCAATCAGAGTACCAGACGTCTGGCCGTTTCTCAAGATATTTGGATTTGGGTTGCAACAGCTGTGCCCTTGACCGTCCTGACAATCGGGTGCTACCGCGTCATGAACACATATATCAAGGCCAAGCCTCATAACGATAAGCTTTTTGCTCAGGCCAATGTTGAAAAATCGATGAGCGGCCCTTGAATGCCGAGCACGATCAGTTCCTTCAGATATTCGGTCGAATCAGGAGGACCTTGTTCTAGCCTTCAGGGAGCTTGTACATATCGCATAATGCCCTTCTTTGGACAGCAGATGATGAGCTCGTAGTGTCTACCAACATGCTGGATGGCCATTACAGCTCGTGATTCGCTTGTGACTTTATCTGCTAGCTTATGCTTTTTCACGAAGCTCTTCTTGCCCTGGGACGAAGTTGCGATCTCAAAACCGAAAATGCCACCGTTTCGAACGCACAGTAACATATCCTCACTTGGAAGCAAGCCACATACGGTCTTCTTCATTTCGGTTGGATCCCTTTCCTTCGCCTTTCGGTCTTCAGATGACGGCTGAGCGATAAAAGCGCTGTTCAATTCGCCGATGACGCAAAACATCGAGTTGAAGGAGGGCCAGATTGCGCTTTCATATACGCTAGAAGTCTCTTTCTGCGACAATTCAGTAATTGCAGCCTAAAGGCTTTGCACAACTCACTCCGCTAATGCCAATCGAACGGATTGGCTCTAATGATTGTGTCGTCCCTTCACAATTAAAAACGTTGACGTGGTCATTAGCGGCGCCTGGCCCTTTGTTCCATACGAAGAGAATAGGTTCGTTTCTTGCGAAGGCGATTGCACCCACTCGAGCGCCGTCATGCTGAGGTACATTGATCTTGAATAGCTCAGCTGAGCTGGACACTTCGTCAACACATATGCAGATGAAATCTCAAATGATGGCTTACTGTGGAAAATGCAGACGGACGTGTGTTCTGTACGCGCACGCCGTCACGCCCGTGCAAGATATTGTGACTTTCGAGAGCACACCATGAAAATCTTCTTTGAAAATCCATGGCCCACCTTCCAGACTTTCCGCGTCGAGGTCGTAAATCTCTATCTGTGGAGTCTCAGAGTTAGCTTAGAAGGCCTTCGACCCTTAGATTGACGAGACGGGCTGTGTGAGGTGCTGCGATATAGAAAAGGAGGAGATCGGTCACAGGGGAGCTTACATGTTTGTTATTATTGTTGTCACTCCCCCAAGCAGCAAAATACGGATACGCTAGACACAAACCGGCATTGCTGAGCTTTGTACTCAAACCTCGATTCTCAATTTTCGATGTGCTAGTGCTAGTGGGCATTACCCAAACTCGACTTTCATCTGTTTCACATAAAACTGCAGCTCGCGCTCCTGTACTCTCGACTGCAAGTGCCCTAATACTCGATCTTTCCACGCCAAACTGAAGTGGTTTGGACGGTTCTAGGCGAAAGACTTTATCGGATCGTAAAGGAGTTGAGGGTCTGAGTTGCAATGTCAGTAATGGAGGTGTATGGATCGGTCTTCGACTGACTGGTGCTGCGGAGCTTTCTGTGGTATTTCCAAGTCCTTGAAAGGCGTTGTTGGTAGACATGTGACTAGGTGTTGTCTGAACGGTGCTGCTCCGCTGACTTGAGATTACTTCGATATCATTTACTGACTCTTGTTCGGGGGGCGTATCAAACTCAGCGCGCTGAGGCGTTCTATCTCCATCATGAAATATCGATCCATTCTGTTGATGGCCCAAGGGTACAATTTGATGTGCGACTTGAGGAATTGTCAAGGCACTTGGACCGGGTTCTGAGCTTGGCTGTATGGATTGGTACTCATTGCGTGCCAATTCACTCAACGATGAGTGGATATGAGCTATGCCTGGTCGGGAGGCTTGACAAGGTCTCAAGATTTCTCTAATCAGAGCGATCCACTTGGGCACCCAAAGCGGTACGCTGGCTGTCTCAAGCCTCCTAAGCCAGGCAACAAGGTTTGGTTTCAGCACGGTATTCGCTTCGGTAACGACACTTTCGGCAGTGATAGATGTAATGCTTGACTCGTAGAATCTGGCGTTCTGGCCGTCCCACTTGGCGCGGCGCATATCTTTGACTCCTTGATTCTTGGCCAGACTGAAGCCCAACAAGTCGCACATCACGCACGCGAACGACCACTCGTCGCATCTCCGACTATCCAGCCTTTCACCCTCGCCTTGTGCAAATAGTAGCCTAGACTCTTTGTCTTTTTCTAGTACGACCTCAGGTGGCTGGTATGGACCATGTCCCCGGGGGGCCTTTGATGTTGATGAGCTTGTCACACGCTCGGCGAAATCTCTAAGGGTTACGTTCTGGTTGGGTCTGGCATTTGTGGACTTTTCAAAGGCTGAAATACCAAAATCTGTCAGTTTCCACTCGCCAGCTGGTGTTTTCACGTCATCTGGATGGCCATCAATGAGAATGTTGTCCGGTTTGAAGTCACAGTGAGCGATATAATAGTCATTGTTGCCATATATTTGAAGTTGTTCGTGAAGAAACCGTAGCGCACCTGCTAAACTCCAGGCTTGCTTGATGATTGCCCTTTGTCTAGTCGTCTCATTCTGAAGCAGAGGAAATCTGTTTTCGAAAAGATACCACTGTTTTGAATCTGTGGTGCCTTTCTCTGGGTCGGCACCTTCACGGAGAAAGATCTCAAGATTGAAATGATGTACGTAGGGAAACAGGATCAAGAACTTGTAACCATCCTGAGAGTTACCATGCTGGATAGCAGCGAGATGCCGAAGAATGTTTTTCCGATCATTTAAAGAATCTTTAATGAGATCAAGTCTTTTGACCTCTCTTTGAAACGAGACCTCAGATCTGTCTGGCTTGAACTCTTTGCAAGCAACAACTTTGACCTTTGTGTCTCAGAATGGGAAACATCTGGCAGGAGAAAAGACTCACATCTTGAAAAGGTAAACTTGTCCCATCTGATAAGACCTCCGCAAAGCACTCAGCTGCAATAGTCCTCTTGGTCACCTCTCCTGATCCACCTCTACCCAGCGGCTCCGGGTTATCAATGAATGGGAGACGGTGGTTTTGATCGACGGTTTGTTTGTCATTTCCCTCGTTATGCTCGATCACGACTGGCTTGAACATGAATTGATAGTCGTGAAAAATCTCTTTTTGAGCTCCGAGAACATCCAGCTGTGCCAGACTAAAGAAAAGATTACTATCCTTTAAATCGCTCCGAAGGAAGACTGGTCGGAAGCGCTGAAGATCCCATCCTATTAGCACTAGGAGCGAAAGTACGCGCAGATAGTCTGTCTTCAGTGCTTTTAACTCCTCACGATTAAGATTCTCAAAAGCTAGAATGGAAGATGGCGGATGTCTGTCCCAAATTTCGTCCAGCTTTTCCTTCGTGATGAACTTCTCGCTCATTCTGTTCGGAAGATACATCGCGGCTTTGATTTCTCCTTGGATTTTAATGATGAGTTCGTCCCCGAAGGAACCTTGGTGGCTCAGGACTTGTTGTGATTTCTCCTCATGGCGGGAAGGGCCAGGTTTTTCCCGATTGAATAGTCTCCTCATCCAAGCCAGCATGTGCATTTGAAAAGGGGACTTCAGAAGGCAAGCATAGACACTTCGTATAAGAATTCAGGAGATCAGAATTCCCGTCGAATTTGTTTTAAGCGCATACAAAGTCATACTTATTGTCAAGTATCACCTACAGAACGCTCCAAATATTCCATAGACACCGAATCGTAAATATGCAGTGTCCACGGCGCACATAGCTTAGCTGCTACCTTGGTCGCCCTTCTGGGCGTGAAGTGTTCAGAATCTGGAATTCATGTCTTTGGAGTATAATGAGAATGTTGATAAGAAGAAGTCCTACTTAGCGACCATAGATGAAAAACAAGGCCCCCAGGCGATCGTGCGATTTAAGGGTCAGTGACAAGGCCAGCGAGTAGCACGAAATTGGGGGACGCTTAGACCTTGGCCCCCAAAGTTCATGCTAATCTTGCTCGTGAGCTGGGCGCCAGACAGTCGAAGCCACAGTATGAGTCTGCCTGACGAAAGATAGTGACTGGCGAATGAGAAGAAGCTCGTTGTCGCCGCACGACGCGCTAAGACGCCATTGTGTACAAATATGGCCGCAGATCTCGGGACGAAGCCAAAAAGGTGTGCTTGCGCAACGCTCGAATCGAATCGCAACTGCTTTTGACCGACAAATAGTCATGCGACACCCCTCGTCATCCCTGTCTGTGGCTTCTCTGACTGATTAGCCCACGCCAATTACCGCGCTAGCCCACACACCCTGTGCACAAGGCAGCTCACGCTGGCCAGAAGAGGAAAGGTGACCAGCCACGTCTCTCGGCGGCCGAGAAGGGCGCCGCGGGCGAAAAGGCTCTGTGCGCTGTGTGACAAGGCTGAGCCTTCTTGCGTTTCCAATTTCACGACTTCTTCGTCTCGCCCATGATCATTTCCTCAAGGAAAGTGCTCTTCAACGTTCTTCAAGATGAAGCTTTAAATGCGAGTTTACAATCATGACATCTCCAGCAGGTTCGAGGAAATGGTTCTGGCTCTCCGAAAAGACTGGTCCACGAGAACGCCTGGTTGGCTTGAGGTGAGGCTACTGCAGGCGTAAAATTTGAAGAGACTGACAGGTCGAAGGGAAGAGTTGGAAGGATGGCAAATCTTTGTGAGACTCTTGAGTTATCCTGTAAATTTGGTGCCTGATGTGCATCAGTTCATTACTATCAGCTCCGTCATTGGCGTGATGATTTTTTTTTCAAATGGTAAAGCACTGGAGCTCGCCGGACCCTCAGGAGCACTGCTCGCATTTGCTGTTGTGGGAGTCGTTGCGGCATGCGTCATGGAATGTGTCAGCGAATTGATTCAGATGTTCCCAACGCCGAACGCAATCGTTGAATTTGTGCGAACTTTTGTAGACGAGGATCTGGCCTGGGTCGTCGGCGTAGCTTATTGGTACACATATGCGTCAATCTTCGCGACTCAAATCTTCCAGGCCGCAGATTTTACCCACTATTGGAACCCCGCACAATTCTACCGCACAGTCTTTCTATATATCGGCGCTCCTTGCGTGATGTTGGCAATCAATCTATGCGGCGTTTGGGTATATGACTTCCCGACATAGTCTGAGACCCAGAAAGCTGAAGTAAGACAGACTTTTGGCGTCATCGAGACCATTGGGGGTATCATCAAGATGTGCATGGTTATTGGTACTGGCCTTTATATGTACATCTTACATGGACAAGGTGATTACATCCGCCTATGTATCATGTCTGGCTGATCTTTCGACAGGGACATTCGGATCGAGTAGTAAGATCCATCAATTTGAGATGGCGTCTCTTGACATCAACTTACAGCTTGTTAGATATCAGCAGCGGATTCACTGCCAATTCAGACTATGCTGCAAATCCTAAAATAGCTGGATGGTTCGTTCGCCGCACACTGATGAGCAAGCTCCACGCTAATAGAGCAGTTTCGCCATTCCGATCATTGCGTATGGCTTTCTTGGTGTCGAAACAGTGACTGTCACAGCATACGAAGCGCGATCTATTACTTCCCTCAAGCGGCCATCCCAAATAATCGCATATTGTGTACTGGCAATATATCTCTTATGTGTGATTGGGGAGTATTTGAACATTTACTGGAAAGACCCTGCTCTTCCAGAGAACTATATCAACCCGCAACCCCGAATTACGGGTCGGCAAACAGGGGCACAGGATGAGACTTTTGGATCACAAGCTATCGTTGTCATCGCAGCGCTAAGGGCCAATGATCGTAAGATTGCGGGCTTCTTAAATGGCTGCATGATGTTTTCTGCGCTCAGTGCAGCAAACACCTCACTTTACATCGCTTCTCGGGTCTTGTATGGTATGACACGGAAGATCGATCGGTTCTCCAAGATGAAATGGCTTCGAGGCCTCGGAAGCGTTTGGAATCGGACTGGAGTCCCTGTAAGAGCGCTAAGCGTGTCATTCGTGGCTTTTGTGTGGCTTCCTTTCTTGCGTCTGAAGGCTCTGGTTGCAATTGATGATGTATGTGCCATCAAACTCGATATCTCTTCTTCACACTGACGGGAAATAGTTGTTCGATATTATGAGCACCTCTGCGAGCGTGAGCTGTCTGCTTGTGTGGGCCTCTCTATGCTTAGCCTTTATTCGTTATTACATATGGTATTGACCCTGGAAAGCATATTCGACGAAGGAGACTTACATTCGCTGCTGCAGGTTCGGGAGGCATAAAGACTATATACAACGGACGTACCCAGAACACGATCGGCTGGGTGCGGATTCCCAGGCTTCGACAATGTCTGCGCATATTCAGCCCTTACCAGCAATCGTTGGTCTGGTCGGATCTCTTCTGATCGTGCTTGTGTTTACAAGCGCGACATGGTGGTCATCACCATTCAAATTTAGCAAGTTCGCCACAGCTTACGGAGCGGTAGGTCGTGGAGACTATGTCCCTTGCATGAGCAGGCCAACTAACGTGCAGTAGCCTATCGTGATGCTTGCACTTTTCTTGATCCTTAAAGCATTCTCGAGGCGTAAATGGGTCACGCTCACATCCGATCTCTCGAGAGTTCAGACAGCGATAGAGCTTCTGAAGTCTTCGAAGGCAGAGCGTGATCTTCGGCCTGCGAGGCGTCTGCCATGGCGACGTAACAAAAGATCTGCCCAGAGAGCTGATGATAGAAGCCTGGAGGAAATACCTGTCTCCCCTACTAGCAGTCTAGGCCATTGACGGAGACTACGCATATTACTGCACAGTAAATAGGCAATTTTTATACGTTCGATGTATACCAGAAGGCACATGCTCTACGGCGAGGCGCTAATCGTACCTCGCGAAGTAATGTTTGACGTTTTGACCGCGTATATCGTGGCTCGCCATCAGACTTAATATGACGTCAGTCCCTCAGGGTAGTACCGTCAACTGTCACAAATCCTTATACACAGGACGCTGAGGGACTGAGGTCCTTCGACTTGATGGCTGATTGTTAACGCTTCCATCTCTAAGCCAAAAGTATTGGCTGCTAACCAAGTCAGCCAAATCAATCAGATCCCAGAGTTGGCAGGATATGCAGATGAGCATCGAGTGATAACCATGCACAGTTGACTCTTCTTCAATGTGCAGATGCGTGCTCATAAGCAATCCTGCTTGGGCACATGGTCTTTTACCGCCAAATTCTGAGCTTGAGAAGGAGGACGTTGATTCCATGGAAGGAATTTTCCACTCGACGCCAAGCCGGAGCACTGGGGTCGGAAAAATCCTCCCGCCGAGAAAACACATCTTTCAGCACGCCTACGTAAAGATCATACTGTCAGGGGCACCTCCTTTTGGTGAATCAATGATCGATCTGGTGGACTCTTTTGGGGGATCTGTCCATTAGAAGCCAGGTTGGAAGATGAAAGGGCAACATAAATGTCATATAAAGAACGTGTAACATAGTTCTGTTTGAGGACAGGAGAAATGCATTTTGATTTATTTTCTGGCCACTCGTGGTACCTATTAGTATCTCGTTCTATCGGGCAAACGTACATCTTTCCTTATGCAATCAATTCATGACAACGCTTCAGCAACCGAGGATCAATACATAAAGTCTCTGCTTAGCCAAGCATGAATCCTTCTGGCTTAGCAAAAAGCCCCCAGAGGACAAAGACGCCTTTGCTGTAAATCCCAGAACACTCATACTTGAATTTCTTACCATACAGCATGTCTAAGCAGCTTTCTCACTCAAATGCGCTTCAGCGAGCTCCTGCTTCCCTTCGAGGTCTTTCAGGCATGGGGCAAATAGAATCTCGCCCATAGCAAGCTTTCTCAGCGTTCCAGCAGCGACCATGATCCACAGTAACGTCACTGCGACGGAGAAAATCTGTAGAATCCCTTCATTAGTACTCAAAACCTTGATTCATAGGAGACAGGATCTGGTGTAGGGAGGAGAACGCATCAATTCCATCCAAGCCCCTCTAACAGGAGATCATAACTACATACCGTGCCGAGTACGTCGAAGAATTTCGAGGGCATTTCTTTACCAATCGTCGTCGTTGCGACAGTAAAGACGCCCAACGGAAAGGTAAAACCCCACCATCCAATATTGAAGGGAAACTTCGATCTGCTGATACTAGCAAGTGCGAAGAAAAGCCAAACAATACCGAATCCCCACATGATGATGCCCAGAAGCCAGCCCGTCACATACAACATCTCACCAGCGTTACCGCTCGGTACATCTAGAGTTGAGGTCTTCGGGAACACCTTCATGGCCACCTTTCCGATCTGCATGACCGCGAAGCCACCTTGTCCTAATGGTCCAAGGGGGAGGAAAACCGAGACGATCACTTCGCGAGGCGGTAGTTTGAACAATGTCAGCCTTTGAAAATAGATACCTAGTACAATCATAGCCAGTGGAACGCCAGTAGCCAATAGGACGTAAGATGCAATCACTGTCCAAAGCGCGTGTTGTGGGTTTGGTAGATGTTCGCTCACGATGCCCCCAGTGGCGGCCGCGACGATAGGGGCGACGATAGGAAGTAGCCAAGCGGCGGTCATTGTGGAGATTTGGGTGTCATGATGGACGTACATTCTGTGTTGGCGAGGAATCAGCGTCTTCGTTCTTGACAAATTTACCCAATACCATGCAAGATTCTCTTCGATGGAAGAAAATAAGGCTGACTTACATAACAAAGGGAAGACCGAAGCAGGTAGCAATGGAGATCAGGGCATCGATCCACCAAAGAGCCCAGGCCTAGTTACCCATCAGCACGAAACAATTCCTACATTGGTCTGCACATGCCAGATAGATGGTCTTCAAGCCCCACGCAGGCACACACACAAAGACGATCATATTGATGATCGTCGCAAGACCCATAGGGAAAGTTCCGATGAAAAGTGATTGTGCGGGGTGCCTAATCATCACGAACCATATCTCAGGATAGATAGAGTATCGTAGAGTGGATATGACGAGAAAGAGACAGAAGAGAGCCACATTCAGGACAAAGATGGCCACGCTTATCCAGTAAAGCCAGTGTCCGTTGTAGGGAAGATTATGAAGTAAAATAGACACAATTCCGGTGCCCATTATGACGGAAAACCATCTAAGTAGGAGGTTCATAGTCAGCTACCGGAGGAGGACGTGGCTTGCATGTCAGTATTGAGAAATGGCATCTTACGAGGGTGTGAAATTTCTGACCACCTTCCTCCAGCCGCTTTGGTCACGCCCAGGGTGTTTCGTATCCCACTGCTCATGCCCGTGCAGCTCACATGCCGTCGGTTGCAATCCGCAAGTTGCCTCTTCTTGTGCAACGGACTGCGAATTCACGGGTTTTGCCAGTGGGGGAGAGCCTAGAATGAGCAATTGAGCCCACAGATAATGGCACAGGGGATTTGAGAGGCAACTGACATGGCTTTGCCCTTTCTTCCTTCGATTGTATCTGCGCACACGTGCCTGCTCCTGCCGGATCCATCGTGGAAATACCGTATGCTTGAAGGGAAGGGAAGGGAGCATTTTGAAACTTGAGGTAAAGATGTTTAGCCTCTTTGGCGAGCGTTGACCGGTTAAGGCATATGAAAATCTTGTGCAGGCTTGGCCTGGGCCTGACGTCAACGGTCCGGGCGGACCGCTTAAGGGGGGCGGGGATTGTAAGTCTTGGCAAGAGCCCCTTTACTTCGAAGCCGGCCGATATTCAAAACGTTCCTTTCAATACACACACAAGGCAAGGGGCATGCATTTTAGCTTACCATAGCCGATGCAGTTCCATTTATATAAATCTAGAAGAGAGCACAGATAATGATCATCGTGGGATACACAAGACATTTGCTTTCGCAACTGTCATTTTCATCTTTTCGCGTCGCGGTATTCATCATGCTCAAGGATGCTGTGAGGAAAGTGGAATCGCATTATTGAGCATCCAAAAGACTCATGATGATCAAGCTCTTGAGATCCGTTCCGTTCTTGCCTTGTGCAATTTTGACGTAGACCAAAGAGTAGACAATCTGAAGTCTAGTGGTATGATGTCATCCAATTGCTTTCAATTTCATCATCTTCCCTGGTCAACAGAACAGACGTCATATAGGAGGACTGCGCCCTGTGATACAGATCTACTTCTACTTTGATCTGGAAATATTTGCAAACAACGCTGCTAATTTTCCTCCAGAAATTTCAACAACTTTTTTTCAAAATTAGTCACAGAAAGTCATATAGCCATACTCAACACTATTCTTCTCTGGCTGTAAATTGAATTTTGGCAACCACCAAATACCATCTTCGTGAAACCTCTCCCTTCAATCAATCTTAATCTTTCGCATAGCAAAGCAGACCGAAAATTGCAAAAAGGTCCTGAGCTACGATTCAGTGTATGCTAGCTTATTGTGCATTGAGACTTATCCTCGACCTTCAAGTATGTGCGGTCTTTTCAGAACATCAAAAGGCGTCGGAGCAACGATAGACGGGAAGGAAGACCAAAGTCCGCCAACACTACAGATGAGTACGAAGCGACATGGAGTCCCGGCACAACTAAACAACTTCAGCGAAATCAGAGCTCCTCAGCCCGTGGAGGACAAAAATGGCGTGAAGATCTACCTATCTGCTTCACCGGTTGAGGATGAGACGCTTTCCACGACGCGTCATATCGAGATCAAAGAATATGGAAAGGTATGTGGCAAGTCTTAGGAGCTGTTGTAAGCTTTTGCTAGGATCGACAACTTCCCGAGGCTCTATGCTTCTCTGCACTTTACGATGGAGGACAGTGTGGTCTTCTGAGGATTGGGTGAAAAGAAGGGCGGAATTTCGAGTAAGGAATGACTGCCAGTATGGATCTGGAGGGTATACTTGTCAGATCAATGGACCAATATCTGTCCAGTGCTTCTAGCACATCGAGAAATGGATCTGTACTGCTTATCGTTGTTGTCTTCCCCAGCAGTCTTGAGATGTTAGGTCTTACGAGTCACTGTAGAGTCTTGTGACATATTTTCTGCAACATTTATTTCGATGAACCTTTCATGAGCGATCTGGACCCTGAATCCCCGTCCAGCGTCCCTAGCACCCGTTCAAGGGTCCCATTTGTTCTTTTTATATCCGCCGATCAGGGATTAAGGTCCCTCGCCCGCTGCCGAGGGGGATCGCTCAAGGTTTTTCTTGGCATTTGACCCCCTCCATTCAACTGTACTTGACCAGAGGGAACGGGGAGTCCACGCAAAAGTCGCTCAGCTGAGGCCTGGCACTACTCGAAATTTTCTCAACTCAAAGCCCAGTTTTACGCCACCTGATCGAAGGATTGTGATGTGAAATGCGTTGAAATCAGCTCCAAATTGCTGCAGCTCTTTCGTCATCAAGGCTCGTATAATGTGATGTCATTCTGTCCAGCATCTAAATCCACTCCTCACCTGATGAGCCCCATTCAAGACGTAGCCGGAACCTTCAATCGCTACAGGCAGAGCATGTGAGGGTTGAGCATTTGATGTACTGATATCTGAGCTTGCAAATACCCTAGTGGCTGGTCGCTTACGAGAAGATTCTCTTATTCGGACCTGCCCTGCGCTGTTAGGCTTGAGGCATCGCTACCTACAACTGTTTCCACCAGATGATAAAGGTCGAATCATCTGATATCTTGCTAGTCATTTCATTTTTCACGAAATACTACTAGTCTACTGGATGATGAGACGCCAGCGAGTGTCGACGGCTTGTGAAAGGTGCAGAAAGCTCAAAGCAAAAGTGTTTGAAATGACCCGCTATCTGCATCCTCTTACTAACCCCCACGTCACAGTGTGATGGTCAACAGCCCTCGTGTGGTCGTTGTACCGGCTTCGGCTATGTTTGTACCTGGGCCCGAAGGAAAGGCATCGGCAGATACAGTCCCCCTGTTCAATCTCCTAGGGAGGGTCATTTCATTCCTTCGTCTGATGCTCTATCTGAGAACGGCGGTACTGAAAACAATGCTTTATTGAGTAGATTGATGAAATCTTATGAGTCTTTGATCCAGAGTTTTCGACCAAAGCTGAGCGACGCTGAAAGTGCCGCGATGGAACTTTCCCTTGAAAGCATCCGAAGAACATTTCCACACGCCAAGGCATGCACAATGAAGACTTCAAATTTAGAATCAGAGCCGGACGATACTCTAGTGACCACTCCTACGTATCTTGGCAAGGCGAGTGAAATACATTTCGTGGACACTGTGATGGACTCTCTTTATCAGCAGAAGAAAAGGCACCCTAAAAGTCGAGACACAAGCGAAAGCAATGACAGAAGAGTGGACCTTCTAAACACCATTTCTATGTTTGAAAGCCCCTTGCGACTACCGTCCAAGGAATGTGGACTTGATTATCTGGATGTCTATTTCTCCACGATACATGTTGCTTATCCATTTTTGAACAAGCCTCTGGTCATACATCATGCCCACCGAGTCCTAAGCGGTGACCTCAAACAAGGGGATCTTTGTCCATGGCTCGCTTTGCTAAGTCAGTATCTAGTACATATTGTATTACTAAATGCTGAAACCAACAGATGCAATCTTCGCTATAGGTGCATACTACACATCATTCCCTCACACGAGTACTGGAGGGCCATCTTCACATTTGCTTTATTTCCAACAATCTTCTTCCATGTCTCATTCATTCATGGCGACGAGCACAATTACGACAATCTGGGTACTTCTCACACAATGTTTTTTCTTGCTAGCGATGAGCAAAACCGACAGGTACGCTGCTCCCATTTCGATCAAAAGGCAGCTAAAAATGTAAGGCAGGTGCTGGAATACTCTGGGCCTGGCCATACGTATGGGCCAAAGCATTGGGCTCCACGTGGATGCTGCCCATAAGGCTGAACCTAGGCAGTATAGTCCATTGGAGTATGAGCTTCGACGACGGACTTGGTACTCCATGTATGTACTAGATCGGCTACTGGCTCTGCAGCTCGGTCGACCTACGGCGATACATGAGACAGACTTTGCCGTACTGCTTCCCTCACGTATTGAAACAAATCCTATTGAGGCAAACACGAAGGACATGTCGCCTCAACTCGAGCTAGGAGATAGCGAAAGCGATGATGGCGAAGATACGACTCTGGGAGAAGAAAATGGGGCGGAATCAGAGCGGCAAGCTTCTACCATGGACTATTTTCTCTCAGTAATTCAACTTTCTCGCATTCTTGGGCAGGTGATCCGGGAGCTATATCATCCCACACAAGTCGAAGCCTCTTTGGATGATATGCTAATCAGTACTTCCACAATCAATGAGTCGCTTGTGGCGTGGAAAATTTCCCTACCATATCATCTCAGATTCGATTGGGGCCATACCTTTGAGAAGTCGAAAACCTTCAAACGTCAGGTGAGACTGAATCACAAGCTACATTAGATCAAGGTCGATACTAAGCTTGTACAGCGGAATATGCTTGCTGTGAAGTTCCATCATTTACGAGCGTTGATACATCGTCCATTTCTGTGCTTGTCTTGGCTGCAGCGCGACAATCTCCATCTCTCTGGTCTGCTTGAAAAAAATAGCAACCAAATCGATCGGGCGGAAAAGATCTGTATCAATGAAGCCCAACAGACCGCGCGTTTGTTATATGACGTGGATCATGAGAGGAATCTGATACAGGATTTTCCTTGGTGGCAGATGGTCTCATGCATTTTATGTGCAAGTTCAATCTTGCTTGTCGCAGATTCTTGCCTCATCAATGAGGGAAATTGCGCAGAGATGCTACATCAAGATTTCCGAAAAGATGCAGAAAATTGCTTAAAAGTGTTCGAGGCTCTCAGTGTCGATTCTGAAGCTATTCAGAGGGCGAAGACGATGTTGAAAGGGGTAGCCGAGCGGCAACGTCTCACCGATGGTAAGATGCTACTCCACCGTGCCTTTCGCGCTGACTCTTGTGGTAGCGCCCTGCAAGATACGTGGAAAATCTCAGCTACCTCCGGTAGAAGCACACGCCGTAAATGCATCACTAAACTTGCCTGTCGCCTCCAACATTGATACCGATTCCGCTTTAGCTTTCCCTTTGGACTCAGTTGACAGCACTCAAAACGTCGACTGGCTGTCTCAGTGGCCAAGCGAAATATCTGACACAATGCAGTGGTCTGCACAATTTTTTGACGCAACATTCGATCCTGGACAGAGTAGCGGAGGATCGCCGTATGCAGATGGCAATGTTGATAACAGCACCATAGGAGCGTGACAGTGACCGTAACTACACCGCAGGCACTGAGCTCCATTCCCATCTGATCTGATTAATTTGAATTGTAGTGGAATGTCAAAATGCTCCAGGTCATAGCCCAAGTCTATCTGCTGGTGGCGAAATTGACAGTACACTAGATGGTTCGAAGGTCAAAACGGACTGCCAGAAGTTCCCCCCCAAAATTGCACCAGCTATGAGCAGAACCAGTAACTTGGTACGCTAGAGCCGCTGGCAATCCACCAAGCCATTAGTTACGCTACTCATCAATAAATAGTCATAGTCTCAATAGACGGGATTAGAACTAAAAGACGACATGCACAACCTCCAACAAGTAAACGCATGATTTCTAGCCTATGACAATGCGATGCAAAAGTCCATGAGGAAAATAAGTTCAAGATGTCGTCCTGACTTCCTGCGATTTCAAGACTGTGATTCTGCAATGCTAGATATCATTCATTCGGTGCGTTGGCGGGGGGATCCCCATCTACGCTCGTGAGACAATCTTCGACCCAACGACGGATGTTCCTTCTATATTCAAGCATGTCAATCATGCGGGTCGACATAGCTAATCGTAACTGACAGCCTCTAGTAGAACCTTGGAATTAACGCAATCTGTTTGCAATACAACAAGTTTTATTTGACAATCTGCCGTCAGTGGGAGAATTCCCGACCGATCCGGCCGGCCCGCTACGCAACTGATCAGGTGCATATGAAGCAATTCTTCGACCGCAAGACGTAATGTTTAGCAGACAGCGAAGAGATATCGATGGATACTTCACGTGTGAGCTCTCTTTACAACATTCGTGTACTCAATATGAGTGGCAATGACCGACTACTACCTGTTCATTCCCGACACCAAGATCCCATCAACGCTCACCCACGACGAGTTGGAGTGGGCGGACATGCCCTGCTTCTCGACCCAACCCGATTGTACCAAACGTATAGACTCACAGCCCTCGCCCATCAATCCTCACGTCGTCTGCGCCACTGATTCAAGACAGACAACGAGTACATCAGCAACACCTGTATCTTCTGCTTCGAGACCCTCAACCCAGCCTCCCAAAAGCAAATCCACGACAACACACCACAAGCAAAAGACCCCACTATCACACACCGCCAACTCCCCTGCACCCACCTCTTCCACCAACCCTGCATCGACACCTGGCTCACATCCCGCGACGCCAGCTGCCCCCTTTGCCGCCAAAGATTTTACTATCTGAAGCGTCCGCAGATGATCGCCGTAGGCCCCGCAACACCACAGCCGCGGCAGCGAGGAAGTCGAAGCAGGATTACTGAGACGAGAGAGGGACGTGATTGCTCTCATTCGCTGAAGGATTGGTGCAAGCGCATTTCTCATGAAGGAGTCCTAGGGTAAGTTGCGTAAGCTCCTGTAGCTGCTGTAGCATTGAAGGGGCATTTGTTTGATGATATGAGCGAGTAAGGAGTATGTAGGTCCCGTTTTGATACCATTGTTTAGCGACAGATTTTTCAATTTAGGCAGAATTTTACTGCAAGTCCTGCGCTAAGCCGATCCACAGTCTTAACTTTCGTTACATGGCCGAAGAAATCCCAGTATATTGGATTTCTAGATATCCCTACCGATCAGTGTTGAGTTGTCGTTGCTTTGTTTTCGCCATTGCTAATGAATGGGAGGCACAGCATCGAATCATCAGCGTCTACCTTCAAAGAATGTAGATAGGGTATTCCTTATGCCCAAAATGCCGATGCTCAATCTCTCCGCACTCCCAGCATACAGTATCACCATGAAGCATAGTCAAGTAACCCTTTTGAACACTGAATGACGCAGCTGCTAAGCGAGCCATCCAATTCCCATGTGCGCGAAAGACTATCGGTCCTTCTGGTCTGTCTAGAAATTCATACCACGAGTCTAGGGATATGAGCTCTCCGAGCGAAGGGGGTTCCCTCGCGCGTGTTGGCAAGTAAGTTGAACTTTTGAGATGTTATGAAATAATACGCTGCTAAATATTGGCAGGATGTTGAGGTCCCCCAGCCATTGGCCCTTGTCGTGGGCAGAAATTAACGTTTCAAGAAAATATACTTCTGTATCTGGAGAACCACGAGAGGTGGTATCGACTGGGAGGACGAGTCCCGTGAATGACAAGTGAAGAGATGTGGTTTTAAAGAAATCGGCAATGACACCATCAAAGTCGTTGTGATCAACGAAATTCCAGTCTTTAGGATCGGCTTCTCGAGTGAGCGGCTCGTCTGGAGGGATCATCAGAGCGATCCCTGCACGCCCTAGATTCCCGCGTATTCTCGTGATCTTTTGGTCAGATATACATGCTGGGTCAGAAATCAGCGGCGTGGCGATGTACAGAGAGTCCCCAGCCGATAAGGCCATGACAGATTCCAAGCCTTTCTCGGAGATATCAATGAGTCCAAATTCAAGCATTGCTATACAGGCGAAAGTATGCGCAAGGTCGAGATCGAGCGGCTCGAATGCTTGGACAATCACAAAGCCTGGATAAGATGATATGCCACTGACTGTTTGATCAGGAACGTCGTTTTGTTCGGTGGTGTGAGTATCCGTCGGAGTGCTCAGTTCAGTTTCTGGCATCCACTTGACGGCATGCAGTTTAGTCGAAGTGAGTGTCATCGGGAGTGTTACATCACTCCAGTGCTCATAAAGGTTGGTGATAGTACATAAGGTTTTCAGCGATTGTATATGTTGGGGCAAAGAGAGTGTCGTAGGGCGCGTTGCAGGAACCTGGCATAAATGTTGGATCAGAGCACTCTGTGAGATTCCCATTGGGATTCCGATTGAGATTCCCTTTGACGCTTCTGCTATCGCAAAGACGATATCTTGAGCGTCAAAGGCTTGGGTCGTTGGTCTCTCTTCCTCCACGATACGATAGACAGCCGCAGTGGTTGGATCACCAAAAATAAATTCAAAAGGTACACCTGTCACAACCCTTGGCTTACTACTTTGTGAAGTTCTTCCGAAAAGTGTCGTCTCTGCGAAGTCCCCGAAGATTTTGTCTACAGTATTCGTGACCACCTTGTCAATATATCTAGTAGGAGCGTCACACCAGAACAATCTATCTCCCTTTTGAACTGTTTGCTTTGGACCCAATATCACACTTCGATCCAGAGCTTCATACACTTCTGACTCAGAATCTACCCTGCGACCCTGAATTTTAAGCTCAGCGCAGGCCTTACTATCGGTCAACCATCTGCATTGAAAACGGGTCGCTTCCGAGGCGCCGGACTCGGTAGGTGAGACGGTAGCTATAGCAAACTCGTTGAGAGTATCGCTCGATGATGGAGTGGCGTAGTAGATGATCAAGCTGTGCAAGTCGCCATCGAACCTCGAGGCCTTTCTTCGTAGAAGGTCCAAACGTCCTTCGGACTCCTTCATCATCCTCAGAAGATTTGGCGGGTGCTGCAATGTCGTTATTGGAGAAGGGGTGCTTAGCGAAATGCTTAGAAATTGTGGACATCGCCGACGCCCATGGTTGAACAGTCGAGTGTACTCTTTCTGGGTGACTCCATCCGAGGCAAGGTATGTTTCAGCGCCATGTGCCAATCTACCAAGCCAGCTCTTCTGCGATGGTTGGTGGCATCCTGCGATTCCAGGGTGATTATCCTCGATCACACAGCATCTCCAGAGATGACGCGTAAGCTCCGCAGCCTTATGGAGGCTGAAGCTTGTCTCTTGCCATCCGTGAAACAAGCATCCCAAGGCAAATAGAAGCAATTGATCAATAGAAATGCGAGATCCATCGGTGTTCAGCGACTTTTCCTTCCGAACAGGATGACCATAAAAGCGGGAGTAGCAAAGAGGGAGAGACCAGGTGATCCCGTTACTTATGATCTCCTCGTCGCCTTGGTGACGTAGAGCATGTTCAGACTGCGCTGATTGTAGACCCAGGGTCAGAATGCCTCGAGGATCTATCAAGGCGTCATTCTGTCGGATGAACTGATTTGAGGTACCAAGCACTGACATATCCGGGAAGAGATGCCACGAGGACAATGCAAGCAGAATAGCACTGTTCTCTATGGTGTGTGGCATGCCCTCGATGAGCTTGTCCAGAACAACCATGGCACTCGTCCAAGCAGCGACGACACTTTCATAGACGTTAGGTTTAGTATTGATTGGAATGTTGACGTTCTCAACGATCAGCTTGAGTTGTCTCTGTCGGACCCGGTTTGCGTCGTCACCGGCTCGAAGCCAGGCTCTCGCGCTCGCGTCCCAATCAGCCAGCTGTTGTCTAGAGATATTCAATCTGGCTGCCCAGGCAGCGAACATATTCTGAGGGTCATTTGCATTGACTGCAGATAGCTGTTCTTTCCTTGTACCGACTATCTCCTCCCATATAGATGTCGCTTCAGAGGGCAACCATAGCTTAGCCAGCATACAAGCAAGCAGGTGGATAGCGACAGCACCCGCACCTGAGGTCGCTGCAGCCCAAATACTGCCTCCATCAACTCCCTGGTGAGCAGCGAATGGGCCACTGCTAGCGGCCTTCGAGGTTTTCAGGCTGCCATTAGCAATTTCTGAAGCCCGCACGCCGTAAGCAGTATAAAGTCTTGGTGTTTGTGGTAATATATGTTCGAACAAGGCTCGAAGCTTCCGAGCTGTAGTATGGATGTCACCATCTTCAGCCACTTCCCGGCGATAGGGAGACAATGCGTGCCCTAAAGCCTTGTATTCTTTTGGTGCTTCCGTCTTGAATAAGGAAAAGTCAAAGTTCAAAGCGGCAAGAGCAACTGTAGTCTCTTGCGTTGCAGACACAACAGAAGGCGTGAACTTCCCCAGTGACATTGGGAACAAAATTGCAAAGTATATAGATAGATGCTAACATCATAAGCAATATAGATACCGTCGCTAAGCCATGTCTTAAGTCTTATGCCAGTCAGGCACTCGCAATTTTTATGTAATTGTGACTTCTCGAGCTTTGTACAAGAATTGAAACTGGTGTATATATATTTATTCAAAGCCTGAACAGCTATCTCAGCTAGGAAGACAATAGAAAAAGCAGGCAGCAAACGGGATCGTCGCTCTGCTGGTCGGCAGATCCTTTTGCCGGCCACCGAAAACAGTAATGCTTCGTCAACGAGCAACTTACTCCCATGTCGCCTCCAGGAGCTGTACCCTCGCAATCCTGCCATCTCTAACCATATCTACAACCCGAACTCGCTCATATTCCGCTATGGCATCTCAAATCCCCCAGAATGTCGCCACAGGCGAAGAAATCGCCAGCACCACAGTCCCGGCAGACCCTCCACCACAACGCAACGCATGTACACCCTCCTCTCCTCACCTCTGCGTTCCTCTTTTACTACCTTACCCATTACTTACACAACATAGTTACAGCCCTGATGTCCCCCACCACCTCTAAACCCAACACATACACCCATACCAACCCCTCGCCCTCCAAGAAACGCAAACAGCCCCCGACGACCACCCCAACAACAGACCCTGCCCTACAAACCCGCTACCTCGCCCGCGACGGTCTAGGCGCCTACATCTCCTCCCCTTCCTCCTTCCCCCCTTCACGCGTAATCTACCACAACGACTCCTTCGTCGCCATCCACGACCTCTTCCCCAAATCCTCGCTGCACCTCCTCCTCCTCCTCCCCGAGACTCAGACAAAATGTTCCTCCACCCACTAGAAGCGCTCTCCACCGATCTCGACTTCCTCGCAAGCGTAAAGGCCGAGACCGAAAAACTTCGGAAACTAGCAGCGAAAGAACTAGGCCGTATGTTCGGCAAATACAGCCGACAAGACCAGGCGCGGCAAGTTGCGATGGAAAGCGACGAAGTTGATGGCGGCGGCGATTGGCCTCAGGGAAGGGATTGGGAGAAGGAAATTATGTGTGGTGTTCACGCGGGGCCGAGCATGAATCATCTGCACGTGCATGTTATGAGTAGGGATATGAGGAGCGAGTGTATGAAGCATAGGAAGCATTACAATTCTTTCAATACGGAGTTTTTTGTGCGGATTGAGGAGTTTCCGCTGGAAGGGGATTGGGAGGGGAGGGAAGGGAGGGTGGGAAAGGGGAAGGCGGAGGGGAGGTGGAGGGCTGCGAAGGAGGGATTTAAGGAGGAGAATGAGATGAGGTGTTGGAGGTGTGGGAGGGGGTTTGGGAATCAATTTAAGAGGTTGAAGGGGCATTTGGAGGAGGAATTTGAGGCGTGGAGGACGGAATGAACCCTTGGGTTGTAGAGATACCATACCAATCGTTTGACAAGACACGATACAGTCCAAAAGTAGAGCTCTGCGCAGATTTATCGATTATCTCATCATTTCATTCAGTAGTTGATAAGCTAATGAGATACATTAACCTCCCAGCATCACCAATCTACATCCTTCAATATCACTGCCCTTCAACTCCTTGTCAACAGCTGGGGCGATCGGATATGGGGTCGGGTATAATGCTTCAGGTGCATGATCGTGCTGCTCGGGGTTACATGATGGTGCTTCGTCTGTTGTTTGGGTGGGGTTGTTGCAGATAGAGGTCGAGGTATTCGAGGTGAAGAGCGGAAGTTGGATGGGCGGACGATTTCGCAAAGGTGCAGTATAGGTGCTCGGAGTCCTGCAATAGTCGACGCTGATTGTTGGATTCGCGTCAGAAGCAGAGTGTTGTGACTCGGCTTTCCCTTGTTGGCGGCTTTCCTTGAATTCGTATTTCTTGGTCATTGGCGCCGCTGTCCACTACACGGGAGCAGCTCGTGGATTACTTGCTGGTTGACTTCACATATCCATCGAATCGCCACCACCATTAGCAAAATTGAATCCTCCTGCTTGTTGTGGTTGTTGTTGTAATCCAAAGCCACCCTGTGCGGGCGCATTCTCCATCGTGTCCGCTTCTTCTTCATCAGAGAAGTATTTGCCAATGATATTGAAAGCCTTCATGTAGATCTCCTCGTTGATATTGTTCTGACAGTCGTGAATCTTCTCCATACCACCAGCTTCTTCAATTATGAGTGCAAAATGATTTACATTCTGAGCTGACGGATCTTCAGTCGCCTCCTTGTCCATATCACCAACTTTTAGAATGTTCTCTAAACCGTCGAGGGCTACTTGAACGATCTTGTTATCAGGACAGCTGAGCAGATCGCAAAGGCCCCTGATGCATCCGTTCTGCACGAGATAGCGGATCTGCTCGGGTTTCTGCAAGCCCCCTGACGTTGCATTAGAGATTGCCCAACAAGCTTCTTTACGGGTTTTAAAGTCCCCATTCATCAGAAGATGAATCAATGGGGGCATGAGACTGGAATCAATAACAGCCTGGATTTGAGTAGAATTGCCGGCTGTAATGTTGGAGATCGTCCAACAAGCTTCCTTACGAATACCATCTTTTTGCGAGCTGAGAAGCGAGAGTAGGGCTGGGAGGGCTCCACAGTTGATGATAATTTGGGTTTGCACATCATCACCCGTGACAATATTACCGACCGACCTCAATGCCGGTGTTTGGACGGAAGTTGATGCATGCGTCAGCAACTCTACCAGACGGCGAGGAATTCCCGCTTCGATAACAGCTTGTATTTTGTCGTTGGCACCATCAGAGAGATATGAGATAGCCCAGCAAGCATCAATGAGAACCTCGTCGTCGAGAGAATAGACAAGCTTGGCCAAAACAGGGAGAGCTGGTAGGATCTGTGGCATATTAGACATGATTCCTCAAGAGGGAGAGAAGAGCCAACTTACCGTTTGCCAATCTGGTTGAGGGGTCTTGCCACGGCAGAAATTACTTAAAGTCCATGTAGCATTGCGGAGCATGCTCAACTTGCGGCTGTCACCTAGAAGGGCGAGTAGAGGTCGCAGTGCACCCTTTGAGAGGACAAAGTCTCTGCAATGTGGGCTGTCTCCAGCGATATTTCCCAAAGCCCAGACGGCTTGTTCACGGACATCAGGCTCATGGCTGCTTAGAAGCTCCACGAAGATAGGCACCGCACCAGCGTTGATGACAACCTGAGTCTGTTGCGCAGAGCCAGATGCAATGTTTGTCAAAGCCCAGGCAGCCTCAAATTGAACCAGTGTGTGGGGTGATCGTAGAAACTCAACAAATCGGCCTACCACGCCAGTCTCGATTACCTTCTCGATCGGCGGATTACGCTCTTTAGATAAAAGCTTGCGAAACTTGGTAGTGGCATGGATCTGATTGTCTATTTCGTTAGAAAAGACGCCTTCCACCATTTGGGGGAGTTCTGTAGTCAGCTGCGAAAGAAAATAGTTAGCAAAATGATGATGATCTTTAAGGCTCTGCGCCACCGCTTCAAAGGAGTCATTGTGGTGAGGAACAAGGCGAGATGGAATTAGCTAAGGAGGTCTAAATGCAGATGAAAGGAGGGAAGTGATAGTATAAAGAAGACTCTCAACCAAGACTAGCAATGCAAACATCCGAGACACTCACCTGGCTCTCGATGGTACCGCCTTCATCATCGCTGTCTATTGAGGCCCCAAGCGAGGCCCCAGGGGCGGCCATCTGCTGTCCATCACGGCCAGTGATTCCCCGCCTCTTCGCTAGATTCTCTTCTCGCTTTGCTTTTCGGATCTCCACCCGTTGCTCCTCACGGCGGCGGCGCAATTCATCAGGCTTGAAGGTGTTCTTCGCTTTGAACTGCGTGCGACGGTGCTCTGGGATGAAACGTTCCGACATGGCTGAGGTGGCAATATATCTTCAGAGCTCAATCGAATTGCTTGACCCAAGATAGCGAAAGGAACATGCGGACCCAAGGTAGAGGTCAACACGAAGGCAGACGCAGACAGGTTGGTGTGAGGACGCTTCTAGTGTCTGGGGGGCAGCTGCGCTAGTGATTGCTGACTCAGCGGTCAAAGGGTCAGGGCCAATCATTTGCTCCGAGGACGCTGCCAGGGGGCTAAACATATATATGCTCGTGTGACTTACCAACAAACGAGCCTAAATCGAATGGAGGGAAGGACGTACGATGCTAGCTTCTGCTTCAGCAACTTTGTTCATCAACAGTGCTTCTTCCATGCAGCAACGCCATTCGATCAGCAGCAGCAGCTGTAAGACAGGTAATTCACGACGCGTTCCCCTTTGAAAACAAAGCCGATATCTTTATTTCGCGTTGCAATTCCCTTCTTGTCGCAATAGCAATGCCGTCTTCATTACCTACAAAATTTACCGATCTCTATAACACCTCGTGCGTTTCGGTCGGCAACTATGTCGATATCATGGGAGTTGTCACGGACTATCAGCAACCTATCGCAACCAGAGGAACAGATTGGACGTGTACTTTCTGTTTGGCGGACCGGAACTATGGGCGCTTGGGTGAGCGGGGTGACGAAGGCCTGACTGTTCGATGTTTCAACGCGCCGAACGACCTGCCACCCATCCAAGGCACAGGGGACGTTGTCATTTTTCGAAGGGTCAAAGTCGCGAGTCACAATGGCATGAAGCTTGTTATGACGAACAAGACTAGTAATTGGACCATTTTCCCTTGTGCATCTATTCCCACCAAAGCACCTGCGTCAGGGGCAGTTCAGATACCTTCCAAGAAAATGATCAAGGCTCCACCCCCAACCGAAAGCGAGATGCTTTACGCAATCGAAGTCTGCAATCTCAATGAAAGAACTCTGTATACCAGTACTAGTAGTATAGCAAGCGAACAACCGAGCAGCACCCCTTCGACAGACACGAATGGCCACCAGACTCAGCGCAGAGGGGATAGGTTCTCTCTCATCAAAGATCTTGATATCGATCAACGTTTTCCTGACAAATATGTCGACCTCGTTGGTGAAGTTGTCAAAGTCTATTCTCAAAATGATCGCGTAGAACTCTACGTGACAGACTACACTAGCAACAAGGGTCTCTGGCGATCCAATGAGCAAGACGGAACCGGTGGAGCACGAGAGGGTGATGAGTTTGGATATCTGCCCAGACGCTCTGAGAAGGCCAAATGGCCAGGTCCCGTAGGCCAATTGACATTGACTGTCTCGCTTTTCCCCCCGCACTCATACACAGCTCAAAATAGTATCACAGCAGGCGATTTCGTTTTTCTGCGAAATGTCCATATCAAGTGGAGCAAAGCCGCTCAGATCGAAGGTGTCATGCACACCGACCAAAGATTTCGTGACAAACTGGCCATCTTCCGCATTGGTGAAGACGAGTACGAAAGTGACAAACGCGTTAGAGATATCTTTCATCGAAAGCATGAGTACAAAAAAAAGCGTAAAGAGGCTGGACATACTTCTGATAGCGAACAGAATGGTCTAAAACGCAAGCACGTCGAGGACGAAAAGCCACTTACCAAAGCCCAGCAAAAGAGGAAGAAAAAGCAACAGACAGAAGCAGCCCGAGCAGCATTAGCCGCAAAACAAACCAATCCAAACGAACACCAGACGAACTCCACCGAAGAATCAAAACCAACAAAAACCAATGGTCACCCCACCATCTCACCCTCCAAAGACCTCAACCCCAACATCCGCTGCTCCCACCCCCAATACTCCACCCGCCCTCTCTCCGCCATCAAGTCCCCCGATAGCTCCACCCACAAAAACACCACACCGGCCGGCACCATTTACACCCTCCCCTTCGCCAACATCAAATCCCGCGCCACCGTCCGCGTCATCGATTTCTTCCCCCAAACCCTCGAAGACTTCGCCGTCTCCATCCCCAAAAAGCCCTCCGAATACACCGTTCTCTCGGACATATCATCATCATCATCCTCCTCATCCTCAGACTCCGACAGCGACAGCAACGTCTCCATGCGCGACGCAGACACCCCTAACACCGACAAGGGCAAGAAGTACGAATGGCGCTTCTCTCTCACGCTCGAAGACGCGTCCTCCCCGACGACGAAGAAAGGTGAGGTGAGGGAGAAAATGGAGGTTTTTGTCGTAGGCGCTGACGCTGAGTATCTCCTGAAAATCGACGCGTGTGATTTGAGGAGGGATAAGGAGCGCTTGGGGGAGTTGAGGGAGAAGTTGTTCTTGCTTTGGGGTGACTTGGAGGAGGGGAAGAGGAGGAGGGAGGAGGAGGAGGATAAGTGGGAAGGGGAGGGGGATGGGCAGGTCACGCCTGGAAGGAAGGTGGGGGATGGGAAGGGAAAGGAAGGGAAAGGGGGTGGGATAAAAGGCGTTGATAATAGGCCGTTTCAGTGCTGTTTGAAGGAGTATGGTGTCAAGGTGAGGAAAGCGAAGAAAAATGTGGACGAAAAGGAGGTGGGGGTGGATGAAGTTAAGATGGATGTTGATGCAGAAGAGGACTGGAATTGGGAGAGAAGATGGAGGCTTTGGGGTTGTACGATTGTGTGATCGTCGGCTGGGAATTGGATGTGTCTTTCGACAGTATGCAACTGATATAGCGGCGCAGGATCGAAGCAGGTTTAAAGGTTTCGGCAAAAGGTTGATACCTTTTGCATCTTCGCTACTGGATATTTTTCGGTGTATCTTAGCTTTAGAACTACTACTGTACACATGTCAAACATGTGAGCGTGATAGGGCCATTTTCAACCTCACCAACAATTCGTACCCTGTCAACTCAGCCCCACTTTCCAAAACTTCCCCTTTATCTCACCCTCATCTTAAATTTCTCCATTGTCGATCTCATTCATCTCTCCTCTTCCCCTTTCCCCTCGGCGTTCCCTTTCCTTTCCTCTGACTCCCAGCATTGATATGCCCAGCCGGAATCCAACTCTCATCCCAGGCCTTCGCACCGCTCGTGACAGCCGGTCCATCTGCGCCCACAACACCAATCTGATCCGCAGGATCCACGGCTTTCTTGCCTTGAGTCGACCTTCTAGCGCGCTCGCCACCTTTCCCGCCCCCACGTTTTTGTGGGAAAAGGGTCGTGATCCAGGTGCTGTAGATGAAATAGCAAGTCCCGCCAAACAGGGTCCCGAGGAAGAGATAGAGGAATATTCTGAGAATGACGTTATTAGCTTGAAAGGGGGTGAGCGCGCACAAGGGGAACACACATCTGCGGATCAAAAATACTCGTATCCGGCTCCACAACGCCCACGGTCTCGTTGAAGGCTTGCAACGTGTAAGTCGTGCCCTTCACATCCGTCACCACAGCCGCCAAATGCAGCTGCAAATTCTGGGGGTGCAGCTCAGTCGTGAAGCTATACGCCACATTCCCACTCTGACCCGCTGGGATTTCCACGTTATATCGTGTCGTTGTCAAGTTGCGGAGATTCTGCGAGCCATATGCGCTGAAGGCTTCTGTCCAGAGAGCGCCTCCAATAAAAACTACGGAGATGGGGGTGGGCTCTTCGTTGGTGATGGAGAGGAGCGCTTGGGTGGACTGGCCGTTGACCAGCTTTATGCCGAAGATCTCGGATTGAGGGAAGGAGGTTGAGACTTTGACGTTTAAGGAGGGCGAGGTAGTAGGGATCTCTGGCTCTTCGTCCGCCTGGAAGACGAGTTAGTGGTTCGTTTTTGGAGAGTTGGGGACAATGAGACGGACATCTTGCGCCAAGGTGGAGAAGGCACGTAGGGAAAGGAGCAAGAGGGTGGCGAAGGATGAGAGGCCCATGGTCATGACTTTGAGAGCTGTTCGTGATGTTATTTTTCAAACAGACCTGAGGTGCATCTGATGGAACGTGGCTGGTAAGTTTGGGGCAATGCTGTATTTTTCTCAGCTAGATTTTAGCGTCTAATTTATTGAACAACCTTTGCGGGGAAATGCCGATACCATTGCCGGCAGACCTAGGCACGTGACCTGTCATCAACTGTAAGCTATTTACTCCGTAATTGCCGATAACATGCCACAACAGCGTCTGCTTTCAGACAGCACACATTCCCGACTTGTAGCGTCATTGATACATTGCATTTGAATTTCATTTCCTACAAAGATATTCGAAGGATCGTGTACTTCCTTATTGGCCAAGTATCATGAAAGCATTAGGCCGTCTCATCAGATTGTCATTGCAGGAAGACTAGCTGGGAATACCTGTCGGAGCGGAGATCTGATAGTAGTACTCTGTCCACTTGGTCCCTCCTGGCATGTTTCCGTTGAGACTACTGCCCAATCTAGCGACGCGACCAGTAGGTGTTGCCTTGCCTACGGCTGTCCCATATTTAACAATCAATTGGCCCGCTGCGTTGACTTCGGTGCCCACAGCCGTGAACCATTTTGGTGAAGCGTCCAGTTTGAAATTGGCCAGTCCAGTGTTAGTGGGATCGTCACCGGTTGTGATGTCTTGAGTGATTGGCGGGAGTGGTTGCCCAGCAGTCACGGTCAAGAGTTTGACCCCTTTGCGTAGGGTTTGTACCTTCGCCCAATCATATGTATCGTCGGGGTTTGGGGCTGGTAAAGGATCGGGTGTTAAAGGCACCCTCAGTTGAATCGTATACGAAGGACCTGACATCTCCTCGGACGCGATGAAGAGTGGGTTGGGGCGGGAAACGATAGTCGGTATATCCGATGTCGTTGTTGGCAAGTGTTGACAGAATCCGGGCCAAGACCTTTGAGCAAGGCAATGAAGAATATCTCGAAAATTCCGTTCAAACTTGAGATGTCCGAACACATAACCTCAATGCGCAACTCCTTCTAGATATATAGTCGATACACTCGGGCTGGTGACCCTTGTGGCTGACCTAGGACCCAGCCAAGCGATGTTCGATGGGGTCTCGACCATTCCTTCCATACAAACTTCCAATGGCACACAAAGCTTGAACTGAAGAGATCTAGCAACAGCCAATAGTGTTTTCTCGCTCCCATGGTTTAATTCTAGTCAGACTCCCTGTCCGCGATTTGATCCATGCTGGCCTGCGCTGTCTACCAAATAGCTGAAGGCTAACTACACGCTGCCTTATAAGCAAGCGGATTAGCTGTCGACCGCTGTTCCAAACACCCAGTCTAGACGGTATATTGGCTCGTTTCTTCTCTTCGCGGCTCCATGGCTGGAAGTCCCAGCCGATTTGTTATTGATTGAGTTTGGTTCCCCATCAATTCACGCACTGGACGGCCAACGTGTAGTAAAGCCAGAGGCAATGGAGAAGCCATTCCTTTAGCCGGCTCATTAGGGTTTGTTCCATACATCATCATCACAAGATATCCTCAGTAAAAGAATGAGAGTGAGGCAGTAGCAGAGGGTTTCAATATGAAAATGAGAGAACCTTAACAGTTCCTTCGTTCAGACACTCACATTCGGGACATGGATCTTCAGGCTGCTACTTGATAGAGTCTGTGTACTCGCTTACACGAGCAACCGGAACCTCATCATGCTCCATATAATGTTTTACTTCAACGAATTTTCATCCTCCCACTTCTTCACACAAACCAAAATACTATTACCCAACTCGTCCCCATACGTCCAGGTCTTCTCAATCTTCAGCCGCGCCATCTCCAATAATGCTTCCCACTGTTTTTTCGTCCTTTCCAGCGCCCCCAGGACCAGCATCATCGTAATATCCATCTGCGCTGCGTACCAATGCACGCCTTTATTAGGCAAGATCACTTCATCGATGAGGATGACGGACTGCTCGTCCATTGCAGCCATAGTATTCGACAGGATCGTCACGCATTTGGGGTCAGGGTAGTCGTGAAAGATGTTGCGAAAGTAGTAGGCACGTGCTCCTGTTTGTGGTATCAACTTCGCGCCCGAATAGCCGAGAAGAGCACATGAAATTAGGAACAAGTAAGGAATCATCATAAAAGGGCGGGTACCTTTGAGCGTCTGTTCGGTCCAAATATCATACTCCATGATCTCCAAACCTTCAGTCGGAGGCGCTTGAGCAATCACTTTCGCAAGGTCCTGAAGAACAATGCGCCCAGGCAGCCCCGGATATTTTTGCCTCACAGCTGTCGCTTGATGGCCTAGACCACCTGCAACGTCGACAAAGATTGGAGTGTCGACCTTAGAATGGGACCCGATCATCTCATCAAAAGGCAATACGTCCAGGAAGCTCTTCTGCGATTCGTGAAATGCCGTCATCCAAAGGTTGAAATTTTTGTGATGGGAGGGATGTTCGGCTAGCCAGTCGAAGTATTTGAGGTCCGTATTGTGGCCTCTCTGGAAGACGGTGGTCACGGTATCGTCAGGGTTTACGTAGTTGGTTTCTGCGAAGACTTTCGTCATCGCTTGTATGTATGGTACGTTGACGTCGTGTCTAAGTGACTCGGTCAATTTCGTGAGGGCTAGAAGGAGACAACACACATATAGGAAATTCCAGCCTTCAACCCAGGCAGATTGAGCGCTCGTGTGACATTACTGGCACTCCACAAATCTTCTGATACTTCTGTTACCATGCTATAAGAAGCCATGTACCTCAAAATCCGGCCTGCTTTTCATCAGTTCCAATGTTGTAGGGCCTCATCTGCCGGGATGCACCAAGAAAGGTTTCGTTCGTTTTCGTATGCTTCGCAAGCTCAGAGGTAGTGGTAGGCGCATCCTTCTGTTCGACTAGAATGTCAAAGAGCTTTATGTCGTTTGCCAATTGGGCCATATGAAGTTGCATAGGCTGATTCACGTCAAAAGGGCAATCCGTGAAGAGGTAGAGACTAACCGCATATGCAATACGCTGGAATGATAAGCCAGGCGTCTCCAAGGAGAAGGAGAGGCCTCTTATGGCTTCGTACAAAGCCTTACGAGCTGCTTCATCTTCAGGTGGTGAATGTCTGACAAAATCAAGCTCAGCTATCAAGCGTGAGACGTCCACGGCCAGTGTTGAAGAATTCATGGACTTGGAAATTAACAAAGGTAGCTAATGGCAGTATTCTCGCGCTAACGTTTAAATTTCTTTCGAAGAGAGGAACAACTACTCATAGCAAGTAAAGTTCAGAGTAGAGCTTGCTCGAATTTGTAGACATTTATGAGCAGATCAACAGGATTAGAGGCAGATTGAATAGTAAAGCTAGAGCTTACGGGACCCTGTCGTCTGAATTGCTCTAAATTCCGACCATCTCACTCTAGGTAAAACGTAAACCGGATGCTCACTCCGTCCAAGTAATTATCACATTGCTGGGGTGGAATTACTCCAAAGGATTCCTAAACGTCTCGCATGTTATTTTCCAAAAAAGATAACCCAAGTCTCATTAGTAAAGCTGCAGGTTCGTATATTTTCAAACACTACTTATGGCCAAGGTAGCTGCTGAGAATCATAATGTGGCAGAAAGTTTACACTTATAGCACATCATCTAGAGCATAGCCACTTGTCATCACATACGACTCTTCTCCGTTAGGTTTGCATCTTACATGATCTCTTTTCTTGGTAACCTTTCACCATGAATTTTCAGCCGCAAGAAAAGTCGGATTCCGAAGCGGCTGGCCACGTATTGAGTAACTTGCCGTGTGAAAGCACATGAAGTAACAAGCCATCCGTATCCAAGACAGGCTGCAAGGCCGCTTTTCTCAACGTGCATTTGTCGCTGCCCGAAGTATTCAGAGAGATGCCTTCGCGAAGATATCGCGGCTGAAGCCGCCCGAATTCAAAGGCGTAGTGTCGAAAATGTCGCCTTAATAAGTCGAAGGTACGGCTGTGAGTACTTATAAGCCTGATTAGGTATCCACGTAGCCGGTGTGCGATCGACGACTGACCGAGTTTATCGCCTTCTACGGGGATAATGGAGCTGGAATTGACCAGGTCTGGCAATCTTTCAAAGCTGAACGAGGAAAGCACCTGTCTACTTCGCCATGACTGACACCCTTCTATCTCAGCCTCTCTACTCTCTTCACCAGCTCTTCCTTCCAAGCCTCGCCAAACCCGTCAAGAAAGTCCTCTTCTTTACCAGCTTCCATCCTTCTAGCAAACAGTCTTCTCTTCCATTCTGCTAGACTTGCCTCGTCTCGCGCTTCCTTTCCCACTTCCCAACCTAGTGCATCGAGTGAACATATAGGTAGAGCCAGTCCCACTTCTTCTGGCCACCCAACACTCCTCCCTAGAGTGAGAGCATGGCGCCACAGCTCAGTTGCTGTGGTCCAATCCTCGCGTACATGCGCTATTTGAGCCTTCAGACACATTCCTACAAAGAGAGGCCCGGCAGTGACATCTGGCAAGGCCATTTCTTTTAGAATTGGTGTCAGGTCGTCAATAAGGCATTCTGCGTCCACGAACCATCCTCCATTGACAAGAATCTCCTGTAAAACCACTTTAGAGTGTAATACATGCCAGCTACCGATCTCTCGACCAATGCTCTTGGCTATTTCAACAGGTCGCTGGATTGCGTCTCTTGCCTTTGGCCAGTCTCTTTTGACATAGTAAAGACGGGCCAGTCGGTCGGCTCCGGCTAGATGCTCATCTGTACCCTCCATGTCGCACTTTGCAAATTCTGAGACATGTCCTAGGAGCAATTGCTCGGCGTCGTCATAGCGGCTTTCTTCTACTAAGTAAGTGCCAACGTTCCTGTCGATCCACCATTTGGCATTCCGCTCGAGGGTCGACGGGTGCCCTACAATGACTGGGCTCCAGTCTTGTAAAAGCATATCTGGGGAATCATTGCGGTTGAGTCTTTGTCGGATGCTTGCCCTAAAATTACGAAGATCACCCAAGGCGGCATTGAATCGGCCCTTTTGGCCTGGATTGTTCAGATCTATACCACTCGTAGTGCCTGAGCGCTGGAAATATTCTTCTAGAAGCATTTCCACCTTTTCTGGTTGATCCGGATGATCTTTAATGAGCTGTCTGGTGCGAACAAATACCCCCATGATGTCAAGATAGGGGTCCGCATGTTTCTGAAGAAGACTGTCCGCAATTTTCAAGAGACGCCTGTCGGATTCTGTGGTGACAATTTTTAAACCAAACATTTGGATTGTGCGAATGGAATAAATAATGAGGAGAAGCTTCTTCGCTACTTTGGATAGGTCGTCACCGAACTCGAGTGGCTTGTCAACATAGTGAAAGCACCGATCTAAGTGAGAGCGAGTAAGTCTTCCGAATTCTACGATACTTAGAAAAAGTCAGCCTGCGTCCAGTCTGGACTTCTCATGATCATTACCTAAAGTCTCGAGACCACTCCGGGAAAGCATGGCTCAGTATGCAAATTGCTTGCTCCGCAGCCATTCGCTTTTGTGGCTGCTTTGCTCGGGAGCGACCACAGAATGCGACTAGTGGATGTAATTTGAACACACGCACGTCTTTGTTTCCAGTACTTTCGGTATACTGTTGGATCAGCGAAAGGGACAACATCTTTTCAATCACCGAATCAAAGTCATCCTCGTTGGTCATCAAGTCTACAAGATCACCCTGCACGCCATTGTCTTCAGCGATTGTATCTTGCTCATTGCCATCCTCGTCCATCTTCAGCACAGGAGAAGCCACACCAGTGAGTAATTCTTCCGAGATTCGCTTAGAGTCCAGGTAGCAAAATACCAGGAAGACTTCTGCAGCAACCTTCATATCAGCCTCAAGACGTTGAAAGGAGACTTCCCAAGATGTAATGACCGATTTATTATATGATGAAAGCTTTGGCGAAAACTTTAGGATCCGCTCTCTCTGGCTTTCGAATAGTCGAATGTACGCCGCCGGCGAGCATTTTCGAGTGCGAATGTAAGCTCCCGCTTGGTCTATGGCCAGTGGCAAATGAGAGAGCTCCTCCACAATGTGATCGACATCTCGCAAATCCTTAGCTGATAGATTTGACAATGTAGCGCGGGAAATGAGCAGCGCCTTGGATTCTTCAGGCTCCATCATTTCTAGAAGTAGGCCCTCCGATGTCAGCTCAGCAGCATTTGGATCTCGCGATGTCAAAATGATGTGAGTTTCCTTAGATAGTGGAAAGTAGTCTGTCAGCTGGTATGATTCCAGTTCGTCAGCATTATCAAAAATTAGAAGCCAGTTGACATCGTCCTCCATATCAAACCATCTTTTTACTGCACCAATCTTATCCTTTGGACAGCCAAGATCAAGATCGTCATGAATTTTAGAGAAGTCTTCATGTAGAGTCGTCTCGGAGTCTGCGTCAAGAAAGAAGACACCGGAATATTTAGATCGCTGCTGGAATGCAAACGTCAAAGCGAGCTGTGTTTTGCCTGTAACGAAAGATATCAGACCACAAATCAATGCGAAACGGTCTTTGAGCCATATTTTGCATCAAAATATTTACATACCGACACCTCCGAGACCATATATAGCGAATCGTCGCTGAGTTTCGGACTTGTGGTTCATGAAATAGTCCAATATCCGCTGCAGAAGTGCATTCCTGCCGGTGAATGAAGCGCATGGAAAGAATGGCACCTTCCAATGCTTGTGACGACCGACGCGGTCCTTACTTTTCGAGATTGGGGTTTGGATCAGATCGGCCTGAACATCGCCTTCTTTTCCTAAAGACTCCCGAACCTTAATGTTGAAGGTCTTACTTTCGACTGATGATACTTTAGCAAGATTTGAGAGATAATAAAAGCGTATACCAACGTTCTGAGATAGCTTCTCGCTGGTGAAATTTGCGTGCAGCTTCCTTCGCAAAGTCATCAATCCGTGTCCAGACGGCTCGGAAACCGTGGTCATCTTCTCCAGTGAATCTACATATCTCGCGGTGATTGGCATGCGCTGCGATGATCTCTTCCCCAGGCAGACCGAGAATTGCGGAGCGTTTATCAACTACAATTACCGAAGCTCCTTTCCACCAAGGAGGTGAGCAGGGATTGAGCTCGTAGAAGCTGATGAGCTTCAACTTTAGATCGGACGTGACAGTAGCAAACTCTCTTGAGATGTCATACAAGGCCGCAGAGTTCTTGGAAAGAGTCTTGAGCCAAAATTTAGGCATCTCGATGGCCATCGACGCAATATTGGCGAAAACGGTGCCGATCTTTGCGAGATCGCTCCCACAATGTGGCGTGCCCATGAACATGATGCCGACAATGCTGTTACGGATTGCCTTACCTTCATCGGATGATTGGTGAAGTAGGATGGCTTTCTTGGCTATGATACCACCAAGACTGTGACATATCCAGAGCATATCGCGGTGCTGCTCTGCTTTCTCCCTGCGGAAATCCTTGAGATTGACCATGAGCTGAAGAGCAATGTCCAGCACATTTTGCCCTTCTACAAGATTCTTAGTCGAGGAATTGTACCCGTAAGTTAGAACACGAGCTGAAGGAACCTTTTCAGGCAAGATATCCTGTGGCCAGTATACAAAGGTCTCTGGATGAGTGAAGGTCCTTTGAGCATGACCATTAAGGCCATGGATGATGACCACGCTGTTCACCTATATCAGAGTGATCTACATGAAAACGCAACGGAGCTATTTGCTCAAGGTGAATCTGTCCTCCCGCCGGTAGCGGTCGTTCAGCAGTTGGATACACCTGGCGAACGCCATAACAAGGATCTGTGTAGCGTGCTACTAAGCTTTCTGATGGATTTCTTGTCACCATGATTCAGAATGCAAACCGTCCCAGGCATTGTTGACGAAAGAGTCGTAAGCGTTGTACCTCATTGAGGCTCTGCGTGCCCCTCATGTGGCCGCTCTAGGCCGCTCCAAACTGAGATTAGGGGCTGTCACAATTCCCAGAGACTGATTCATGGGCACGCATCAGGGTCCGTCCTCCTTGTTGATGTTCCTCAGGACCTCGGAACCCTTTCAGCAAGAGAAGCTGGCACGGTCACATATCAGTTAAAGCGACCCTTCTCCGTCCTGTCCAAATTTGGTGCACCGCCACACGTGGCTTGGCAAAAGCTAATTGGCCGCCTTACGCGTACAACGCGTTTGGTTGACAGCTGACAGCTCCTAACCCCATCCTTGACCATCAACACATCACATTATCAACGTGCTGCAGATTGAGACTTAAAGGACTGAGAAAGCCTTTGATTATCAGTTCTGCTAGCCATTGTCGCCCCCCTGTAAGAATGAATCACGAGGAGAATGCCGCACTGCGGCAGAAGTTTGAATTATTGAAAGGAGCTGAGCAACATAAGAACGCCCTCATAGAGGTGACACTGCCTCACTTGATGCCCGATAGCTCTTGCTGACGTCTGACAGGAGTTATTACGTCGCCTTGATAGCGTTACCGATGAATGTCATCAGGAAAAACTAGACCATGCACGAGAGTCGCACTTTAACAGGGACGTTCAACAGCGCGAAATCCAATTGCAGAAAGAGCTACGCAGATATAAGTCACTGATGGTGAGAAGACCTTGAATATCATGCAGAAGCTCTCTGAACTCGAATGCAGGAGCGTGACGCCTTCGTCCTGGTCCTCATTGACGGCGATGGGATGATCTTTAATGAACAATTGATGGCCAAGGGTGAGGCCGGAGGCAAAGAAGCAGCCGGCTTATTGTGGAACGCGGTAGCAACGGATGTCAATCGCCGTATACCTGACCTGGGGATCGATTACAAAATCGTTACACGAATATATGCAAACTTGAAAGGGCTCGCGGATGTCTGCCACCGTGCTGGGATGCTCGACTACCCATCCCTCTTAGAAGATTTTGCTCGTGGCTTCACTGGCTCAAAGCAATTATTTGACTTTGTAGATGTGGGAACAGGCAAAGACCGTGCTGATGATAAGATTTCTGGTATGTCCAGACCCATAACCCGGACCTTGGCTAATTGAAGCAGAAATATTCAAACTTCACCTTTACGATTGTCACTGTCGAAATATATATTTTGGGTGCTCGCATGACAATGGCTATGCCCGGCTGTTAGAAGACGTCGCTGAAACAAGCATAATGAACTCGATAACACTTCTTGAAGGCGTGCCGTTCGAAAGAGAATTAGAGCAGTTGAAATCACTTTATTCAGCCACTAAATTTGACGGCCTCTTCCGTACGGAAAAGATCAACATCTACAATACTCAGAATCGTGAGACGCAGCGTCCAGCGGCAACGGCGCCTCCACAGAGCAACGGACTTCATCAGCCCCCGCAGTATCAAAGTACTTACCAATCCAGTCTCCCACCAATCCAACAACAGCCATCCCAAACCCACCAAATCCAGCCACAGCTGCGAACTACTTCCTCTTCTTCTGCATCGTCTGCTCCTCTCAACGCCGCTGCGCCGACATGGGCATCAGCAGCAATGAAGCCAGCCTTGGCGTCTCCACCCTTAACGCCACAGCCCGCCAAATCTGTCATCCCACAAGTACCACGGAACAGACTTGGCCAGCGTGTGGACCCAGTGGGCACGTATGACCCTCAAGAGGTAAAAAGAATTAAATCCAAGAAGATGTGCAACGTTCATTTCCTTCGAAACGACTGCCCTTACGATCCTTGCACGCACGACCATTATTTTCAGCCGACCAAAAACGAATTGGCAACTTTGAGATACGTGAGTCGCATGACACCCTGTAAATTTGGGCTGGAGTGCGACGACTTGAAATGCATTTATGGGCATCGATGCCCGGTTGATAGGGAGGGTAGCAAGGAGTGCAAGTTTGGCGAGAACTGCCGATTTGAACTGGAATCGCATGGAATCGACCGGAGGATCGTAAATGTGGTCAAAGTCGGTGGGAAATGAATTGGACCGCGACTGAAATCTAACTGCACTAACACATTTGTCATTTTGGTTGTGAGAATTCTGACATGATTCGACAAAATTTCCAGGATCAAGACGATTATGCCTAAGATCTTTCAATCTTCTCATAGCATTTATAGTGTTCCACCCGCAATGTCCAATATAGGGTTATCGATATCTTGCTCAAATACCTTTGAAATTTCTAACGCGTTTGTCATTTTGGCATGCGAAATGGAGGGCGGCAAGTAAGTGGGAGCTGGACCATGAGCCAAATGAATTTTAAGTTATTGTCCAAGCGAAGATGAATAGAAGGAAATTGTAGAATATGCAGGCACAGTTGACTGGCTTAGGCACACGGTACAACATCGCCGTGCAGAAAACGTCATTGCCATATAAGATTGGAGGAAAGAGCAATAACCACAGAAGAGCAGAGGACTTGGCTGATCTTGATGCTCGATATTAATAGATGCGTATATGGGTATCTCCGTATGCTCGCGCTTGAACGCTTCCAGAAAATCATCATAAAGTCAGGCATGCACGGCCTGAGCGGTTGAAGCGCTCAGGGCTGCTCACTCACCCATCTTCTGGGGACACTCCGCTGCTCTGTTGAGGCGCTCTCTTCTTGGCTAGCATCCTCGCTTTTCCCTACTTCCCTTGGAGGTAGCCATAGCCGCGCCCTTCCTGGGGCACCATCACTCAATTTTCCAGCCTTCCTCATGTTCATCTCGAGGACGATGACCCTCAAAAAATCGCCGTTTTCCCTCGGCTCTCTTTGCTTGGGAAGTAGCGAGGATGTGAGCGGGTCTTCTGTATCGAGCGAGCTTTTGGTCAGATGGGGGATCCGTTTCTGTTTCTTGCTGGAGGGAAAGATGGGAGGAGACGACGCGTTGGCTGATCGACGAGCACCTGGTTGATAGGATACCATCTGTATAGCCGCGCTGCAGGACAAGGAATCTCGCTCCGTATGAAAATGTAGCTCTGCAGGCGAGAGCTTGATTGGATTCAAGTATCGTCGTAAAGCAGGATCGGGTGGATCTTCGGAAAACCGGGGTCGAGGTCGCCTTTCGTCAGTGAATTTTTCGTCAATCGCTAAGATTGAGCGTGAGAGGTGGTCATCGCGTTGCGGAAGGGGTGGCGCAAGGTCCGAGATTGAGCGAGCAGCCGAGCGAATCGCGCGAAATGACGCGGTCAAATTTGACTTGAAGGAGGCCTTCGTCCTCGTGGGTTGACTCGGTGGCATGTTCTCTTCAGTGATTTCGGGAATGGCTTGCTTTTTTTGTAATAGAGGATGATTGCTAGCGCAGTCTTTTCCTACTGAGCTTGATGCGCTCTTGCCCCTGCGACTTGCACTCCCGAAGCCCGGCGTCGAAGGGTTCTCTGAGCTTATCGAGCTGTCGTCTTCCGCCAGTGACGGCATTGACTCCGTTGATATCGATCTGACCGAAGAAAATGGGCCGAGGGTCGTATCGCTTTCATAGCTGCCGCTTCTAGGCTCCAGTTCATTAGGCGGACTGAGCAATAGATCCCAGGTCCGGGGGCTTGACGACGACGGCGATTTTCGGGACTTTTCCTTCATCACTCTCTTAATAATGGGAACAGGTCGAGAGCCTGTGTCTATCTTCTCTTCAACTCCGAGAATTGAATCCACTGCCAGGAACGAAGCGGCGGATGGTGAAGGATGCCCCGGATGATGTTTCCCATTGCTCGACGGTGCCCTTCTGCTTTTCTCATCCTCCTTTCTGGGCGTCAATTTTACACGTTCTCTTGTCCGCGTCGGTATCACTACCGGTTTTGCGGGTAAACTTTGCGAGGGAAGGAAAGAGCGTTGCTCTTGAGACCGAGTATTATTCTCTGCCTTGCTCTTACTGCTCGCAAGCTTTTGTTCCTTTGACTTTGGCAAGGACCCTTTCTCAGGTTGTACGCTGGGTGGGCCTGGCCTTGAGCCATGCTTATAACTTCTGGGAACCATCATCTTCCGTATGTATCGAACTAGGTCTCAAAGCATTTCAGGATTCAAGAACGGTTGTGCTCAAGCACAGGTAAGGACAGTGAGGCTGTTGTTGCGCATGCGTCGGATTCCCGACGCATACCTTTCGTTGTTGTGGGTGGTTCGGTAATCTTAGCTGGGGCTGATTTTGATGACATCAGTCATCTTGAGGGTATGGCTAACATGTTACGTCGTTCCCTCGTCTGTGTGAAAGAGATGATGATGGTGAAATGACCGTCGGAAGCTGAATAGGGGATATTTCATCCGTGCGTCCGTCTTGAGCCCATAAGGGAGGTCGTGTGCATGTGGGGATGGATGTGGCCGGGTCGCCGGTGAAGCCTGAACCAGCGCGTTGTGAGGGCGCGATAAGGAAAAGGAGGATATGTGGCAGACGACACGACCTTTGGGCTGTCGGCGTCCTCCAGCCAATGATCCGAGCGGAAATGCTAATCAGCGCTCTTAGTCAGACGTCCGTGCAAAAAAGGCGCACTGCAGAATATTCACACTCCTTGGTCACTCGGTATCGACTGCTGATAAGAAAGATTCGCCAGCCCTGCGCTTTGTTTGGCCGATCCACAGCATCATGCATACGGATCTCCAGGCACGGATCGCGGCTGCAATGCAGGGAGCGAATCCCAAAACACTCGACTCTGGACCCTGACAGGCCACCGCATGTGGTGACTCTCCTGCCAAGGTCACCGTGTGATTCGTCCGATGTCGTCGCGCGAGGTGCTTCTCCGCGCAGGGAAAGGACTTCTTAACTGCTTAGGGCACTGGAGGCTTGGGCTTAACTCAGGACAGTCGCATTTTGCCTAATAAGAATTACGTAATGTCAGGTCGCGACCCACCGAGATCATCAATAAGGGAGTGCTAGACCATACCTGGTAAGTACATCAATGGTTCGGTGCGTGCACCACGTGTCAAAGCCCTCACGCATCGTCGTCGCCCGTCGCGTTGCGGGAATAGTGTAAGAGATTGTCCCGTTCAGACTGGTGCAAAGCCTGTGTATTATTCACACCATAAGGACCAGCACGGCTAGAGGGAAGGAAGACTCACGTTCTTCATCCAACAGAGTTCTCTCCTGCCAACTCTGGGCAACCCAATCTGCTGTTACGACGCGAGGTAAGCGCGTGTCGAACTGACTGATGGTCGATCGGATCTCTTTCAGCCGGGTTTTGTCATGTCCGATCAGGACATGTGTGATACCTGGCATTAACGAGTCGCTCATATCAGCGCCAGCAAATCTCGCTACGTGACAAGCCTTGGACAATTCGATATCTGCAATGACCGGCGATTTCTGGGAGGCGCCTATGAGCGCTGGGGCCGGATGTATTTTCAGGCCTTCGAAGAGCCACCCTGAAAAACACTCCAGCCCAGGAATAGTCTTCCTCAACTCTGCACGGAGGTCTTTGACTTCGGTAGGTCGTTCTTGTTTTGAGGGTAGGCCATCCATGAGGCTTTTGAGTTCCTCAACCGAGACGTCTTTCGCAAAGCTATCGCCATACTCGTCAACATTAGCGCTGATCATTTCCTCGCTCTCTGCCATGGTGAAGAGCATATGCCTTGGCTCGTACGGCAGGACTAGCCTCGGCTTGTTGATGTCTGTCTCTCCCTGCTTGATATTGTCGAAAATCCAACATGGTCGAATGATGTTGGTCTCTCCCTTTTAATTGCTGACGCTACATGGACGGTCCTGTTGTCTCCGATGCATATCGTCTCAGGCTTAGCGTAAGTCTGGGTGATGGCCCCTCCGCAGGACTTGACAATCGACTCTAACTCTGCCTTCGTCTTCTTGTTTGGCTTTGGTGAACCCGTCATAATGTAGAAAAGCAGACCTTCAAAGATCTTCGTTGCATTTGTCATAAATGTCGTCATGATGTCTTCGTTTCCGGCTATGGTCAAAGGCTTTTTTCTGTTTGTACGCGGTCGTTTTCTTTTTGAATCGTCAATTTGAAATTGCTTCTCCTTTCTCTCGCTCTCAACATCTGCTTTCAGTTGCATGAACCCAGAGATGGAAAGAGCACTCTCCCAAGTGCGATCATCTCTGATCCGCTTGAAGCGAGGAAAACGTAAAGTGTAGCCCATCTTGAAAGAATCTGTCACTGCGACAGACGCAGCCTTGACCTCTACAACCACGGAGTCACTCGGTAAAATCCACTCATCAGGTTGTTCATATAATCGCCTCTCATCCCCGGCTAATGAAATGTACTCGAATGGGGGTCGTTTCGGCTCCCATTTCTGCCATTTGCCATCGGTCTTGTGTCGTACGGCTGCGTAGTCGGCACCGGTAAAGCCACCTCCAACTTTGAAGAAAGAGTAAAATTTCATCGGATTGGCGCCCTGGGAGATCTGATTCTCGTCTACTCTCAAGCCGCATAGAAAACTGGACAGCTTGCCTCCTCGGCGCCCTGAGCCGTAGTACCCGCCAATAATGACGCAGTCAAGGTTTTCTCCAAATTCGTTCATGTATTCTGGCTTCACTTTGATCCAATCATCGTTCCTCTGATTTAGCCGATATGCTGAACGCGGGTTCTTGATCACCAACCCTTCTGAAGCCTCAGCGACTACCTTACGCAACATTGGATCGATATCAGACACTTTCTGAGCTTCTGTGTATTGGTGAATCTCAAGCCGTCGATGCACATCTTTCACAGCTCCTTCAAGTGCTGCCCGACGGTCACGAAGGGTATAGTCTGTCAAGGTTTGTCCGTTGAGATAGAGGATGTCGAAGACGCGAAACAAAGGCCTCCATCCGGAAGCATATGGATTGTCTTGCTGCTCTTTCGCGGCTGTCTTCAACGTCCCGAACGGTACCATCGCATCCTCATCCACGTCCCATGTAATCATTTCTCCATCCAGTATGATGTTGTCAACCCCCTCGTGGAAAGCATTTATCAAATGCCGCGTTACTGATGATCTGTCGTCCTCAAATCCACTCCCGTATAAGTAAGTGTAGTCTTTTGCTTTCCTCGACCAGAAGCCAAACTTCTTTCCTCCGGGTGTTTCACAGTCTTCCGTCATATGAAGCTGCATTCTTTCCCCATCAAGCTTTTCTTCAACCCAAAAAACTGGATCTTCTTCGGTGGGGTGCATGCGGTCCACCATCTTCTTGAAGCTCTGCATTTGGAACTGGGCCAATTGTGGCTGAAAGCATTGCATTAATTTTACCCCCGTATCCTCACCTTCAAGTCGCACCTTCGGATCGTAGAGCTCCCAGCAGACTCGACGTAAATTCGAGCAAATATTGAACAAGGTGTCGGCGTCAGGATGCCAGATATTAAAAAATGTCTTCTCTGTAGCCCCGACCTTCATTTGACGAAGTATCATTCGAATCAACCACATTAACTCTTCTGCGTTCATTCTTTGGTAGAATTGCGTTAAGATCTGGATCTGTGAATGCTGCTTGGTGGCGGCGGCAAGCTGGTCGAGAAGGCCGTTGACTTCTTCAATGGACATATCACCAGGGTCTATTCGTATTGGTCTTTTCGAAATGACTTCATAGCAGCGTCCAGCGAAGTCCCCTGCCATGCGACTTGCGGCCGTTTGCCCCGGCTGCTTCCAATTTCGCAAATTATAACCATCCTCCGAGTCTTTGTTGATCTTCATGACCTGTATCAGTAGCTTACCAATGATGGACTCCTTGAGCCCGTACATAGGTCGCTCTCGATCCTTCTCGGGAATGATTAGTCGGATAGCGGGGTAGATGTCTGGACCGACTTCGTTCCTCCATTTTGAGATGAAACGCTCAATGATACTCTGTCTGATCTCATGCGGATTCTGTGTAGTAGGACCGTGCCTTCCGACCTTTGCTCTGGCTATTGAGGGGCCAGTGGGTTTCTTCTTGTTGTCGTTGAGCGGGTTGAAAAGTGTTAGGTAGAGGTCATGAAAGGGGAGCGTCTTATTTCGGTTCTTCGGCCTAAAAGGATATCTGTTGCAGATTATCAGTGTCTGATTCGGAAGATGACTGGCTGTACCGGCAGACTTTTCATCAAGCTCTTGTTCTCGAGTTACCATGTCTTCGTCCATCTGGGAGGTCACCCCCACATCCTCCATATTGACGTCCGCGTTGGCCATGTTCCATCATGTGACTTGTGATTTTTCTCAGACGTTCTCCTAGAATTGCATCTGAAGTCTAAATCCACTTGGGGTTTGTACTTTTCCTATCCCCTTAAATCTTTAAAATCTTTAGTATGGTGTTATGTGACGCAATAGTCCTTGGCTGAAGCGCGCGCCCACGTGACTTGAAGTCTTGGCGAGCGGTTCTTTCTAGCCGCCCGAACGGGTGCTGTTATCTTTTGAACGTCAGCCTTCTTACATACGCCTGTGCCTGTATCACGATAGGGATGCAGGGGACCAAACTCTATGCATGCATGGCATGCATTGACGGATCATCATCGCGCTAATCTAGTTTTCTCTTCTTTATCTGGAGGCTACATTGGGCTCCGCCGCAGATCTAGTTTCATTGCCTTCGAACGAAAAGTACTCCTCCACCAACCTCCATTGTACTGTACATTCGGGGACTTTTCACCAGTGTCTCACACCTCGCAGTCTCCGGTGACCAAGATCTGCTAGGTGCTGGTTCACTATGCTTATGTGCTATCGGTGTCAAGATGCTTTAACACAGTGGCCTTATCAGGTTATCTACCCCTGCCCCTTTGCCTAGTCGCCGTCTTTGATTAGGAAATTCTATCCATGCCGTTAGTTTTAACGACGTTGCGGTCACCGCTCTTTGTTTTCAGTCCACGTTTCTGTCTTTGTTCCTCGTGCATTCAATCTTCCACGTCACACCTTGAACCGCCAATCTCACTCAACAGCATCCCAATCTATGGGTCGGTTCTTTCTTGTTGCATGTTTTTCCTACTATATTTGCCTAGCTGTAGCCCCGGAACTTTGCTTTAGCTGTACCTTACCATCCTTGTGCGATGTCAGCATTGATAAACTAAACTATCTACAGTCCTCAGGCATTGTCACAAGCGTTGATCTAGTCAAAGTGTACACACAGCGTACGAGCGAAGTCAACGATCGGTTGCGTGCAGTCACGGAGATCAACCCGGATGCTCTAGTGATTGCGAAAGTACGAGACGCCGAGCGCGCTCATGGCTTTGTTCGTGGCCCGCTTCACGGCATACCCATTCTTCTCAAAGACAACATTGCGACGACCGATTCCCAGAACACTTCTGCAGGTTCGTTTGCGCTCCAGGGCGCCCAACCAAAGTATGAAGCCATCGTCGTCAAAAAGCTTCGCGCAGCTGGTGCTGTCATCCTTGGCAAAGCGACCATGGGAGAATGGGCTCAATTCAGATCAGCTTTCGGAAGCTCTTCTCATGGATGGAGCGCGCTTCATGGGCAGACTTTAGGAGCGTATCATACGCAGCAAGACCCGCATGGAAGCTCAAGCGGTAGCGCAGTAGCTGTATCTGTGGGACTCGCTACCCTTTCACTTGCTACAGAGACTAGTGGCAGCATTGTGAACCCTGCCGAGAAGAACAATCTTGTGGGCATCAAACCAACCATGGGCCTCACATCGCGCGACATGGTTATCCCAATAACTCTCCGACAGGATTCTGTTGGACCCATTGCCCAAACAGTCAAAGATGCTGCTTATATGCTCGCGGCAATCTCTGGCAAAGATAAGCATGACAATTGGACGCTGGCGCAACCTTTCGATGTAGTACCGGATTATGCAAAAGCTTGCAATTTCAACGCTTTGAACGGCACTCGGTTAGGGGTACCTCGAAACGGGATTGCACCCTTTCTAGACGAAACAACAAAGCCCATCATGGATGCATTCGAAAGAGCACTACGTATCATGCAAAATGCTGGCGCCACCGTTAAGGATAGTACCAATTTTGCGAGCTTTGACAAGCGAAAATGGGATTTAAATGGTGAGATAGTGATGGATACGGACTTCGCTTCTGGCTTGCAAGGCTACCTATCGAAGTTGAAGACAAATCCTAATAATTTGCATTCCCTGCAGGATCTGGTTCATTTCACCAGAAATCACCCTCTAGAGGGCTTACCAGACCGCGATGTAAGCCCTGGAGATCTGAACTCTATTTGTCTGCGGTCCACTAATCTGGATAGATGCATGCGTGGGAGAGATCTTTAAAGCGGCAAGTTGATAGCAATTCGGATGAATCTAGAGCTGCATTCCAGGCAAATCTCGACATGGCAGAGGATGAAGGTATCATTGGAGTGCTCAACCGCCACAATCTCGACGCTCTGGTGATGCCAACATTCACGGCATTTCACCTCACATCCATTGCAGGGCTGCCAATAATCACGGTACCCTTGGGGTTCTATCCAAAGGATACGCCGGTGAAGATGAACTTGAAAGGCAACCTGATCAGCGTTGGACCAGGTATCCCATTTGGCTTGTCATTCATAGGTCGTAAATGGAGCGAAGAGACCCTGATATCTCTAGCCCATGCTTTTGAGCAAAAGACCATGGTGCGAAAGCAGCAAGAGCCACTGATTAAGCCCTCCTATGAGCTTGGAAGCCAGATCAGGGATGTTGCACGGCCATCTCCAAGCAATCTTGCAATAGGAGCGATGAGCGTCAAAATGGAGTACAGGCGTCCTTTCATGGAGAGATTGAAGGCTCAATTCGTCTCCTTGTCGTACGGTAAGAGCTCGGTCCTGGCATAGGTAATATATCTCTTGCGATTCTTTAATTAGTCAGGGCGCGTCAGCGAGCAGGGAGTTTGAGGCGCAGGTAGCGAGTCGAGATGGCACTCGAGCTATCCGTATTGGCAGCAAATTGACCTTGGTTTCACGAACGCATGTTCTTGTCTGGTCGTATCATTGGAAACGACCGCCTGATGATATTTTTGACCGACAAGGCTAGACCTGCATTGGTAGACCAATCAAACCATCCTTCCAATACTCCCACATCTAGACACATAAACATTGTCCTACTTTCTCCGCACTCTTTGAGGATAATGCAATACTCCCACACTCAATGTAAGGCACGCTATATCATATGCAGCTCTCATGACAGCGGGTGACCTGCCGGGTAATCCTCAATCCACCGCTCAAGTAAGGCAGCCATCACAAGCACTGTCAGGTGCTGCGCAAGCTTTTCGGCTCGCAAAAACGTCTTCGAACGACATCAATGCCGCCAAAATCCAGGGAAAAGGAGCCATATATGCCGCTTCATCTGCCGGTGCAGCTGGAGTAAGGCACCCTTGGAATGCCAATGGCCTGACCATAGCTGTATCCGGCTCAACCGGTATACACCAGAGACCCCTTCCCTCCAAGCACAACAGCTTCCAAGCCGATAGAAGCAAACTTGACGAAACGATTCTGCCATCAGATACACTTCGGACACCTTCGCCATCACACATGGCGGCTCAAATAGCAGCCTCACGCGCCATACCCTCAGCTGGCCCCAAAGTTCCACCACACGTAATAAATGACCGATCGCAAGAGGGGAAGAGTAGATTAGAGAACAAACTTGACGAGACTTCCGTCCCAGCCACGAAGTCTTTGGTCCAGCTCTACGAGAGGAAGCAAGATGCCGACGTTCACCGGCCTGTCATTCAATCTGTTCGCTATGCAAAGCCTCCCACGACTATGGCTAGTCCTATGCCGGTGAGGCCTTCCGCAAGACCTATGTCATCTGCAGATGTTCTATCGGCATCGCTACCCAAGGCGTTGGCTCGGTCGACTTCGGCTTCGATATCGACCACACATAATACAACAAGCTCAGGAGCTGTGGCAGTATCACTTGCAAAAAAACAGCCAGCTCCAAAGCCTCCACCTCCTCGCAGAAGTCAGCGGACATTGAGTGATGCAACAGATGAAGGTGCTGTCGTTTCAAGAGAGCGCAGCGTCCAGCCCATACAAACTCAAAGGCCTAAACCGGATCCCCCAAGTACACTCAGGAGGCACAAAACAACGACTACTCTACCTACTCTCCCAACGGCAATTCGACAGACTAGCCCAGCATCTCCTCCCATCAAACCTCTACCAAGATCTACCTCGCAGTCCACGCTCCCACCAAAACCCAGCCCACCCCTCAGCCGCCTCTCAACAGAAACCCACCTCTCCCCTACTTCCACCAACTCCTACACACCCACCCTCACAGTCTCCTCCCTCGCAAACGCGATGGTGGCCTCCTCCTTGGCTTCCTCCCGCGCCACCTCCCCGAGCAAGTCCCCCCTCCCAACCCCACCACCGCGGCGAAAAGCAAGCAAGTCCTCTCTCTTCCACCTCCACCACAGCAACCCAAGCAACAACTCTCTAATCTCCCGCACACCCTCACCCACAAAACCCGCCGGACTAGCACGAACCACAATGCGCTCTGAGCCCGCCAAAGCTCCAAAACAAGCCGAATTCGCCGGCCATCTGGTGCGCAAACCCCACCACCACCACGAAGGCGACCGGAAACGCTACCGCACCGAACTCACCGAGCGCGAACGCAAGCGCTACGAGGGCGTGTGGGCTGCGAATCGCGGCCTGCTCCTCCCGCCACCGAGTAGTAATATCGAGGCGCTCAATGGCGAAGTCATCAATTTGGTGGTGAGGGATATTTGGCGGAGGAGCAAATTACCGGATGTGGTGCTTGAAGAGGTGTGGGAGTTGGTAAATTTGAGAGGAGGGCGGAGTCTGAGTAGGGAGGAGTTTGTGGTGGGCTTGTGGCTGATTGATCAGAAGCTTAAGGGGAACAAGTTACCTACGAAGGTATCGGACAGTGTGTGGGGAAGCGTCAGGAGGTTGGAGGGGCTGAAGATGCCAAAGCAGAGACGGTGAGGAAGATGTCCATACCCTTGCCGCCGTTTGCCCTGCTATATGAAATGATGTGAAAAAGCACTATTGAAGGAGCTGAAAATTTTGAATGCAGGAGTTTCACAGAGACAGGATAGAAAGATACCCATTTTGTACCGCTCCTTATCGAAGTAGAGTTATAGATGATGCAATGAGATAAACATTGACTTTTCAGCCGCTCTCAGGCGCAAAAGTCTGACTGTGATGCGAGAAGATGGAAGTGAGGATTGAAAAGCACACTCATCAATTCGTACACTATGGACACCCGTGATCGCCGGGCTCAAAATGCAGACAGATACATATAGACAGTGATTCCGCCGGCTCTGGTTCCTTCCCTATTCAAACCGGCCCCTTGAATGCCTCTCACTATTCACCGTTCTTGAGAAATATGCAACAGAAAGCCTGCCCGATATGTGTGTCTCTGAATAGCATACTCCGAAATGCAAAGGCAGAATATACAACATTACAAGAATGCCTTTCTAACAGGATCTGTGTTATTGGCAGCTTCACATATCGACATGTCCAACGACTCGCGATCCCTTGAAAATTGTTGATGTGTACAAGCAAGAGCATTCAAGATTCCCCATCACCAGAATGAAAATTTCAGGGAGGTCAGAAGGCGTCCTCATCCGTCCAAGCAGACTCGCTGCCTGTGGCCATCCTCCTCCCTTGTTGATCCTCAACGATTGGTTGTGGATGCCCATAAGCAGATCTGAACTTCTTGCCGGGAGGCGTGTAAACTCCTTCAGGGGTAAATCGTTTGCCATTCTTAGCCGCTCGCAGCTTTGCATGATAAGCTGAGCTAGCGTCAACTTCGGGCTCCGAAGCATCGTCAAAGGTTTCCCAGTTTTCGGAGCCTGATGTTCCGGTGTTAGTAGTGGAAGTAGTGGAGATCTGTCTGCTGTCTGCGGGAGCCATATATTGGCGGTTTTCGTATCGGCTGTCAGTGTAGTTGTGGTGATTCGACTGCATCATAGAGTGATCAACGTATGACATCCTCTCTCGATCATCGTACACGTCTTCAGGGCTGACTGGTCGAACGCGAGAGTCTGTTGAGGAAGCGACACTGGCACATCTGGTGTTCTCATTCTGGTATGTCTCTTGCAACTTTGGCGGCTCGAAGAGGTCCCTCATTTTTGGAGGAGGCGCTCGAGGCGGACCCATTGAGCGAATGGTGTTAGAATCGTAAGAACCTTCTGATTTGGGCATAGGTGGGCGTCTCTCTGGTGAATTGCCTCCATTACGTGTGGCACCCAGCGGTACACGTGCTGGAATTTTTGACGGCGTTCTGCCTCCCGTTGTTATAACAGAACTAGCAAGTGGATTGCGTCTCATTGCCCCTGTTCCTGGAGTCGTCTTCGCGCCTGGAGTTGCGGTCCCTGCACGCGATGGTGCTTGCGAACGAGTCACGCTTGCTGCTACACTCCCTGCGCGTGAGGCTGCTGGCTCTGGCGCTGATTTCAAAGGTACTTTCTTCGTTGTCGATGCATACGTGGGTCCAGCGGATGGGGTTTTTGATCGAGGAGGTAAGGTTTTCTCCGCTGCTGCAGCAAGCTCATCAAGATACGCAATTCCATGGACAAGGAACGGTCTGCCGTACTCGTCCTCCCATCTTTCTAGTCCTCTCCTCAGCTCCGCCTCAACCTTTGGCAGATCCTTCGCTATCCTCTTCCGCATCTTCTCCTCTCGCAGCAGTCTTGTTGGATCGCGTTTTTCACCTTTCTGTGGTTTCAGGAGTAATCGAGATGCATCCTGGCTAGAAGCTGCTAGGTCATCGCGATCTTTGACAAGAGAACGATGCTTATCCACGAGCTGTAGTGTAGGTGCTCGCTGCTCTTTCAACGCTTCAAGGCGTGCAATCTCCGCCTCATGTGCAGAGAGCAAGGCGTCGCTATACACGTCGGAGAAAGCTGGCGCGAAGTCAAGCATCTCCTCTTCTGAGAAGTACAAGCTGTCCCACAATTCTTGAAGCTTGAACCTTGCGTCCTCGACAAATAGGTGCAGATTCTGCCTCTTAAGCTCGTTCAAGCGATCTAATTCTGATTCGTACTCGTTGATCACTCGAAGGCCGCAGCCACGATTTGCCGCCAGAAATCGCTTTCGATCAGGCTCTTCGACACCTAAGCGGTCCCACAGCCCCTCTACTGTTGCTCTCAGCTCTTTCAGTCTTCTCTCGCGTGCTCGTTTCTCTTCTATCAGACGATCTCGCTTTCCATCAAGTCTCTTCATATCGTCTTGATGAAGACCCAGCTGCTCTGGAGCATCGCGATAATACTTGATAATAGAGCTCTCTGTTTGTGCTTGTGGCGTACCCAGTTCAGCCCACAGATTGACAATGTCATCTGCCGTCGATTGCACGCTTTTGATTCGCCGCTGGTACTCTTCATACACCTTAGAGAATTCTTTATCAAGTGAAGCGACGTAGGAGGATGAAAGGTCAAAGGTAGGCGGTGGGGAGGAGCTATTAGAGCAGGATGGTAGAGCAATTTTGACAAATGAGGGTTCAAGATGAGACGAGTAGGATTCAAGAGCTTCGGCGAGTTCTAACGCAGTCAGTCAAGATCTATCCCAAGAAGCATAGTGAACTAACTTTTCACTTCCTCAAAACGTTGGCGATGAACTTTGGCCACGGCATTGTACTTTGCTTTCAGTCCTTCAAGGCATTGCATGAGAGGCAGTGTGACTTTAAGATCATCATTCTCAAGTTGATATTCGTCAGTAGCTTTTTTGTCCTCTAGCGACGTTTCCATCTGCCTAATGGTCTTGATGAGGCGGTTGGCCTCTTCCGTAAGTTGGCCCTTCTCCCTGAGAAACGTGAGAAAATTTTCCGCATGTGGTACCAACTATATTTACCCATTGACTATCTTTAGTTGGTTATGCAGAGTCTCGGACAAAGCTGTGAAAAGCTGTTACAGTGAGTCAGTTGATTTAAAGTCATCAGCGCATGAAGCTCACCTCTGTCTCTCTAGATTCTCGCTCATGGTTAGGTACTCCTATTTCATCGAACAGGCCGTGAAGTTGCCCAATAATTGTCGTGACTTGAGTGGTTAGATAGCTTGTGTCCATGCTTGATGATTATGCGTAAAGAGGGATGAAGAAAAGGAGGGTCAGCAAGCCCTTTCAGGCGCGTTTCCAGCGTGGACGGACAAAACGATCTTATTCTCAGACGGGCTTGCATACATCAGGGGATTAGCATCAATGGTTTCTTTAAGCTTCCGATGCGTGTAGTGATGTTCAATGAAGTACCCATCTACATTACATCGCTAGGCCGCATCTCTCGCGATGTTGATATTGCGGAGAGAGTTCCGTCATTGGTTGCTGCGCAACGCAAGCGAGGCTGCCAAGACGGACTGCTCGGTGATGGCTCGGATTTAAGATAAGATAGACATGTATCGAAAAGTGATGAGCTTGTTCGTCACCTTCAACTACTGAAATATGTAGCTGCCTTGACACTCTACAGCACTTTGCCATTGCTTCCATTTCTACAAAGGTATCTCTGCCTTTTGCATGGCGAACCCACAGAAAACATGGGGTATGACATCCTTCCCGTCTCCGAATCAATAACCTGACTTTCACCTAGAGCTTGAGAACAGCGTCAAGCTTGTCGACCCTCATCGCGACGCCCTCTACACCTACGACGTTGACGAACAGAAAGCTATTAATGAACAAAAACCATGGAGGAAAGATCCCCACCACTTCAAACATGTTCGCATTTCCGCGATCGCCCTATTAAAAATGGTCATGCATGCCCGCTCAGGTGGTTCAATAGAAGTGATGGGCTTAATGCAAGGCAAGATTGCCGGTGACACATTCATAGTCACAGACGCGTTTCGATTACCAGTCGAAGGCACAGAAACAAGGGTAAACGCAGCAGACGAGGCAAATGAGTACATGATTCAATACACAAGTCTAGGTCGAGAGAACGGCCGGGCGGAGAATGTGGTGGGGTGGTATCATAGCCATCCAGGCTACAGTTGCTGGCTTTCAGGTATTGATGTCACGACGCAAGATGTGCAGCAGTCATTTCAAGACCCTTTCCTTGCTGTGGTGATTGATCCAGATCGCACAATATCTGCTGGGAGGGTGGAAATTGGTGCATTCAGGACATTTCCGAAAGATTACAAGCCACCTAGTTCAGGGGAGGATGATGGGTATCAGTCAATACCACTCAATAAGGTGGAGGACTTTGGTGCACATGCTAGCAGATACTACTCGCTTGAGGTGTCGCACTTCAAGAGCACGCTGGATACACATCTTCTTGATTTGTTGTGGAATAAATACTGGGTATCGACCCTGAGTCAGAGTCCTCTGTTCACCAATCGAGAGTATGGGAGCAGGCAAATGCTCGACTTGAGTCAGAAAATCACAAATGCCGCTTCTACCGTGAGTTCCAATCGTGGTTCTCAACGAAGCAATGTCAAGGACCCGCAGCTTGAGAAGGTCATCAAGGATAGCAATAAAATTGCTGGCGAAGAGAAGACTGGGCTACTTGCAAGTGAGGTAAAAGCGAAACTTTTCAATGGACTAGGTCAAGCTGGGAATAGATAGGCGGCTATCCCACAAGCTTTACAATCAGATTTTGTCAAATTCTGCATAGCGTCGGAGATTTAAGCACAGGAGGTGAATGTAGCATCAATGACATTCTCAAACTCTTCGACTTGAAATTCAGTCTGCTATGACTGACAAATGTCGGATCCACCAATTATTGTATTGACTTCCTTCAGCCATGCTCAGTGCGATGGATGCTGCTCGGTATTCTCTAAGCTGAAAGCACTCTCTGCTGATGCTAGCCTCCGCAGTGTTTCTTCACGTCCTAGATACATCATAGTATCCGGTAAGCCTGGTCCAGAGCGACCCCCGAGTAGTGCCCATCGGAGATAATAGAGAAGACACTGGTTGAATCCCTTTGATGAAGATTGGTCATCCAAATTTGTGTCAGGAAAGATTGATGAAGCATTCAAAGTCAAATTCTTCAAACTCGGAACATCCCACTGGTCGGCAGAGAGCGTTTCCACATGTTCTCTTACGAGAGAAACCTCACACAACATTGCAGGATGTCGAAACTTCTCTTCGAAAGCATCCCGCGGTCTGGCGCAGAAGCAGTCTTTGTGCCACTCGAAGAATGCTGTGGCATCAGTATAATATTTCGGATTTTTTGATAGCATAGCTCTAATCAGCGCTTCAAGCTCATGGTCGGGCTTATTATGAATGCTAATATTGTCAATAAAGCTCATGACGAATTAATACACTCTTACTCTGGATTTGATGCTAAGTATAGAGCAGCCTTTCGATGGACTGCAACTACCATCTTGTCAAGATGTGGGCCGTTAGTCGCTACTTGAAGCTTTGCATATTTGGCTTGAAGGTAGCCCAACTTCTCCGTGGCAACGTTCACATCTCCCTTGGTAAATTTGAGGTCAAACTGCCCAGTCAGTAAGTCCACATGAGTCACGAACGAACGTACATTGTGTATAAGATCCTGCATTGTCATGAAATCACTCGTCAGCTTGTGTGACCATCCCATCAAGGCAAGATAGTTTATGAGAGCTTCTGGAAGGTAGCCTGACTCTCTAAACATCTTGAGGGTGTCGCTGGCGGCACGCTTGCTCAATTTTCTCTTGTTGCTGTCCTGGAGCAAGCCTACATGTGCGAATACCGGTGGCTTCCAGCCAAAAGCGTTATAAAGCGTAATGTGTTTTGGTGTCGAAGGCAGCCATTCCTAGAAAGAGTCAGAGAAACTGCGCAAGATGCAAAGGTCCTACACACCGTGGCACGTATAACATGGCTGATCTCCATATGATGGTCGTCCACCACGTTGGCTAGATGATACGTGGGGTTTCCGTCTGATTTTATGAGAACAGGATCCTCATAGTTTCCAGACTGCCAGATACGCTGGCCCGGGAATTTGCCGTATATAAGATCGGTGTAAGGAGGAATCATGTCCGGTGTTTTTAGCCGGATGACATGGGCGTCGCCGTTTGTAGCTCTCGCCTCCGAGTCTTCTGGGGATATCGAAAAGCATTCCCGGTCATAGTCAGTCCAGAACCCTTCCAATCGTCTCTTTTCCGCAATTGTTTGTAATCTCTCTTGTGAACAGAAACACCGATAGCCATGGCCACTTTTGATCAATTCGAGCGCCTCTGATGTGTATATATTTGTTCTCTCGGACTAAAACGCCATTAGTCTTTGCTTGAATGAGAATTGAAGACAGCAATACTTGTCGGTAAGGGCCACGAGGACCACCAACCACGGGCCCTGGTCACCATTAAATCAACATCAGGACAGCCTTAGGATCGTCTAACCTTCATCCCATTGTAAGCCTGCCCATTGCAGATCTTCGTAAAGTCTCTGTTCAGAATCTGCCACAGTTCTTTTCTAACGAGACCTTCAGTCAGCCATGTTGTCATGTCAAATCGAAAGCCCAGACAGACCTTATCTGTGTCTTCTAGACGCAATATGAATTGACCATTGGTAGCTTTTGCGATCAAGTAGTTGAACAAGGCCGTTCGTAGAGATCCAAGATGTAAATAGCCCGTGGGAGAAGGCGCGAACCTCGTCCGTGCTGGAGTTTCTGGTAGGGCCCCTTTCTCCCTCCTTTCTTTCACCTCTAGCCTTGGTTCTGTTGAGATAGCTCGATAGCTACATCGAGAAAAGCTCCGCGCATTATGTCGTGCGAAAAGCGCCAATGGACGGCTCATCACTCACTGGACAAATGGAGTCTCGAAGAAAACATCCGTCGGGAGGCATCGATTACATTCGATGCCCGGCTGTCGGATATAGAACTAACGAAATATCCGTATTGATGATCCTTGCGCCAACAACATTGGCTTCTCCCTCTCGACCCAAGCTTCCTGATAGCTAGCCCACCAGCCTGTAAATCTTGCAAACAACTGCAGTCGCTGGGTCACCAGTAGCTTAAGCAGCGCAGCACTGTTTTGCCTCCCCCTGACTTCTCGGCAGGGCAGGACAATTGTTGCCGTATGCATATCTTACTTGCATGAATATTCGAGCACTCCGGGAGTAATTGCAGGCAATCCTTATGGTGCACGAAAACTGTTCAGCTTTGGGGTATGGAATCGCTGTGGTTTCAAAATGGGTTTGCCACGATAAAAAGATATGCTGTCTCGTGAGCTTTTGCTTCTCACCTACCGTTTTCAATTTCGGGCCACCCGGAATGTCCATCAGCACGGCCACGGCCGCCTCCAAATGGAGCTCACACACCACTTGCCAATATGCGTAGTAAGTGAAGCCAATGTCGTGTTGGTACTATATCCAACATGAAGCCTTGCTGCAGGATCTGGAGCCTTTCTGCGAGTCCCAGGGATCAAACATGCCCAGCTTGCGTGTTTCGATTGTTATAAAAAGGCGTGCTACCATCGACTATTGATGTCTCGTGTTAAAGTCCTGAGTATCGTCGGGTTCGATGAACTATTCGCTTGGTTATGCGTGCTTTTCTCTGCTTCAGAACTTTCATTTTCATTCAACATTTGGTCTTGCGACCTGTTGCGGCGGAGCCTCAATGTTATCGCCAGGATGGTACTGTGCTAAGTGACCATCGACCATGCAACACCACCGCCGACGTCTCAGCTTGTTGCCAGGAAGGAGGAGCATGTCTTACAAGTAACCTTTGTTTCTTGAAATGGGACACCTCAGTCAACGCTGGTGGGTGCACCGATAAGCAGTGGTCATCCGCCAATTGCTTCCAGGGATGTCCTAAATGTAGGCAGCCTATCCTCGTGCTGTCGTACAGGATTGCAAATCTTAAAGATACCTACCGCCAGTCCACCAGTGACTGACGTCGTGTCATAGCTTATGGCTTCAGTACCCTCTATAGGTGCAACGACAACAATTGGTGCTGTTCGAATGGGCCTAACGCAACCTCTTGCTGCAACGACGAGGGGGTAGTCTTGCTCCAACTTCCGAATGCGTCGGCGATCTACAACGGTAGCGCGTTTTTAGAGGGATACTCGCTTGGATCATCGTCAGAATTTCGACCAGAAGCTTCGACTTCCTTTTTATGCTTATCGTCGTCCTCGACCATGCCAAGTCCAATGACTTCGACTCTTCAAAGCTCACCAGCAGTGTCAGTATCAGTATCTTCTCAAGGTCTCTGTCCATCTCTAAGTTCCACTGCAATTCCATCTTCCCCAATCACAGGCAATTGCACTGCAGCTCAACAAAAGGCGAGTCAGAGAGCCGGTCTTGGTGCGGGTTTGGGAGCTGGCTTGCCACTCCTATCCCTACTTGCCGCAATAGCGATTGTCGTCCTGCGGCAGCGTCGTGTCATTAGGGACATGACTGGCCTTCGAAGGCCTGTGCGAAAGCTGAGCAGTAAATCAAATGGCCATCTCTGGCCTTCCAAGCGAAGAATGCCAGAAGCATACGAGCGGCCGTACGTAATTCTTAGCAGAAGTGAACTCACAAACGATCGGAATAACGGGCAATTCGAGCTATCTGCGATAGGCTGAGCCCAGGATTGAGCTCAAGCCTTCCTTGAGTTTTGAAATCAAAGGTATTGTACTAGAGCTGAAATATAGGAGATAAAAAGGCTCTCCGTGAACAGATGGACTCGGAAGGATCTTGACGCACCCTACGATTGCCCCGACAACCCCAAGACACCGGAAGATCGAAGCATAACCTTGCGAATTGAAATGGCATATCATTGATCATAAGTCAAGTTTTATCTACGTATCTATGTACAGCCCCATCATGACATGGAGAACTTCATTGAATAGTCGCCAGAACATCAACAAAATGAAGGTCTTTTGATCGTAAGATTATCTTTTTGATTCTCAAGATTGCTGAGCATAGAGTCCTCGGCATATTTCATCACTTTTGGTTTGTATCACAATCTAGCTGCACTTGCCATAAGGTTTTTGGCAGCCAGCTCCACAAAATGCGTCTGAAGCACCACTGTCATGACAGTCAGTCTAATCAATCATTCACCTCCTAAAGCCAAACGTCTCACGTACCAATAGCCATACTGAGAGCAGCAGTCACCATTCGAGCAAACATATCCCTTGGAGGACCCACAGCTGCCATCTGGCGATGGGATAGGGCTGTTTGTGCATTGGCCATACTTAGGCTGGCATCCGGCCCCGCAAAAGGCTACGGCCGACCCGCTGTATCACGCAAGAAGTCGAATTAGCCTCCCTTCCATGTGTTCAACGTCAAGGGACGCAAGCCGGCACGGCCCGAAACAGGAACGAAAGCAAGGTGTTGATAACGAGTTCACGGTTTAGGTACGTACCAGTAGCCGAACTTGGAGCAGCAATTGCCCGAAGAGCAGGTGTATCCGCTTGTGCCACCGCAAGAACCATCAGGAGAGATCTGCTCCGTGCCCGCAGCATCATCGATGAAGATCTGGGGGATTCGCACCATGGCAGACAAGCTCAAGGCTGGCAGTGCGAGGGCGAGGAGTGAGAAACGCATTTTGATGCTAATGTGCTTATTATTGGCTTAGTAGACGGAGATATTGGGATATATGACAATCACGCGATATGAGATGATTATGAGATGACAGTCTGCGAGACACAGAGCCCCCTTAAATGCTCGCTCGGTGCTCTTTCCCCGCAATGCCTGGGCGGAGAATGAGGCCTCAAGGGTGCCGACACGACCGGATCTGCAGGTTGCTGACTCAGGACCCATCGTTGGTTGCATACCGTGCTTAGCTTGCATACTGCCGCAGCGCTGATGAGATGGCAAGAGGGGATTCGATGCCCAAGGCGTTTGGCGCCCATGTGGGGCCGTAGTCTGGGGAAGTGGCTTCATATCCATGCCTTCGACTGTTTGGAAGCCTTTTGGAGGAAGCCACAACGTTTACTTTTCTTGGCATCAGACGCCACATTTGTTCGATAATCGATCTATCCTTCAGCGTTCATGCTGTTTCAATCGTCTGGACTGAAGCATCATCAAGCAAGGATGAGGCAGAATTCTCTTTTGAAATGAACAGAGTAAAGTATTGCACAGAATAAACAGGAATTCGACCAACTTTTGAGCACAATTTGCAAGATTCCACGTCTCTTTTCTCACCTTTCAATACCTTTCAATCAACCAATTCTTCCTCCTCTCATCATCCATCTCCTCCAACATCTCCATCTCAGTAGCTTTGACTGTAACATATGTCCTTATTACATCCTGTCCTAGCGCGTTCTTGAGTCCTGACACATTTTCCAGCTCCTCTTCAAGAAGACTCAACGCGTCTCTAATCCCCTTTGGAAATTGTTCCGTAATCCCCAAATGCTTCCTCTCTCTGCTCGTCAACTCTGCCGGATTGTCTTGACACGCCTTCATTTCGAGCGGCGCCTTCTCTAACAACCCTCCCAGCCCCGTGCCAATAAGTGCTGCGAGTACCAAGTACGGGTTCGCCAAACCGTCCGTGCATTTTACCTCGAAATGTGATCCCTCAATCTGCCGCAATGGGGCTTCACGGTTTTGAGGACCCCAAGCTATCCATGTGCTTCCCGCCCACAGACTATCCACGACACGGGCATAGCTCGCTTCATTGGAGTAGAGGATTGCGCTCATCGCACGGAGATTGCGAAGGACAGCGGCTATGAAATGTTCCCACTTATCACCTGGTTCCACAGACATATGAATATGGGCGCCGGTGCCGCAAGCCGTCTTGAAGGGCTTTGGATACAGAGTCGCGTGGTAGGAGCCATCAAGATGGTTTGCAGTGACAGTAGAGATGATGTCTCGGGCTGCTATCAGGGTATCAGCTGCTTCAAGAGGCGGGAGGGCGCCCAAGGCGAACTCAAATTGGCAAGGAGAGCTTTCTGCATGAAACTGAAGGACTTCTATACCAGCCACCTCAAGTTTGGTGGCAATAGCTTCAACAAGAGACAGGATTTTGTCGTCACGGAGCGAACTTGCTGAGGTCCAATTATGGCCTTCGGTGAGACCGTCGCCGTGATAGATGAAGTGAGAATCCTTGAGGCTGCGGCGCATAAAGACAACTTCAATCTCGAATCCTACCTTGAAGGTGAAGCCATTCTGTTTCCCTTTCTCAACTTGGTGCCTGAGGGCGCTTCGCGGGCAATTAGCTACTTCCTTCCCACTTTCTGTCTCGCGGAATTCGCATTGTAGGAAAGCGTAAGTCTCGCGGCTGGAGAGACGAAGGCTCGTGAAGTCCGGGACAAGATTATCTTCGCCTACTGGTGAGAAGTTGGAACAGATGAAGTCAGTTTGAAGGAGGCCGAGGGCGGCTTTGCTTATGCCTAGATTCTTGCGTTGCTTATATAATTTGAGTGCTTGGCTGATAGGCAGAACGCGTGCTCGGACTGTTGCGGTGTAGTCGACCCATTGAAAGCGGAGAAATTTGACAGACTGGTTTTGTTTGAGGAAGCGCTCTAATCTCGCAACATCGGAGCTTGAAGCTTTTGCATCTGCCGCTTTGGGGGTATTGCAGTTCTCTTGTGATTTCAGTGGCTTGAGTTCAAGATCCAAGTCGTAGAGTCGGTTTGAAGTATTGAAGAGAAGATCCTCAACTATCCTTACCGCTTGCTCTTCAGTAACAGCACCTCTTTGAACGTACTCTCCAAGGACTACTTCAAGAGCCTCGCGGATTTGTTTGACTGCTAAAAGGTAGGTCTCAGGAAACCAATGACCGTCGGTACTCCAGAGAAGCTTTTCAGATGGAACAAGATCCAAGCATTCTCGAACAACGCGTTCTTGTCCGTCTTGGCTTAAGTAAGGGAAGACTTCCCCAATGTCTAGGTAAGCATTCTTATGAACAGATGCGATATAGCCAGCATCGGTGGTGAAGGGATAGCTGGCGTGTAAGAGAACAAAGACGACCTCAGGCCATTTCTTGATGAAGGGCTGGAGGTGTGCTGCACTGGAGAGAGTCAAGCTAAGATCATTGTCACCGAGTCCGGTGTGAAATTGGAACGGTTTCTTGCACTTCTTGTCGGTAAGAAGCTTTGCTACGAGATTCACGAAATATGGAGCTAGATCTTCGTCCTGTAGGTTGTATTCATCTTCTGGATCAAAGCCGCCGACAATCCGTTTCAAGCCAGCCTCGGGTCCTGGTATGTGCTCTGGAATTGCAAGTCCAGTCCTATAGCATATGATTGATTTGAAGCCTACCACTTCTGGGTCCTCTATCGCTTCCACAACTGCCTTGGAGAATAAATCAATGACGTGGTCCAGTGTTGATTTTCTTTCCAGATGATTTTGGATGATGTCCTCAGCGACTGACTCGATCCTGACAATTCTTTTACACTTGGAGCGTGTAAGTCGACTATGCCAGTCGTATGGATGCCATTCTGATGGATCTCCGAACCCATCGTCAATCAAAATCGTCTCTAAGCCATCGAAGCACTCTTTGGCCCACTCTTCATAGTCACTATGCTTAGCACTGAGAGCTTTCTTTACCTCTTCCCATCGAGGTTCGCATTTGAGAATCTCCGAGAGCTGTTTCACTGCTCGGATATGGGCCAAGCAGGAGGTTGAATCTTGAAGTGCATCTCCTTCAGCTTCAGTTGCGACGTTCAGAAGGTCATATTTTCTTATCTTTGAGGGTTGCAAGATATTGTGTGCATGATTATCGATGATCGGAGTGGTATATATTGCTTTGTGCAAAGCTTCCATCCTGAGTCGAGACAGTCAAATTCAATCTGTGGCTTTAAACCCCTCTGCGAGCCCTCAATCGGCTAAATACTTGTCCCAAATCAGAGCTTCGCGGTCTCTTTTACCAGAATCTTATTCAACCCTGCGCGAACAATATCTGACATGCCACTAGCCAATGGTTTGCTGGTGCTCCTGTTTACGAAGACATGCGTGTATCCACCCACTGCCCGGACGTCGTCTCTACCGTTTTCAAACACGGCAACTTCGTAGGTCACACTCGATTTGCCGATTTTGTTGACACGTAGGCCAAGATCTACAACAATGGGAAAGCGCACCGAACCAAAGAAATCGCAATGAGAAGAAACGACCAGACCGATCTCCTCCGATGACGAAGGAATCCGACCGCAATGCTCGATTAGATAAGCATTGATGATCGAATCAAAGAAGTGGAAGTAAATGCTGTTATTCATGTGGTCGTACCTACACCGACTCATAAACATCATACCTGGCATGATGACAGGGTGGGGCATACATGTCATTATCGCTCCAGCGTGTCCTATACTCTTGATGATAGCCATAATCCTTACGACGACGATCCCTGATATTCATGAAAGTGTACGTCTAACCTATATATCTCATCGGGGCCTCTGAACCCTCAAGATATCCAGCTTGAACGGCAACAGCGACGCGAAATTTGCTCTAGTTGTGTTTGAACGCCAAGACCTTCTTTAAGACTAAGGGTAGTACCGCAGCCGACAAGGCAAGTAGGACAAAACCAAATCTGCGCCGACCGATTCTACGTTTTGCATATGGAATTTCGTAGGTTAGTCGAATATTTAAGCATAAAAATTATTAATAACTTTTAAAGTTTTCTATATAAGTACTCGTAATTCGTTATCGCACTTGCGTAATAAGTAAAGGTTTATTCTTAGCTTAAAACTATATAAAAATAATAGTAAAATAATAAGGAATATACTATATAGCAGTGTAGTATTATAAGTTATTTATAAAGCTATTTCCTAGGCTAAATTAAGTTAAATTAAGTTTAAATTAAGTTTATAAATAATAGGGAAAAAGCTATATAGCTAGCTAGTTATATAAGCTATTTATAAAATTATTTCTCTAGCTAAGTTAAGCTTAAAACTAGTAAAGAAAAAGCTATATAAGTATATAGTATTATAAGCTATTTGCAAGCTATTTATAAACTAGTTTTCTAAGCTAAATTAAGCTTAAAATAGCTTAAAAATAGTAGAGAAAAGGAGTATATAGTTAGCTAGCTTTATAAGCTATTTGTAAAGCTTTTTCTTTAGTTAAATTAAGCTTTAAAATAGCTAAAAATAATACTTTTTATATATTATTTATAAACCCTTTTATAAGCTATTTGCAGGTTTATTTTCTCTATATTTAAGCTTTTTTCTAATTAGCTATAAGGCTATTTAAACCTATTAATAGCTATATATAGTTGCTAAACTTATTTATATAGAAATAAGCTTGTTTTATTGCTATAAATTATTAATAAATAATCCCTTTATTACTATATAATAAATAGTTAAAATTATATATAAATTAATACCTAAACTAGATAAAGCTTTATAATAAAATATTAAAGGTTTTAAGCTAATACGAACTAGATTAATAATATTGTAAAACTGTTATGCAATAAATAAAAATTACGCAAAGTTCAATGATCCTACCGAATTTATATACAAACGCAGAATCGGTTAGCGCAATTTGGTTTTGTCCTACTTGCTTTATCGGCTGCGGTAGGTAGGGCTTAGTCGAAAGCTTGATCGTCAGGTAGTCGCTCCAGACGGGAGATCAGGAACTATGATAAGTTTGGACAATCCGTGGCTTATACTAAGGGCAGGTCAAGCTCCCCAAAGAGGCAATGGACATTGGCCTGGCCGTGCTTCGACTCATTGACCCTCGTACGGTTTACTCCGGCCGACTCAGAATGTAGCATGCGGCCACACACATCAAGAACACAGAAAAGGGGGAACACTGGAGGCCGACCCGGCGATCAAATAAGGTTACGTCGAGACAAAGTCGCATGACGATTGGTTGTCACTGTCTCAAGACGCTCACCCGATCGTAGTGAAATTTATGACTTTCCAGACTAGCCTATCAGTCCAATAAACTAGAGATGATACAGAGGCTCGATATCCTCGACCGTAGCATAGATAGTATTGATTGCCGTTACGAGCTCAGCGGGGAGTGGTCCGGCTTCAAGTGCCTCGAGCGTCTTGTGGAGCTGCTCCATCGTGGAAACTCCAAAGCTGACTCCATGACCATACTATGCATCCAAGGCATCATGAGAGGCCGTCCACCGGAGCGCAGCTGCATGCCCGCTGACATCATGCTTCTCAGTAGCATCACGAACAACGCCCATCAAGTCCTGAATTGGGACCTTGCCGTAAAGGGTATTGCACATGTTTCCGATGATGTTCTGATATGTTGTCAGGATAGCTGAGACGTCACTGCTTTGGGATCTTACATCATCGTGCCACCGTTTCGAGCTGTCGATATTGCCCGAACACAGGCCACCCGCTGCCGGACTGATACAAAGCTTAGTCCAAAGTCAGTAACGATTTAGATGTCAGCGCACCTGTAGGCAAAAACCGCCATGTTGTGTTTACGCAGTATATTTCGAGAGTCCAAACTTCTTGAATTTACCTCGCTGTATAGCGTCATTCATTACCTTTGCAGTGTCTTCAAAGGGTGTCTGGCGATCGGGCACATGCAGAAAGACTGTCTCCACAGTGGAAGTCTGAAGGGCAACTAGCGACTGGCCAATGCGTGCATCAATCTTCGAAGGTTCATGGTCCCCAGGATGACCACTGTGGGCTTTCGAATGGACAGTGAACCGACTGGTAACTCCAGCCTGGCCAAGGCGTGCCTCAGAGGCACCCGGAGCACTCGGAGAGTCGTCACTGGCTGTGTCGATATGCCGGTAGCCACCGCCATAAAATGTATCCAGAAGTTTTTGTACGGCTTCTGGACTATCGAAATGTACAATCCCAGGGTCTCTAATACTGTCGCCGATCTATCACCTCCAATGAGAAGCAATCAGTCATGGGTTTGGAGACCTACCCACCATGTGGGTACCAAGAATAAAGTTCACTGTTGTTTGGGAAGACATGGTGGGCACACAAAGACGTGTGTAGGTTTTGAACTCAATGAATAGTATAACTAGTGATAAGCAACAAGATCTTCTTGAAAAAGGGGTGTGGCTTTCGTCTGCTTTTAAATATTAAGGCAGCGTCTGTGTTTGCTCTAATACCTCGGTCAAAGTACCCATAAGCGGATTTGAGATCGCTTCAAAAACCTTCAGCTGCTTTATACAAAGCTGCGAAGTCATGGACTCAAGATTGGACTCCTGCAATTTGTCCGTCCGCAGCTTTTCCGCAAACTCGCCGCACGTTTGCCCGCGATGACAGCAGGGTTAGCCCCTGAGTCGATCTTGAGCAATAGACGGCTGTCCCGTGTTTATCTGTCCGGTGAAAGTGTCACACCAAACAAAATTAGCGTTTCTACGTACCAATAAAATGGATTAGGCTTTGGAATCCGGTAGTACAGGTCTGCTGGGAGTGAAGGGAAGCTACCTAAGGACTCGCTATGTTCGGCTTGCTCTATTACTCATGGCAGTCCAGCTTTGCATCTTATCGCTACCAATTACCATCTTCCAGAAAACTTTAACGAAGTCATCGAGATCTTCAGCGACATATTGTGAGATCAAAGGTACCGGATCTAGAGACGGCACCAGAAGCAGAGGTTTCGCAGTCAATAGTTCAGACCATTTCATTGCGGACTCAGCTTCCCACAGGCCACGGCGTGCGGTAAGCATACCGGCTCCGGTACATCCAACCCAGCCCTTAGCCATTGTCTCATATATATTGGCGATAGTGTTAACGACAAGATGGGTGCGCCGAACACTTTCGGTCAAGATCCATAGCTTCCACAGCTTTAAGGAGGCATTATATTCGCTTTCAAACTCTCTAGCAATCCATTGAGATGGACGATAGTCCAGTAATTCGTCTTCTCCTAGATAGCGTCTTACTGCCTCCCACATCCAGATGACCCACAGCCGAAGTGTCGGGAGCTGCTGCTCTGCAGATGCACGCAGACGTACCGAGCCATCGAACAGGCTAATATATACGTAGGCAAGCCAGGCCTGGACGCGCCACAGGTGGGCTACTATGCCTTCTACGCCGCCGGCAGTAAGTGGATTCTGGCTGATGAGTACAGATGAGCGCTCCTCAGCAATCTGCAGGATAGTCTCCTTCACCATTGCCATTCAAGTAGTGTATGCGCTGAACGTCGTGAAGGCGTCCTGCAGACTCTTAGGCAAGCCCTTTTCATACAGTCGCTCATGAATGAAACCGTTGTAGCCATTTCTGACCCAAAATTGCAGCATTTCCTGTACGTCCTGGATGGAAGGCTCCATTCCGAGGTCGGTCAGACAAGCTGGCTCTTCGTTGCTGTGCTGCATGACCCATAACTCATCCCGGAGAAACCAAGGACATACGCTGAATACGTTATCGTTTCCAGATACGACCCCATGAGCTTATGGTTCGGCAATAGAGTCCTGTAGGGATTGAATACATGGGAGTATGCCAGCTGACAGAAATACATCGAAGCCGGCGGATGCCATTGCACCCCATTCCTCGAAATCAAAATTGCCACCTACAACGTCGGCTACTAAGTCGGGATTGTCTTGGAGTTCTTCAGTTTGATTACTGGGTGCAACGGATTGAGGATCTCTCCGCCGTCTTTTAGACTGCGGATAGACACAGTCCACATCCGTGTCTATGCACCGCTGGCATTCAGGGACTTGCTTGTCGCACCCTCGCTTGGAAACTGCGCAGGTAGTGCAGGCCTTCTGACGGGGAACTGCCGGCATTTGGAGGAAAACCCAGTTTTTGACGTGACATCTGATATGGTAATGATTCTATACACTTTCGTATCCACCTAGACAATTACGTAACGGGACTCAATTACTGCAACATTAGGATTGAGGAACAGGTTTAATTAATTGATAGCCTCAATATGAAAAGTAAGCAATGTTAAAATGCGCATCTTCCAAAATCAGTAAGTTGCGAAGCTTACTCAGGGGTAAAAGGCGCCGACAGCAGGCGACACCAAGACTTTTATGTCCGTCTTATGTCCGTCTGTATCTCTGAGACGAGGAGCCATCAATCACGAATCGTCCCCCCTTTACAATTTTTCGCTGGCTCCATCACCGCGGGTGGCAGCGTACCTCGCCCATAAGGGTCTTTTGAGAGCTTCTATGGCCCTTACAGAGCTCCCGCCGCTCGTTGACCGCTTAAATAACCGCCATCCTTACAAGGTTACAAGTGAACTGAAGGCCTCACCTGAAGTCATCACCACGCCTGCTGATCCCTGGCCGAGACCGTATTACTTCGAAGACAATCTTCGTAAAGTGAAGCCCTACCACTTTACGTACAACACAAATTGTAAGGAGAGGTGGCGAGGAAGAGGCCTCCTTGACATTTACTCTTCCGAATTCAGAGACAGACCGCTAGCCTACTATGTGAAAACTACCTTTTCCATTGCATGATGTTGACTGATGCAGTATAGAAAGACGCTATAGAGAGAGGTAGTATCTGCGTGAATGGGAAGGCCGTCACAACAGATCATGTAATTACGAATGGCGAGGTCGTTTCCCATACGCTTCACCGCCACGAACCACCAGTGACAGCACAGCGGATCGGCATAGTCCATGAAGATGAAGACAAAATTGTGATTGACAAGCCAGCTGGTGTGCCTGTACATCCAGCAGGACGGTACCAGTACAATTCTATCATAGAGATCATGAGGGCCGAACGAGGTTACAGCTGGAATCCTTTACCTTGCAATCGACTTGATCGTCTTACAAGTGGAGTCATGTTCATTGGCAAAACACCAAGGGCAGCGGAGAAGATTAGTATGCAGATTCAGGGAAGGGCAGTGAAAAAGGAGTATGTGGCAAGAGTAATAGGAGAATTTCCAGAAGGTGATGTCGTCTGTGAGCAGCCAGTGATGCAAATTAGTCCAAAGCTAGGACTTAATAGAGCACGAGCCAGTGGAAAGGATGCAAAGACAGTTTTCAAGCGATTGGCATACTACCCACCCAGACAAAAAGAGAAGGAACACATAGATCCCGAACTGGATAACAGAACAGAGAAGGAGAGGCAACGCGACTCAAAGATGGCGTGGAAAGGGAAGAAGGGTCATTCTATTGTTCGATGTCTACCCGTCACCGGAAGAACACATCAGCTTCGCGTACATCTACAATTCCTGGGCCATCCAATATCCAACGATCCAATTTATTGCAACCAACGGGTATTTGGTCCTGATCTGGCGGCTGGCGATGCGAAGTCAGATGAAGATGAAGACATCATCACGCGGCTATCACGAATGGGCAAGGACGAAGCTGCTGAAGCTGTTGCGTATCACGATGAAATGGTAGAAGAGTACAATAAAAAGAAGGCAGAGAAGATGACCGGTGAATTATGTGAAGTCTGCGCAACGCCATTGTATAGTGATCCTGGGACACATGAATTGGGGATATATTTACATGCTAAGCGTTACGCCTGCTCGGAGGGTAAATGGGAATACGAGTCGCCGCTGCCAGCTTGGGCATTGCCGCCTGCTGGTATGGCTGGACCATTGGAGACGACGAAAGAGACTGACCCACTGGAGGTGGCAGAGAGGATGGAACGCATGGAGGGCAATGGCGAATCGTGAAAGAAAGAGGGCTGATAGCCCGGGAAACCGCTTGAAATATTGCCCCTTTTTCCACTTTTAGATAGCGGACAATTTGATTGGCCGAAAGCCGCATGCTGCTTACTCATCACCTGACGTACCCATTGCAGGCACGGTGTCTTTCAACATAGAAGCCTATTTCGAAATATCAATTTCTTAAAGAACAGTCTGAGCAATTCCTTAGCGCATTGATAGGTGCCACAGTGTTGAAACACCAGGCGATCAAGACATACCGTATAATCCTCTCTCTACACCAAAAGCCCCACCATGGCTCAAGATCCGAACGCTCTGCTATCTCAGGCCAACAAGGCCATCTCGAGCGCGGGGTCAGGCTTCAGCTTCTTTGGTGGCAAGACAGAAAAGTTCGAGAATGCAGTAGACCTCTACACTAAAGCTGCCAACGCGTTCCGAATACAGCAGAATGGCATTGAAGCGGGGCGAGCATATGAAAAGGTATCTCGCGCTCGACCTGCCTGATCCACCCAATTAACACAGACCTCCAATTGTAGGCCGCATCAATACAAAGAGACAAGCTTAACGAACCCGACGATATGGCCAACACCCTTCAAGATGCCTACAAATCCTACCGCAAGACCTCCCCGCAAGATGCCGCCCGAGTCCTTTCCACAGCCATAGACCACTATCTCAGCAAGGGCAACTTCCGAAGAGCCGCCACGCAGAAACAATATCTCGCAGAGCTGTACGAGGAGATACAAGATAACAAAGAAGCGCGCAAAGCCTATGAGGATGCTGCGCGGTGGTACGAAGACGACAATGCCGGTGCCCTAGCCAACAAATTATTCTTGAAAGGCGGTGATTTGGCAGCTTTAGATGAAGACTACGGCCCTGCCATACAGCATTTTGAGCACGTTGCGAAGCAAGCGGTGGGGAACAATTTGATGCGATTCTCGGTCAAGGATTATCTATTAAGGGCTGGAGTTTGCCATTTGGCGAGCGATATTATTGGAGCCAAGAGAGCGGTTGAACAATATAAGGAGCTAGATCCTGGATTCGCGCAGACGAGGGAATGTCAGCTACTGGTTGACTTGAGTGAGGCTGTGGAGCATGGGGAAGCAGAGGCGTTTGCGGAGAAGCTATTTAGATATGATCAGTTGAGTCCGCTGAACCCGTGGTTTACGACGATGCTCCTGAGGTATGACGCTCAAGTCGCTCATTAAGGATTCCCATCGCTGACCACGTCCTGCAGGATCAAGAATAGCATTGAGCAGCAAGGAGACGACTTTTCTTAGCGGGTCACAATTTTGTGCGAAGACATAACGAATTGAGAACCCCAATCGATGATTACCCCCTTTCGTCATAGTAGGGATCGACTTGCTAAAGTGACTGATCCTTACGTCCATGCTTCTTAGTACCAAGATCAGTCTTGTCGCTCTTGTCATAATTCCTTTGTCGTATCACTAGCGATATGTCTGCTTTATTCCGCAACGTTGATCTTTGCAGAGCAGCGCAGACTCAGGTATGTTTCAAGCCTGAATGGTGAACAAGCGGCAAAACCTTTACGTCCGTTACAGGACCTGCATGAGGAGATCAGATGCGTGGATTCTGATGAGACAGCACGAACAATGGGGACCTACATGCACGACAGAGGATATGGCACCGTAGTACGCTACCCTGTGGATATGGTTGCGCAGCAGTCACTGAACTGAACACCACGTCGAAGGAACGCGCTCTACTCTCAACGATCAAGTTATACGCTACGATTAGGCGAGGTGGTTTCAATCCATTTCAAGAGAAGGAGCAGAACCCATCTCTATCTCAGCACGTTCTTATCAATCATATCTTTGGCAAGTCAGATCCTGACAAGACGTGGTTGTTCCAAAGCGCCCGAAACTACATTACACCATAGCAATGGCCAGTCCCGTTGGTCATTCGGAAAGCTCGCGACAAGCCGTTCGCATATTCTTCCGAATTCAAGGACTCTAATGCATAGTGCACCGATACACGACAAATTCGCCAATCTACAATATCCGCATGCCTACCTATGCAAAGGCTAGCCATGAAGCCCATCTTTACCATGAACGTCAAAATCCAGCAACGTACGCAAAGTTGCTTTCAAAAGTAAGTGTACTTAGTGGGACCAGCACTCACTAATATAGGTCACTATGGGGAGCCACTTTCCACTGCGAATCTTGCTATTCGGGGACAAATGGGTCTTCAGTCCTACCTTTTCTCCCTTCGGCTTCTGAATCCAATACCCTGTCTTCCAATTCCCTAATGCGTTACTGAGGGAAAGCGCTATTATGACCGCTAGACCAAGCAGGATGCTGCCTAACACGCTGTGGCTAGAAAAGCGCACTTGAAGCTGACCAGTACAGGAAATGTCCTTGATCCTCGCACGTCAAAGTCAAGACACTTCTCATGCATCTCCTAACTGTATGCAACAAAGAGCCTCCCTTGGTCATTGCTGTGCTAAAGAGCGCTGCACGTGGGGAACCTGGAAACATGCATAGCCGAAATACAGCTATGTATTCAGATATTTGCGCCAAACAACGGTCAACGTTCGTGGCTACTCTGGCATTGGCACTTTATTACATCTTGACTCTCTCAGACTTCGAATCTTCTTTTCGATACAACGAAGCACACGAAGTCTTTCGCCAGAACACAATGGATGGCGCAATCTTAGCAACAATTCAAATTTGGTCTAGCGCGTGTCTTGGTAGACTGATAGCGCCATGAAGGCGGCACCTTGCAGCCCATTTCTGCCAACAGTGCCTGTTCATGATTTGCAACTACGGCACTTACAGTGCCTTCAAAAAGTTCTTATTGGCTCTCGATAGAATTCGGATGGTGCACCACGTCTTGACTAAGAGAAAGAGTATATTTGGCCAAACATTAGTCAGGCTCTCAAACTTATTGCCGCCATCTCATCGTAGTATACAGTGAGATCTGTAGCGCCCTGCTCAACTCTACCTAAAGTCCTCGACCGCACGTTGTCGTGCATTGGGTTTCCAACCTAATCCATAGCTTCTGATCTTTAAGCTGCACCTTCCTAGTGCGGCTTCTTAGATTTTTGTCCGAGCACCGGCACCTCGATCTCAGTAACCGGCGACGGACGCCCTGTGTCTGCACCTATCAACGTTCAAAAGCGTAATCCATGGCCTCACCCGTTGAAGATGGGATCGGCCACTAGATTTTGGTCCCGGTCCTTTTTTGACTCGAGCATAATCAGAAATACTCTTTACAGAACTAATGATTGTTGAGTGCGTTAGCCTACCGACAACAACTTGTGATTCATATACCATAACTTAGATGTGTACATTGACTATGTTCTGCTCCTCTGTCACAAGAGAAATGATTCAAACCCTTCAGATTCTTGCACAAGTAAAACAAGACTGAGCTTGGAGACCGAACTGAATCACTGTGGCAGAATTGTGAGCCTCTTTGTCATTACTCTCATGCCTGCGCTTCGCTTCAGGATTTGAAAAGCTACTCCGCGAGCAGACTAGCAGGATAGTTGTCCTAGCTCACGCCGACCTCTAATCGAGAGACATTAAATCTTTGCAGATCGTTCATGATGTGTGACGTGAACGGAGCGACTCATTCCTCAATGGCGTGCTTGCACAGCACACTTGAAGCGCTCGTCATGACTCCCTAACTTGAATGTCGAACAAATTATCAAACGTCACTCCATAAACCACGCTAGACACGTCCAAAAGCCATGTGATTGGATGTATCTCATCTCTTGCAAGAAACAGGGACCATCCCCATCGGGCCGTCCAGCTGAAATCGGTCGGAACTTGTCCAATTCATCTTGCACAAGGTCACAAGTGCGATGAACAAACGGCCACCGGGTACTGCACTTGAGGTAATACAATGACATCTACATTTCTTTGCAATAGCTTTTGAAAATGGCGTGCGAGTGCTGCTCTGAAAGCCACGGAGAAAGAATATATATGTTGCATCTTCACGCTCTGTTGAAAATATCAGTATCAGTCTTATCTCATCCGAAGATATTCACATCCTGAGACCATATTTCTATTTGAACATCCATTATCTTCACAGATCGCCCTTTTACATCTTTTGTTGAAAATCACATCTCATCAAGATGCACGCCTTCGCAAAGTTCTTTCCACTTGCGTTTAGCGCATTGGCCTTCACCCTCCCGGCCGACATTGAGAAGAGGACCGCAGGAACCGCGTACGATGACAACGTGAGAAACAATTCACGATCAATTCATGCATACATAGCTGACGACAACGATAGTTTGACGACCTTAAAACTAGTGTCATAACGCCACAGCTCTTTCCTGTTGGCCTCTACCACGGCATTCAGTATGGAGGTGTAGTTGTTCTGGTCAGTCTTTCCCTTCACCATCCCATTCCACCATTTCCGACGCTTTGACTAATCTGTTCACAGGAGCCCATCGAAGGCGCCGCTAGCGTAGTCCCTCACTCCAAGCCCCATCAAGCAGGAGCAGCTGGTCCCATCGACCTTCTCCAGCTAGGCACACTCACTCTGAATACCTACGCCCAGCTTGTTCGCGGCCCGGGTGTGAAGTCCTTCGATCTCCAAAGTCTCTATTTCGGCCTTGGTACTGACACCGGTACTACCGAGGGTCTTGCCCAAGGAGGTGTACTCTCAGTCACTGGCTTTGACGTGAACGGAGAGCAAATCCCCACCCAAACGCTTTCGTATGCTCCGACCGGGAGTCAAAACCAGCCATTGAAGTTCGCGACTTTCCCAGATACTTACAAGAACCTCGCCAATGTGTCGATTGGTGTTGCAGTTAGCGAGCCACTGACAGAACGCACTTACATTGCTTTGGATGATGTAAAGCACGTCAATTACTCCTAGATGGAGCTTGTATGGCACCAGCATACCATGTCAAAATTAGATGTCATGAAGTGGGGTGGAAGGATTTGAGCGAGCTTGGTATCCAGGCTTCTCTGAAATCAATTGCGCTTGAACAGAAGTCTTTAGTCTTATCGCAACGCTAGATATGAAATGTAAGATCTCTTGTTAATGACCGATGACTTATGTTTTGAGCCTTCCCGAACTACCTCACACACATGTAGAGCCTCCAGGTCTTATTATTGTCCGAGTTCTTCTAGCGGCACTAGATCTTGACTAGCGGCTAATACCCGCTAGCGTGAAGGTCGTCGATCCGATCAGAACGGTTCGGGCGGACCGACGTCATTCACCACGTCCATGACTTTTTGACCCAAAGGTCCACGCCATGGATCTCTCAATTGTTCGCTACGATTATGACGGACGCAGGTCCCAGAAAAGAGACCCTGACGAACTTCAGCGACCTCGATGAACTCGACGAACTCGCCGCGCCAGCGCCCATCTCCCCTGGGTTCTCACAGCGTGAAACCCACCTTGAAGAGCGGCCGCAAGATGAAGCCCTCGACGAACTTGCCGCCCCAGCTCCGATTTCTCCCTCTACGAGCCACCGAGCGTCGCACCTCGAGGATCGACCTAGCACCCCCTCCTTGACCGAGAAGTCACAGTCGCCCACCCCAAGCCCTTCACGCCTGGAAACAGAAACCTACACGATAGCCTACCTGATCCTCTTCTCCATTCTCGGTACCCTCGCTCGCCTAGGCTTACAAGCACTGACCGTCTACCCTGGCGCCCCAATCCAGACGGGCATCGTATGGGCCAATGTCGCCGGCTCCATGATAATGGGCTTTCTGAGCGAAGACCGGATGTTATTCCGGCAGGAAGAAGAGGATGAAGCCATGCGTACGAACGGCCTTGCACGCACTGCGTCGCATATGCAAAAACACACAGCTACAAAGAAGGGATTACCCCTCTACATAGGCCTAGCGACCGGTTTCTGTGGCAGTTTCACCTCCTTCTCCGCGTTCATGCGCGATGCCTTTTTCGCATTGGCGAATTCCTTGCCGGTGCCTGTTCAGCACCCTACTATCCCTACCCCTTCTTCGACCGTCATAGATACGCAGAGGAATGTGCATAGGGATGGTGGATACTCCCTGATGGCCCTTTTGACTGTTCTGATAGCGAACTTGGGTCTCAGTCTTGGTGGATTGCAGGTGGGCGCACATGTCGCCCTCGCTAGTGAGCGCTGGTTGATCCGTGTTCCAGCGCTGGTGGGACGGGTGATTTTCGATAGACTCGCGGTACTCTTGGCTGTTGGATTGTGGGTGGGCAGTATAGTCATGGTCGTCTTGCCACCTGATAGACCTAGCGGGCCGGTGGGTAACACGAGAACTTGGGCACAAGAGACGTGGAGGAGTCAAGCACTGTTCTCTTTAGTCTTTGCACCCTTAGGCTGTTTATTGAGGTTTTACGTGAGTCTGAAATTGAATGGGAGGATCAAGTCTTTTCCGCTGGGAACATTTGCTGTCAATAGCTTTGGAACGGTGATGGAGGCTCTGTTTGTCGATTTACAACGCGTGCCTGTCGGCGGACATCTGGGCTGTCAAATTTTGCAGGGCATGGAGGATGGCTTTTGTGGGTGTTTGACTACTGTCAGTACGTGGGTCGTGGAAATCAATGGGTTGCGAAGACGGCATGGTTATGTGTATGCAGTATCGAGCATAGCTGTTGGGTTGGCCTTCTTTGTGGTGATATCCGGGAGCTTGCTATGGACGAGAGGGTTCAAGCCGCTTACTTGCATGACTTAAGGGCATGTTGAAGTTGTGAATTGTTGGCCAAGACCTTGGAAAGTTCTGCGCCTTACTTCGCCATCCCAAATTGCGTATATTTCTTCTGCTCCCGTTCGTGTGATTTCAGCAATACTCGAGTGCCGCTCGTGACTTCATTGACCGAACTAGCAGGCATATTCAGATTGATCCCTGGGTTTTGAGGCTTGTTTCAAGGCAATCGAATATACGCTTGCGCCCCGCATACGATCGCTAGTTGGACGCCCCGGCTGAATCTGCAGCTATGAAGGTAATCATAACCTTCGAATATAAGCTTACATACCTTGGCAGACGTAATTGACATTCCATAAGTTTCGACCGGTCGTTAGCCATTCGCAGAGTCGTGCCCGCGGTCATGTGCATTACAAGAGCCTCAAAAGAAGGACCACTTCGATACAAAAAGGCCCTGGATCAAACCTTTGACAGACCAACAACGGCTAAAGCAAACCGAGTATTGATATTTGAAATTAGCTTTGAAGCCCAATACTTTGTGACCAGTATTCGTCCGCTACCATCTTTTAGCCAACACAATGGAGAATTACCTCCAGAACACGTGTTTTTTGTCAGCTCTCCGTGTGGCTATTTTGTGACTGATTTTATCGTCTCATTTGAAGAATTCCGCCTTAGACTCGGCCCAATTTTAGATGCCGGTCGATGTTTGTACCATCAATGGCAGGATTTGGGCTATAAAGCAGGGCGTTTAGACGCTCACTAGCGAGCAAACAGTCCTCCCACTTATCGGATCCAACATCTCTTGGTAAAGCATGCCAAAGAAAGCAAATTTGAGCCATTCTATTTCCAGTTTTCTTCTTATTCCTCATTTCTGTCGCCAGTCTCGGATCTATTATCCTTCGTGACTTCATCGCCCTTGACACTCTCGGATCCATCTTCCTTACGTTTCCCTCTATCTTCGACCTGTGACCCTTCAATCTTGAATTAGCTATGTTCAAGTCCCTGCACCACTCAATTCGTAATATCTCTGGACTTTGAAACACCACTCCTTACTGCTCACCCTGGTGATTTTCTTCGTCTCCCAATATGTTCCTCAAACTTGTCAACGTTGGGAGTTTTCCAATTCGACTTCTCCGGATCCGACTACTATAAAGTTATGCCGGCTAAAGCTGGGACTTAATGTGGGGTTGCGCTTTCAAGCTAAATTTTGAACTGGAGATGGCTTTTCAAGTCAAGTGTCGAAGATGAGATGCCCTTTTTAGCTAAGTCTTTTGAGCAAAAGTCATTTAAAACTCGAAGTCAATTCTTGTTAAGAGATGCTTTCACAAGTCAGATGATAATGAAGTGGCGTCTTTTTTACTAAGCCTCCGTTGAGAGGCGTTTTCTTCAGCTAACATTTAATAGAGAACTATCTTCTCAAGCTACATTGAAATGAAGAGATGCAATGAAATAAATGCCCGTACTAACAACGATGAGCAGGATCAATACAACCTGACGCGGTCGGTGACCGTAGGTGAAGTGCATTGATTGAGGCGCTATTTGACGCACCGCTCTGACGGATGGGTATGGGTCAGACAGCGATGCCGGAGGTGTAGATGACGTAACTCTCCTTTCAAGACTGAGCCTCGTCTCAATGCAAGGTCGATGATGAATAAGCGTGGGACATGTATCCAAGTAACTGGAGATGAATTGCAATCTGCATGCGAATCTTCTCTCTCGCTTGGATCGAGGAGTGTTTCGTCATCACGTAATTCTTCGGTGACTCGATATCATCGCACCATAAGTTTGACAGATCCATCAGCTACATGATTACTGAGGAGTCACTATGTCTCTCTCGCCAAAGACATCGTGGGAAAGAAGCCGAGGTTCAATCGTGGAATTTATGCCAGCCTCTTCGTATATACGGTAGCTCCGTCGAAGTACATCTTCGAAAATGCATTATAAACGTGCCATTCAGCATGGGTTTGTCAAAGGATTTGCAACAGCTTCGTTACGACAGCGCCTCTACAGAAGATTATTTTCATCGCTTTTCTTCCCAAACATTGATCAATCCTCGGTCGACTTGCCCAGTCAATTAGACCCATGAGTCCAGCACGCACCATTCTCATCACGGGAGCGAACCGTGGAATCGGCTTTTCCATCCTCCAAGCTCTCGCAACTCGATCGCCTTCCGACTGCTATCTCCTCGGCTGCCGCAAGGCAGAAGACGGTGAGGCAGCGATATCGCAATTTCGGAACCTAGGGATAACAGCCGAAATCCATGTCGTCGTCCTCGATGTATCCAACGAGTCCAGCATTAAAGCCGCAGAACAGATCATCCGCACCACCTACCAAAATCTGGATGTCATGATCAACAACGCCGGCATCGCCCTCCTCGAAGCACCAGACCACTCCAACATCCCCGAAATCTACGCAGCGACCTTCCAGACCAACGTCACTGGAGTTGCGCTCATGATGTCAACTTTCCTGCCACTTTTGAAAGCCACGTCCACTGATCCACGTATCATCAACGTCTCTTCAGCCCGTGGGTCTCTTTACCTTGCCAGTAGTGGAAAACTCCCACCGAGCACGACAAGGTCATACTGCGTGAGTAAGGCGGCACTGAATATGCTGACAGTCGAGTATGCGAGAGCGGAGCCTGAGGTGAAGATATGTGCTGCGGAGCCGGGATCTTGTAAGACTGCTTTCAACGGATTCAGGGGGCAGAAGGATCCGTTGGATGGTGCGAAAGTGGTTGTGGAGTTAGCTCTGGCAGACAAAAGAAAGTATGTGGGCGGATTTTGGGGGATGAATACGGAGGATAAGGAGGCTCAGGAGGTGCCCTGGTAGACTGTGTTTCGTTCATTACGGGCAAGTCACAGAGACAACGGTCGTCGCGACTCGACTGAAAGACTTTTCAAAGTGCTGGTAGAAAGCAATAAGACTAATTATTAAGATTCTTTGGGCGGAAGGTTGAAAGTCACCTTTGTCAATAGTCTTAGTCCACAAAAATACCTCGCACCAGCCAATATCCAATACTGTCCTTTGCTATGCCGCATTTAAGATGTTGCCAGCCTCAAGATGACTTCTCTGTAGGTCTTGGGCGAGAAGATCTGTCACTTAGAGTATTCTGTGAGCTGCAGTGTCACGCTGTTGGCTTCCAAATGATGCGGATGGTGATATATCCGTATGAGCTTATGTAATGTGGAGTTTTATTCAAGAGTGGTAACCTCCCTTAAAGACCAGGAGTTGGATCATTAGGGTCACCAGGAGCCAACTGTACGACTGCTCGGTCCGCAACTTGGAAGTACCATGTACCGGGATACTCCCACTCATGACTTGGCCGTACCAGGTAACGGCCGGCATCGGCACCCTCCTTGCCCATCAAGCATTGTAATCCCTTGTAGCGGAGGTAATACCACCCGGCTTCTTGCTGAGTCAAAACGTGGCCATTCATGTCCGGTGTGCCTGCGGGATACTCGCGTTTCGCCGCTTGACCGAGTGGTAGTCTTGTCGCTCGTATCATGCCTTTCAAGTCAAAATCCGCAATGTATGTCTTGAGGCGGTTCCGATCCCTATTGTTGATCACGAAGGCAAGAGTCAAGTCGTCCAGACGGACGCCCGAGCTCGGGACACTAAGAAGCGCATCCTGCCTGTTCATTGCCGTGAGCTGAGCATTCATGAACAGAGAATATTCACGAAACACCGAGTAGTCCTTCGCAGTACTGAAGTGTAACACCGTAGTTCCTACATTGTTCAAATGAGGATCATACCTCGGGTACTTCATAGTGTCGTAAATTGCATAGCGTGGTAACAGAGGACGAGGATTGCCGAGTGTTGCATTGTGAAGAGCAATTGCGGCAACCGTGGGATTTGCCATGATGCTGATGACTTAATCAGAGAAAGGGGATGAGATTGACGGAGAGGATGACAGGTTTCAGGTATTGTATCCGCCTCTGTGACAGTAATAAGACACGCGAGATGATTTTGTTTGTTTATGAAGTCGTCAAAGCCTGATTACTTTTGAAAGTAAGAGAGCTTCTGGTGCTTATCAAGGCTCTTGTGGCTACACTCGGCTGCAATCCTGGATTCACTGCTTTAATAGAATCTTAATTTGCAAGCTTAAAAGCAGGTCAAATGACTATATCCAAGCAGCGGTGCAATTAATGTTAATACACCGCTTAGAGTGAATTGTGGTTACGGTGAATGAGGCGCAACTTGACCCATCAATACGAGCGAGGGTAGTATCGGCCGTCTTGACCGTCACTTCAGCAGTCACATTTCCTTTGATTGCGCTCAAGTAACAAATTTTTCATAATCCCAGACGGAGTGAGACAAAAATGGTATGAAATATTAAGCAAAGGAGTCTTGCAGGATGCCACCAAAGTGAAGAGAGCGGAACAAAGGTAAATGTTATAGTCATGTGAAAGGCATACTAGCGTTGTGAGTCAGTGCATGTGCTAGGCCTTCCTTTTTCAAGCCCATCTATCAATGCTGCTGCGTGGTATTCACGGCTCCAAACATTCACTTACGCTTTGCCCGGGGCTGAACTTGATATACAGATCCGTAGGCCTAGCAGCCCGATTATATTCACCGCTTTCTCATTAGATCATTGCGCAAATTCGCTACGTCAAAAATTGAGTTTTGATGCCGATGTGGGCGCAATGACATGTAAGTGCGTCTGAAGGCATAGTCGAACGTGACTTGACTTCCACCCAGCTCTCAAATGCCGCAGTTTCGTGGATGGTCTCGCAGAAGAAACATCGCGCACATTGCCCAAGTCAGGTACTGGCGCCTTACAGAAGTCGACTGACCTAAGAAAGTCAGAAATGCCTATGCTAACAGAATTCTGAAGCGAGGTCTTGTCGTGAATTCGGAGCATCCATATTGGGCGTCTCGACATGTGAGCAGGCTTCAGAAAGGGTAGATCCATGGAGGACGAAAATTAATATTGCCTCAATGTTGGGATGCTGCAAGAGCCTGGGGGCAGTAAAAGGCCTCCTGGCCATCTAACAAGTCTACCTCGTATGTCTTGGTTTCTCCAAGAGATAAGATGTATGACTCATTCTTTGAGAAGCCATGGAGTCTTGTGAGGGCTAAAGTCTGCCGTCTGTATTACGGAACCGAACTCGGAAAGAAGATATTCCACGTTCCAGCGTCATCGTACCATGATCGAGGCTGTGATGTCCTCGCTATCATGGCTGGCAGTGCTTGACTTGGCCCCCGTCTGACTTTTGATGGTGTGATGTTCTTGCAAATGGTGGAGGTAGCGCTTGCACATCAAATCCTTCTCACATCCTTGAGATCACGCACACGAAACCACACATGGCCAGAAACCGCGTTTCAGATGGCTGGGCGACGAGCCTCGTGGGGTTAGTGTCACACATCCCACCCCTTCTTCCTCGGAGGTTTTCACCCGCGTACGGACGGGTTGATGCCGTGCCCACCCTTAACTCAGGACCCAATACCATTGGTTGTAAAAGTCTCCGACTTGCATTGACATACTGATAGGCCATGTTCGAAGTCGCAATATTCAAAGCACAACATGTCGAGATATTGAGGGTTTTCCCTTGGAGATGCCTTGTTTATCCAGCCGTCAGTGACGGAATGTTTCGCAGAAGATCATCTCATGACGCTCTCGTATCGTGCCTTGGAGAGTCTCACCCATGGCTGGTTTTCGGAAGAGATCCCATCGATCACAGCTAGGGTCGGAGTGTAGCCCCTTTCATACGCACCTCTTCCTCAACGCTAGACAAAAAGAGTCTCGCAGTCAATCGTAGGAAGCCTTTTGCACGTCCGGAAGTAGCCCCCCAACTCGCCATGGATGAGCCGTCTTTGACCAACAATCCTATGAAGAGCGGCTGATTTGTGATATGCTATACGAGGAGAACTCGGGATGTACACAAACTTCTTGAGGAATACGCCTGTGGTAGGCGTGCTGCAAATCTGCGTAATGGGAGAATTATACGATTGGTCTGACAAGTAGCTGCCCATTACTCAAGAAGTTGGTCCAATATGAGGCACTCACATTCCGCTAGCGACCTCGGGCACCTAAATGTCATGTTTTCCTCACCGGTATATGTTAGCCGACCATCTAGTAGCTGGATCCTTCTGGTAGCGGTTCAGCGGACCTAGGCTATTGCAGGGATTGTACCAAGTATCATGGCTGACACTTGCACCTCCCTTGCATCACCTTGAGCCTGCATAGCCGGGTGTGGAAATCCACACGTATGTCCCGTTTCGGTGCTGTATCCACACCGTCATAGTATCTTTTCTTACCACCTTCTCCAGTGACAATGACCGGGTTGAAGGTCCCATGAAAGCTAGTGCGGTCACACAACAAGACATCTGATATCATGCTGATCGGGCTAAACACGCCTTCGAAAATGCCTGACGGTTGCAGAGGTCGCGAATTATGTATAAAGGATGCGAATCTCACCGTGTACCCATACATTAATGCAGCAAGCCAAGAAGATCGAAATATAGCAAGCCAAGGAGACTCATACACACATTAACAATAAAATATCACAAATAAAATGCATTTTTCGCTTCTCTTCCTCAGCCTCGTACCTTACCTTACCCTAATCACAGCGTTCACCGGCTTCGTCACCTTTAACGACTACGAGCAGCAAGTCGCCAATGGTGGAACACCTGCCTGTGGTGCCGGAGTAGACTACCATGATCACCCTGATCTGAATCTTTATGCAGCCGCAGCTCAAGACGGCATGAACGAGCTTTTCGATGGCAATTGTAGTTATTCGACTCTGGATTTGAACAATGCTCCAAGTCAGTGGTAAGTCATCCGATCAATCAAGGGAAGGTACTTCGAGATCACGACTGACAAGGATTCTTCGTCACAGTGGTGGTGCGGCTAATCCGTACGGGCATAATCCCTCTCCGGGATACCCCTCCCCATCGTGTACAAACAACAAGTGCAATTCATGCTTCAAGGTCACATCAGGGGCGACTTCAGTCATAGTCAAGATCATTGACGCCTGCCCCAAGTATTCAGCATGGAATTACTGCAAAACTGCCGTGTCTCCAGCAGACAAGTGCGCTGCTGACGGTCCCCAGTGAGTATCTCCTTTGTCATCAAATCGAGGATAGGATGTGGACGTTGGAGCCCTCCAGAAGGCTAATTCAAAGCGCTTACAGTCTCGACATAAGTACCGGAGCTATGTCAAAATTGAGTGGCGGATCCGTAAGACTTCCTTTTGTTTCCCATACATCCCTGCTAATCATTTTACAGGCTGGTACCATTGAAAATGTAGACATCGAGTCGATAGGATGCCCCGTAGGACGGAAGCGTGAGGTATTCCATGCTTGATTCAGGAGTTGAACTACGCCTAGGCTTGAGGAAGAGGGAATTTTGACGATTGGTTGAAGTTGGGCCTTGTTTACTGTACATTAAGAATGTCAGACCATGGAACATAGTAAAGCCCAATCTGCCAGTACAAAGTCACTCACTCTTAGAAATCACACTGCCGAATCTTCAATTCTCGATTCAAACTAGGTATCAGAATCTCAAGATTATGTGCCGAGACTTAGCACTTTACCAGTACCCATATGGCAAACACGTTGAGGGTGTGATGACCTTTTAATTTCAATATCCTCGGCAGCCGTAACTGTTTCATGTTTCAGTGCCATCAACACCCTTTCCGGAGACCCAGAGGTCCATTCAAGACGGTAAAAAAGCAGACCAGGTACACTGACTCCGAGTCCTACTCAAAGCGCATTCACGTCGGATTGATCGAGACGTCCTATGTCCTAGCGTCGAGTGTTTTCAGGAGAGATTGGGCAAGAGGCAGTCAACACCAAATACAATACAATCAACAGTCGCAAACTGCGAATTTAGATGTTTTGACTGTGAGAAATCTTTTTGGAAGAGCAACATGGCGCAATAGCGCGTAGTAGACAAATTTCCCGGTTACGTAGAACAGGAATAGGAGCATCCGAAATTGCAGCCTTCAATAATATCATACATATGCCACGCTTGGCATGTAATTTTCCCATGTTAAGGCGTGTTGTTATATTGAAAGCTTGTGCAGTCAGGTTATGCGATGTATGCATAGATTTCAATGGGACGCGAGCCGGCCGCACCAACCAGCCTCCTGACCCAAAGACAGACTGTAACCATTTGGCTGAGGTTCTTATTCAGCTACCAATCTTGTACTCGAGCCGTCACTTTCTCGTGGAGCATTGATCTTGGTGGCAAATTCTATGACTGCCAAACATTTCGGTCAGGCTGTCGATGGTGCTATCTTGGTGAGCAGGGATAGAAGCTAGTGCCACAACGGTAGTGACAACCGTGTCATATTTACATGCCGCTTACTTCAGAGTCGGGGATGACGGAGAGCTAGCAGGACGGGCTTGTGAATAACAGATTTGTGTGTGATTTGTATAAGTTAGCATTTGTGGGAGCGCGTAAAGCGTAAGCTTGGTATGTAGTTCTAGAAGGTTCACAGCCGGCTGTTGCCGACCGGGCTGGTGCCAAGAACTCTGTATAAAAGTCTAAGCAGAATAGACAGGTGCAATAGACGTCATTATCAATGCTATTTGAAGCCCGTGAAGTGTATAGGGCTCGTTTTTGTGCGAAATGCACCGTACGGTCTTATCTTGTCTTCACCCCATCGAGCTGAACTAGCGCCGGGGAAACTTCGCTTCCGATAGTAAAGCCCCCTTGCATTAAATGTTCTCTGCTGCCCGGCTGACTGGGTATAGTGGAGACCAACGAGCAGATCGATTTGTACGGTTAGCTTTAAAGCATTTCATCCTTAGTATGGTAGCTTATTATTACTTCAGACACACTAGGAGTTGGTCATGATGCGAGTCAGGCAGAAATTAAGAAAGCTTATCATAAGGTTTGAAGGTCTTCTTATCGATCACTGAATGATCTGACATATGTCGTAGGCTGCTCTTGCCAGCCATCCTGACAAAGTGCCTGAGGGTCAGCGCGCCGCCGCTGATGAAAAGTTTAAATCAATAAGTCAAGCGTACGACATCCTATACAATGATCAGACGAGGCACTTGTACGATAGCCATGGCATGCAAGCATTCGAGAAGGGTTCCGGTGCCGCTCCGGGAGACGTCAATCTCGATGATATCTTGGCTCAGATGATGGGCATGGGCATGGGTGGTGGTATGCCCCAGGGATTCGGTGGTCCACCGAGGAAGCCCCGAAGAGGAAAAGATGAGGAGCAGAGTTACGCCATCTCATTAGAGGAACTGTACAAGGGCAAGACCGTCAAATTTGCGAGCACGAAGAATGTTATTTGCACGCATTGCAAAGGAAGTGGTGGGAAAGAGAAAGCAAGGGCGAAAAAATGCTCTTCTTGTAACGGCGCAGGTGAGGTCTACGGTATCCTCGTGACAATACGTGTGGGCTGAGCAGAATCAAAAGGTATGACACAGAAACTGCGCTTTCTTGACGCTGGTATGGCTACCCGTGACCAAGTCATTTGCGGCAATTGCAAAGGGAAAGGATCTGTCTATAATCCCAAAGACAGATGCAAAAAATGTTCGGGCGAAGGCACAACTAAAGCTCGCAAGGTACTTGAAATGTACATACCAAGAGGATCTAAGTGTGCTCCCCCGTCATTCATTGACGGTAAAGTAGCTTACAGTACCACAGGGACGGTGAGAAAATAAGATTAGAAGGAGAGGCGGATCAAGTCCCAGACCAGGAACCTGGCGATATTGTGTTCACCCTCGCACAGAGCGAACATCCAACTTTTGAGAGAAGAGGAGCAGATATTCTGGCTACGATCGAAGTCACGCTTGCTGAAGCCCTCTGCGGGTTTTCGCGGGTCGTTGTCAAACATCTTGATGGACGAGGCATTCATATACGACATCCGCAGCCTGCTGCACGAGTGCTGGAACCGGATCAGATAATCAAGGTTGCAGGCGAGGGAATGCCGCACAAGAAAAGCGATATCAAAGGCGATCTGTACCTGATGGTCAATGTCAAATTCCCGGACTATGCGACCTTAGAGCGCAACCAAGCCTTCAAGAAATTGAGAGACATTCTGCCGAAACCAGGCAAGCCAATAGAAGCAGACGAGGTGGATGACGTCGAGTACGACGAGACGGCAACTCTCGATGGTTTTGGTGGGGCAGAGAATGTGGCTGGAGACTGGGAAGACGAAGATGAAGACGGTACAGGACCACAATGTCAACAACAATGATCTATCTTGGGCTGTTTCTCCCCTCTCACTCTTCAAACTCGACCTCCGTTCTACTCATAGAGCTGATAGATTGGGCATGGCGGGGGTGTTTATAGACATACTGCTAAAGTAGATACAATTTTCAATATGTGTGAATACACTTTCTCTCCGAGATTGACGCCCCAGACTCAAAAGTCTCGCGTGTGGACAAAACGACTGAAGAAAATGTTCCCCATAATCATAGACTCGCTTGCTCAGCCCTACGGATACTAGCGTAGAAATTAGCCGCACCATATCAAACCGCATCATCCTAGCTTGAATCACGGTAGCAATATACTCTGTAGGGACTGAACATCAAGGTGAAGCTCAAGCCCTTTGGCATTACTCTCTAGCGTGACTTATCTGTTCAGTAGATGGCGGCCGCAAAGAAACACGTCAAAATCGTGAAGAAGCGTATGTCAAATCTTGTACCCACCAGGTCGCCGTACACCGAAAGAGCGCGGGCCACAATGTGCGATAAAGATTTAATGATCGTTAGCTGACGAGCTGGCGTCACAGGCACAAAGCGCTTCAATCGACATCAGAGCGATATGTTCATGTGTGTCGCATCAAACTGGCGAAAGCCTAAAGGAATCGACAATCGTGTGAGGAGACGGTTCAAGGGACAAGCGGTCATGCCATCGGTATAGAAGCACTATTCCGTACCTCCTGGACAGCATCATCACAAGAAGGAGGTCTCGCTGGCTTGATCGTAGCTGACGGTAATAATAGATCGGTTTCGGCTCCAACAAGAAAACTCGCCACATGATGCCCTCAGGCCACAAGGTAAAATCTTATTGTGTGAAGCATTGACACAGGTTCTGACTTTTCTATCTTTTAGGCATTCGTCGTTAACAACCCAGCGGATGTCGATCTCCTTCTCATGCACAACAAGACATATGCGGCTGAGTATGTTTTCAACTATTTCATCCTACCAGTGCTGCGACTCCTACACGAGACCTCTACCGAAACGCGAGTGGGGCTAATGATTGAGATAGGATCGCACACGCAGTATCGTCGAGAAAGCGGGTGGATATCATAGCGAAGGCGAAACAATTAGGCGTGAAGGTGACGAATCCAAAGGCGAAGGTTACAACAGAGTCATGATATGGGCTCGAGGGCGGAGAGGGTAGTGACAGGAACATTGGGTGAAAAAGAGATCATCAATTGAAAAAATATCCACAGAGAAATGCTTGCCAATCGACTTGCTTTTCCGCTCCCACAAGATCCTGCTCCCTCCAAATGATTCGTGGGAACCATGCAGATGCTTAAGATGCCTTTCAAAAAAGCTGTGCATAGGCCTCATCGGCGCCCAGCCCATCATTAGATCTCACTAGCCACTTCTTTCCCCAGTTCCCAATACCGCCACTGCTCGCCATACATCTAAGCAAATCCAGCGATCAATCCGACAGCACCAACAACACCAGCAACAACACCGCCCACATGCCCAGCAGCCCCCGTGGCCGCAGCACCCGCAGAGCTCGTAGCACTTCCTGCGGCGTTGGTAGCAGCGCTTGCCACGCTGCCTGCAGCACTAGTAGCGCTTCCTGCGGCACTCGTGGCGCTGTTGACAGCGTCGGATGCTGAGCCGTAAAGAGAAGTCGCGTCGGCGGCGATAGAAGAGGCTAGGGATGCGGCGGAAGCGGTGGGAATAGCAGAGCCGGCCGAGGAGGCAGCTTGGACTGCTGCGTCTAGAAGAGGGAGAAGGTTAGCGGTGTCTTGAGATAAGAGGGAGAAGGAGGATGAGGAGGAAGAGATGGAGGAGAGAGGAGAGTGGGAGAACGTACTTGTTGCTTGTGCTACGGCGCTGTTTACATCGGTGGCTCCATTATCGAATGCACTGACGGCGGCGCTATTGCCTTGGGCGATGAGAGAGTTGATATCTTGGGCGGAGGCGAGGAGGGGAAGGAGAGGGAGAAGGATGTAAGTGAGTTGCATGTTTACTTGTGGCGTAGGCGTCGAGTTGTTTATTGAAAAGAGTGAATGGTTTTGCAGGTGACTGTGAGTAGACAGAGGAAGGAAACACGTGAGGATAAAGTAAGGAGCAGAGTATTTGGTAATTGTTATATATGTACAAATAGTCTAAGCTGAAAGGTAGTCCAGTAAGCTGTAAGCTGAGCCTCGTCCCAGTCGCAGCCCCTAAGCCAGTTCCATCAATGCTACTCTCCCCAAGCATCATCCTTGAAAAAGCCGGTAGGAAATTATGGGGGAAATTGTGATGATCGTCGCCACGTTCCTGACGCCAAGCTGCGCTAGACCAGATCGGATTCGGAACCCAACGGCAATTTTCACGATGGAGCCAAGCCCCTTCTATTTCGGTATTATCAGCCCACCAGGCCTGCGTTTACATCGCCTATTTACTACTGGGCAAGCCTTCCACTTCTTCGTCGTTACGAGGACACTGCCAGGCAACTACGATAGTGTTCTTCGCGAATGTTTAAATATTGATGATGGGATGCAGCGTCTGAAAGGGCAAGCCTCACGCAAGCCACCTGGCTTACGCATGAGGCCTCGGTCACTGAAAATGAAGACAATTACAAGGCTTCCCCAACACGATAGCATGGCGTCTGAACATCGTTGTCTCGACCCTGCATTATGTGACATCAATCATCAACGATAGCGGAAACCGAGAAGACCGAATGTGTCCGTACGGAGCCAGCATCCTATCCATTTGCATGCAGCTCGCCTTCACTGCATGAAAATGTAGGGTCTGATACTCAGGTTCGCCAGCATGCATGAACTCATCAATCATGTCCACTTAAGCCAGAGCATTTACTTCTGCTACCACATTCTTCATCAACGACCTCCACAGAAAGCCCAGCGTAGCGGAGTGCACTCTTTGATGATCCCATCGGTTCGACACCCTCTTTCTCGCGTTCACGCCGAGCATCGTCGCATTTTGTTGCGTGAGACGGCATTCCGATTCCTGACTTGCCAATCTTTATAAGACATTTTCTCTATGTTATGCATATTTTACCCTGTTCCAAGTCATCATGTTGAGCGCAGTTTCAGTCTTTCGTTCTTGGAGGTAATATGACAACCAGGTTGAGCTTGAGTCTGCGTTGGGCGCCTTTAACTTTCAACATCGACAAGATACGTCAGTACTGAGGCGCGCTCTTAACGGGGACAGCCAAACAAATAAGCGTGGCAAACCATGCTAAAACGGGCAGGGAAGAACCTCACCCCAAAAATGTCCGGATTCAATGACAGATTTTTATCTGAAAGAGGGAAGGTCACCTGAACGCCACCGTCACCATGTGTTGATGGCGTCGAAATTTCCTCTTTGGGACGGGAGTTCTGGCTGTTTGATATTGATCTGGTATTGTACGAAACCGTACATTGGAGTCTGGTCTATCCCTTGCTGCAGCTTTGTCCTGTATGGCCCACGCTGACAGCTTTGACGAGTGAAGCGATGGGCCAAATCACACTCATTAGGCATGCAATTTCCATGCATGCTGATCAGCAGGAAACCACGTCACGTGATGCATGCTCCTTCCTCTCATCCGACTGACCCGAAAGCATTGATATAAATATCCAACCAGAACCTCGGGCTCTCCAACATCAGAAACTCATCCAGCGAGAATGCCTTGCTCCGTCAGCATAATCTACCCCCGGCGCCCCACATCCACCTTCGACCTTACCTACTACCTGCAGACCCACATGCCGTTCGTCCAGCGATCGTGGGGACCCCACGGTCTGAAGAAATGGGAGGTATTTGAATTGAACGAGGAATCAGGTTACAGCATTCAGGCAATTCTTTACTGGGACAGTGTGGATATGTGGAAGGAAACGCTCAAGGTCGATGTAACGAAGGAAGTGTTTGGTGACATCCCAAATTTCAGCAATGAGCAGCCTATTCAATTGATTGGTAATTCTGTTGGACCGCAAGAGGGTGGAGCTTGAGGCAATCAAAGAGGTGCATTGACAGCGAACGCCCTTCCTGTACATACTGGTCCTCAAGCCGGAAGTCTCAATACCCTTCGCTATCAACCACTAGGGCAGTCATGGAATGAGAGCATACACAATGAATGATGCGAGCAGTACGGCTGACGACGATGTATGATTTTATATGACTTGTACACGCGTTCTATAATCTCTTCACCAAAATAGACCCAAGCTCTCCTCACCCCCCGCTCATTCCGATCTCACAACCTCTCTCTCCCCTTCCCCCTTTTAACCCTCCGTCTCTGCCCCATCATATGCCCATAGAGCACCCAACTCCCCGGCACATACAATCCAAGGATCCCCCAAAGCGTCCAACTCACCCACTCCGGCGTCTCCCTCCCCACACTCGTCTTCCACACAAGGGCACACTCACTCCCAATCCCCACGGGATATAGCACAAAGAACAAATTATACCGTGCCCAGACCAACCATGGGGGAACCCCATCCTGACGGAGATTGAGGAAGAAGTACGAGTACCGCACGCACTCTGTGACGGACCAAGCGAGGAGCATACTGGAGTAGAAGACGGAGCCTTGGATGGAAGGGTGGGCGCCGTAGAGGGAGAGGACGGGCCAGACGAGGAAGAGGCGGGAGGCGATTTGGAGGGTTGTTGTTGAGAGGGAGGCGCGTATGAGACCTGTAGCGATCTTATATTCAGCATGGGCTTCTTGTTGAAATTCTCGACTGCTTGTTGTCGTCCAAGGAGTGCCTGCTCCAGCTTTTTCCATGTGCACATTTTACGTCTTCTCATCTCAAGGCATCTTCTCATCCTCCTGGCTCGCATTTCCTTCCCGAGCTCTTGCCCTCACAAAAAATCACATCCTCAAAACTATCACACTTCTCCACTTTCGCCTCACATTTCCCCCAAATCACCCCTCGAGAATAAGAAAGCCTACACACCTAAAGCACAATGCACAATCTCCACCGCCATCGCTGTCTGTGTCCCTCTCGTCCAATTTCCCACCCCACCGTACACATTCTCGAATCCCACAAGCGGTACGAGCAGGAGAAGGCGGCCGAGGACTGCGGCCCAGAGGAGGAAGCTGAGGGCATTGTAGGCGAGAAGGTAGGTCTGTTTCGAATCGCTTTTGAGACGGCGGTGCGGCTGATTTCTTGTGTCCATTTTCCGGGAGGAGAAGGGAAGCAATGAGTTGGGAAGGTGAAGGGGCTCGTTGGTGGTGGGAGGCGGTGGAGTTAGGTGGAGAAGAATTGGGTAACGGTAAATGAGATTGGGACTAACGATCTTTGAATTGCTTTTGCGCATTATGAAAGGTAGCCTACCTCTTCAGTCTACAATATTTTGGAACGGAGGCGACCTTGTGTAGTTAGACTGAGTATGAAGGCTATGTCACTATGATATCTAGCCTGCGATGTCATTCAGGTTTTTCTACATCAAATCTCTCTGATTGTCCTGACAGTTTATATGCACAATGCTGAGGCCGGTCCTTCCTCCATTACGCTTGCTTTTGCTATTTGTTAGGATGGTATCGACCGTGCTGTCAGCCTTTCAACGCCGATTGCTTGAAGCATGCCGCTTAGTTTCGCAGAATTGTGGGAGGAAGGAAATATGCCAGAGAGTACAAGTGCTAAGGGTGGACGGCTCCTTTTGAACCATCTAATGCCAACCCGACAGAATAGTCCCATTATAGGTATATCTGCGAGAAGCTCCGTGTTTGTAAGCGTTGCTTACAGCCATCGACCACACATTTGGTGAATTGCACGTCCTTTGGCTCTTTTTTATTTTTGCGTCGCTTGATACACTCTCCGCAAAAGACCTGTCGCAAGTAATCAGAATTTTGTCAAGACCATAGCCATAGCAATTCTTACATGTCCACACGGTCTTGAGACCCAAACCTGCCTCTTGAGATCACCATCCCCTGCCCCCAATTCGCCCTCGCATTTTGGACATACCAAGATCTGATCTTTCTTGGAATTCCTCGTATAGCCTCTGCGGGGAGGATCTGGCGCCTCATATGTGGGCAGTCTTGGTTCTTCTGCTAGTTGCTGAGGACGGTCTAGATTGAAGCCGACCGCAGACACATCCAACATATTTGGGATATTAAAATGTTCCGTTACACCATAATCAATACCGACGAGCTGATCTCGAACCTGCCCTATTCGATTTTGAAAGTGAGCGAGGTTTGCCCCTAATCCGAAGTTGAAGATGCTTGGTAAATTATAAGGGCGCGGATGTTGGTTCACGCGGTGGCTCTGCCGTGGACCCCCGTTATACTGGTTTTGGTTAACCTCTGGAGATCTGGAGCGGGCACGAGAGCTGATGAATTCGATTTCTGGGCTTGATGGTCCTTCCGTGCTAGACGGTGCACTCTCTGCGTCACTGAGATCAACGACTTGAGGCTCGGCTGCGGAGTGATGCCGTAGAGATCTTCTCGGCCCGTTTGGCCTTCGCAATAAAGGATCTGGCGTTCGTTCTGGAGGCAGTGCGAATTCCGGCGGGCTGGATGGTTCTTCCGTGAGGTCGATCACATTTTGTGGTAGTGAGGGTTGTTGTGACATTACAGGCCGTCTCATGTCGTACCCATCTCTCGAATTTTGTCTGAATGAGGGAATGCGGATGTTGCTGAAGAGTGACGGTAGTGGCGCATGTGTTGTGTTGGTTCGGGAGGAGGATGCTCTATTATTGTATGATGTGGAACTAGACTCGCGGGACATTTGATCATGGGGTCTCTGGGTAGGGAAGAGACTGTCAGCAAGGGTTCTGGGTAAGAGATGTTTACGTGTGATGGCGTGAAGCAGATAGATGAAGATTTGAAATCCAAGAGCAGGTCAAGCAACTCACTTTTCTGCTGTTCTCGTTTGTGCAAAGTAGCGACGCCACCGAAAGAGGTCCATTCATTGTCAGGTCATGAGTGTTTGTGGCCGTATGAAGAAGAGGGGACACCGACGTGGGGCAGAAACGCAAAGTCCGTGAAATTGTTTGCAGTAGCAAAGGGGGAAAGAAGGTCGAAAAGAGGTGGAGAGGAGCAAACGGTGTTGCATGGAAGGAGGATGCTTGCCGAGTCCGGCCAAACAAGCGGTCTCACAATAATCACAGTTCAGGGATCAGCGTAACGCCAGCCAACTTAGATTGCCACCGTTGTTCTTTGAACTACAAGAACACACAGTCTTAAAGACACAGTCTTAAAAACTAGCAAATACAGAGAAAATCCTGTAGGTGCATTTTGTTGATTGCTTGATCACTATAAACATACATCGTCGTCACCCCGCCCGCAAAACCGTGAACACACCCTCAGCATTCACCACCACCAGACTTCGCGCTTGAGGCCCCCATGCCAACGCTGCAGCAGGCACTGCCGTTGCCAACAACTGACTCCATTCTTTCTTACCCTTGTTGAATGACTGCACCGTCAGCCCGCCAGGCCCGCCAGCAGCCAAAAATTGTCCCGTATAATCCCACCGTAAAGTCACCACTGGTCCGCCCATATCCAATTCCTGGATCTTCGAAGATTTCCTGAGATCCCACACGGAGACGTGCTGAGACCCTTTGACCACCGCCGCAAGCCAAGTCCCGTTCTCCGAGAAGTCCAAGGCCCCAATAGGTCCGTTTTCCTCGAAGTTCGCGGCATTTGCTCCGGTCTTTGTATCGTAAATCTTGATCTGACCGTCGACCCCGCCCGCTGCGAACAGGTGGCCATCCGGATGGAATTGAGCGCTCGTCAAAGCTGATCGCCATTACTGGTCTGCCATTGCACTGGAGTGGGGATGTCATCATACCTGTGTCGGTTGCTACACGCAACGCTTTCGAGCCTGTCGCCAGATCGTAGAAAACATAAGACTTATCTGTTCCCACAGAAGCCATAATATCACCACTGGGATGCAGTGCTAAAGCCGCAGCTTGCCCGCTATGTGCATCCACATTGGTTCGCCTCTTTCCCTCGTCAAATATTGTCACTGTGCCTTGTTCTGTAGCGAAAATTGGTTTCGATCCAGCCAATAGCACGGCGGTAACTGGCGAATCCACGTCGAAGTCTTGTTCAAGCTTATTTTGAGACATTGCGAAGATTCCAGCAGCTTTACTGCCCCCTGACAAAACCAGATCTCCTTCAGTATCGATTGCCATGCTTCGCGCATTAGGGAACAGCGCTTCCGAAGTTGTAGCAGGAGCGAAGGATTCGATATCTCTGTCCAGGGCCCACCCATCAGGAACTGGTCGTTTTCGTCTTGTCTTCGAAAGCCTAGCGAGAAGATATCAGCACCACGTACCACAAAATCCTAGTCTAAATTGAAATAGACACATACTTCTCCTGTGTCGCCTCCACTTTCTTCACGAGCTTCGGATTGAGCTCTTGCCCGTCGATCTCCATCTGCTCCCCATTCACTGGCCGTGCACCTGTGCTGACTTGCACTTTCGCCAACGCATCTCTCGCCTCGTCTCTTTCTTTTTGTAACCGCGCAACAACTCGCTTTGCGGCATCATTCTCGTAAAGCGCATTACTTAGCTCCTGTCTGACTTCGGTGAGATGTTGTCTGAGGGTGAAGGTTTCTAGTGCGATGGCTTCCCATTCGTTTTGAAAGACAGAGAGCAAGGAAGGTATTGAGGTGAGTGTAGGAGGGCGAGGTTTGACTGTTATGTTAGATTTGATAGTGATGAGATCGGCAGCGGAAAGTTCATCGTTCGTTATCGGATCTTTGCCGTTTTCTTGTAGGTAGTTCTCGATCAGGCGCCGCTCGAAGATGTTGCCTATCAATTATGAGCTATGGGCTAGCAAGAGCAAAAGTGAACTTACCGCTTTTTGGTGAGATGACTGGGTCTTGCGGGGGTTCGCCAGAGACTGCTTAGATCAGAAATCAATTCCAAGCGAGCAAAAACATCAAAGACCTACTTGCGCACAACATCTCGACTGATTGCAGACGAATTGCTCGAATGTTGAAGATTCACGCGAGTTTTTGTTGGCAGAACCTCGCCCGTCAAATTAATATCAAGGCAAGTCTTGGCAATCTGAAGACTATCATGTCCACGCGAAATGACGTCCAGTTGGCCTTGGAATAATCGTTGCAGGATTTGCATCATGTGACTCTATTGTGGGTATCTATGTAATATACATCTCTTCAGATCAATCGCACTCGTAAAGCCCAAGTTCAAATATACATACAACGCTGGATCGCTTGTCGTTCACTTCGTCGCTGGGAAAAGACTTTTGCCGCAGATTCGTAAATGCAATGGCTCGCCAGAGTCAAACAATGTCCAGACTCCTGCGTACGTTGCCAAAGCCTCGCTTCAGCAATTCCTGCACCTCTGTGCTCTTCCGCCTGGGCTTTTGCTTGCCGTTATCGCTGTCTTCACCTCCTTCGTCGTTGAATTCGCGTTGATCGACAGCAAAGGAAACTTTGGGCTCTCTGTGAACGACCTCAGTCTCTGAGGTCTGCCTGCGTCGCACAGTCGGACTGCCTGGCAAATCGTGCTCGTCCACACCACTAGCAGCTCTCGCGTGTCTTGGGCGGTTTAGCAGCTCCTGTACTTCATTCTCTCGTTCTTGCTCCTCTTCGAGCGTCCTGATACGCTCCAAAGCTCCATCGCCTTGCGTACTTGGCCGAGAAGGGCTACCAGCAGCGCCAGCCGCCTGAGCGAAACGCCGCCGGATGACCTCATCCTTTTCCAATTCTCTGAAGCAATCTGCATCGCTTGGAATCCATGTGCATTTGATCACCTTGATCGCAACCTCGATTGCCCAACAAGCCGTCACGATTAGGATCAATGTGAGCCACCAGAGAGCATTCTTGCCAAAGCGACTCGTCAGACCATCTTTTACATTGTAGATCTTATTGTCATGGTAGACGGATGCCAGAATGAGATTCCAAAGGAACCAACCCCCGACGCTAAGGAATATTGCAATCACACACGTGATTGACTTGTAATGCAGCTCCCAAAATTGTATCTTTGCGTTGATGACAATAATGCATGCTGTGAAACTCAAGGCGCCCATGGCAAATAGTCCGTTGTCGAAAGTGAAGAGTGACTGCCCGAAAAGTCCAAGCATGATGAAAAAAATGACAACAGCCTGAGACGAAGCCATGAAGACCCACCAAAGATACAAAGGAATATTGAAACCTCTGTTACTTGGACCTAATGAATGGTATAGCTCCGGCACCGCCATCAGTGTGTTTGCAGAAAGATCCTGCTCAAAGACTCCCATAAAAATTACAGGTAGAGAGGTGAAGAGTGTGTTGAACATTGACAGCGACCAAGATTCGTAGAGGGATGTGCCGGTGTATCCGGCGTAACGTTGAAACAGTGCCTGGGTGAGATAGAAGAGTAGCTCTTTCCAAAAAGTACCGAGAGTGTATTTGCACGTGCGAATGTAGTTCCATCGGCCATGAACAAGCAGCAACTTTGTAAGGAAACGAAACTGGGCGATCGAGTAGTCGGACGTTCTAGCAGCCTGAAGGCCCTCTTTTCCCGTGATACCGATACCCACATGCGCTTCTTGAATCATTGCAATGTCATTTGCACCATCTCCAATGGCAAGCGTTACAGCGTTTTTGACTTTGCTGCGAATAGAATGCACAAGGGAAGCTTTTTGACTAGGAGAAGCCCGACAGCAGACCACGGTGTCGGCAAGTATTGCAAGAGAAAGGAAAAGCTTTCGGAGCGGCTCGTAGCCAGTGATCTGAGTTAGTGTTTGTCCGTCTACAACAACCACAGAGTGAGCTATTATCCCTTGAGAGATGTCGAGTGTAGCGGCTGCGATACATTGACTGACATCGCCCAGCTCACGATCAAGGGTTGTAATCGTAGAGTAATCTTTGATGAGGCGGCAACTGTGACCGATATTGATTGCCGTCTCACGCTTGTCACCTGTCAACATCCACATCTTTATCTTTGCTCTCCGAAGTTTGTCGATGGCTTCTGGTACTCCATCTTGAAGCTTGTCTTCAATTGCAGTCGCGCCGGCCAACTCAAGATCGCGTTCGATCATAGAGCCCGCCTTCTCGATCTTGTCTTGACGATCAATCAGACTTGTTGTGGCTTCTAAATAGATCTTTTTCCAGCCCTGATACTCATCTTCATCCATATATCTGTAACCATAAAGAAGTGTTCGTAGGCCTTCGGTGGCAAAATCGTTGATATGCTGGAAGCATCTCTCGAATACTTGTGCATCATCAACGACCATGGCTTCTTCGACCATCTCGTTACTGCCTTCACGTTGCATGGACGGACGGCCGTCCAGGCTTCTGCTAAAGCGATCGGCTCTAACGCTTAGCTGAGCAGAAGGCCTCGGCGAGTAGTAGAGACTCTCGGTTTCGACGGAAGATAGATCCACGTCCCTTTCTCTGTCGTTGAGCCAGTGGTCGACTTCGTCTCTGATAGGTTGAAGACGTTTTACGGTCATACTAGGGCGTGTGATGCCACCCACACTAGGGCGATGTATACTCAAGCTAGTACGAGCAATACTGTCCTTTCGGCTACGCGCTTCGCTGGCTCTTCTGATCGCTTCCTGTGCTTCCAGGCTCTGTCGCTTACTGACCCGTTGCTCGATTTCAACAGCTTTAGCATTAGCAAGTGTAGATTGTCTGAGGAGTTGCATAATCGTCGTATCTGCGCCCTTAGAGAATAAGCACACTCTCTGATTAGGTAGGCGTACGACAATTGACATTCTTTTTCGTGCGCTTGAAAATTCGATGACGTCGAGTACTTCATACTTTTCAAATACTGCCTCAGTTTCCGCATCTGGTGATAACAACTTTATCGTAAGGGTGCTGTTCTGGCGATCGATAACGACGTACCCCAGCTCCTGCGCAGCTTGCACAAGAGCGTGTTCATCTGGTGACGCAGCCTGATACTCCACCTGGCCATCACTTTTAGTCTCGGGTAGGCAGGTATGGCACAAAGCAATCGAAAGCAGTAGTTGATGGACTTTTTTTGCAAAAACAGTATGCGGTCGTCGTTGAACATACCGCAATAAATCTAACGAGTTCATGATTTGCTGGAAGCCGTGTGGTCTGGCTGATGATTTCCAACGAGATGCAACAGAGCTAGTCCGCCCCACAGGGGACTTCGCATTCTTTATAGATGCGCCAGGCCCTTCCTCAAGTACAGTCGAGCTCATCTTCCTTAGCGGCTTCTTCCCTTTGCTGCGTTTTCTAGGAAAGAAAGGTGCATCCCGGAGCTCTGGGGTAGCCTCTCGCTGCAAATCGAGGTCATGAAGCCACGCTGTGCCTGCCACGCTCATTTTGCGAAAGCGCATCGAGTTGTTCGTTAAAGTACCAGTCTTGTCTGAAAATATGTAACTGTCTGTGGTAAGCCAAAAATCGGTATTTCAAGGAAGGGAAACTGACTTAATCTGGCCTAGCTCTTCATTGATGGTAGAGGTCCTAGCTTCCATGGGTGTATTAGTGTTCTCATCATACATGTCGATGTCGTTCATTAGAAACATCTGGCACAACTTGACTATTTCTAAGCTTACGTAGAGTGAGAGGGGGATCATCGTATTGAACAAGATGATGAAAGATGCCAAAATTGGAAAGAAGGCGACCCCAGCGTTCGTAAGATACCATGACTTATCTTCCGTGTGACGGTTCCATATCTGGTATGCCACCGTGTTGAATATTGCCAAAGCAATGACAAAGATCACTATGATGACCACGACCCTGTTTACCGCGAACTGCAGAGCAGGCGCTTTGATACGAGGGTTTTTATTTGCATTCATGCGAATCTTGCACTCCTCTCCGGTGTAAATGACCATGCCAAAAGCCTCCCTGGTATTTCGTAAGACGCTTCCGCGGTATATGACCTCGCTATTTGTCAACGGCAATGTCTCTTCACCGACGATGACCTTGCCTTCAAAATTATATAGATCCAAATTTGGATCTTCAACGACTAGATAAGCTTGGCACCTTGTGATATCCTCGGTAGTCTCACATGCCTTTGCCAGTAATGGAGAAGGCTGCTTGGGTTTCAAATTAGTTTCTCCATCCAGAGCCATTGTCTCGACATAAGCGGCTCCCTCAGTCCCGGTAGCTTGCAAAACAATAAGGTCGGCAGGAGCTGCTTCATCACGAACAAGCTTGACAACGTCCCCTACTTTCACGTCATGCCACTTTGTCTCCGCCCAGCGCCTCGCACCCTCTGTGGCAACAGGGCGCGTAGTACCTGTTGTAACCTTCCCAGGCTTATACACATGCAATATCGAGGTAGTTCGTCTATTCTCTGCTTTATCTAGTCTGTAACGTCTAAGATCGTCGAAGCCTTCTTTCGCAATAGATATGCACACAAAGAAAAGTAATGGTACAATAGTAGTAAATTGTCCGGTGGTGCTAAGACCGGGTATCATTTGCAGAATTGAGACGCAAAGAAAATAGAAGTTAGCAAGCTTATAGAATTGAGCAAATAGTTGACGTGGTATGAAGTTCCATAGGGTATAGCGGCTGGAGCGAATGGTATTGCTGAGGTATTCATGACCTCTACGCTCATCGATCAAAGGCTTTCTTCGAGCAAGGTCCAGAGACACATGCCGGCCATTTCTGGATTGGGGTAGCTCATGTATTCGCAATATGGTCTTCCGAACCCCTTCTTTGAGTTCGTTGAGACGGGATAACACCAGCTTCAGTGTCGACTTTTGGCTTGCCCAACTCTCGTAATTCGGCAGAGAAAGGGGCCCTGTTGACGGCTTCTTCTCTGAAGAACCCTGCGGCTCTACGCTTTCTATTTGCTCACTCACAGGCGATACGCTAATAGAAGTCCCAGGTTTCTTCGACCTAGCAGCCACGGTCGGCGAACGTAGGACCCGATGTCCAGATGAAGAACCTGCGATAGATTGCAACTCGACGACTGTGCCAGTCTTTGGTTGTTGCTGGTGTCCTGGTAGAGTGCGAGCTAGCAAGGATCGTCGCAAGGACAACCCTCGTTCGCGAGTACGTGGAGAAACTGGAGAGCTTGCTGAAGGTGGTTTGGTAGACGGCGTACTCGTAGATCTTGGCGAGAGGGGACTGTTGGGTGACTTCTGGCTATTGGCAGGGGCAGTTCCGAATCGGATAGTAGTGTTTCGTGTATCAATGGATAGACTAGAGATTATAGAGCCCTTCCTCGAGTGATTGCTTACCCCCTTACTCGTTCCTGACTGTTCGGCGGACAGAGTGGAAGCACCTTCGGCAAGAGTACTTCTCGGACATGGAGCAACGTCTTCCACTGAGTCTAGTTCACTCAATAAGGGAGCATCATTTGAGTTTTGCGATCCATCATTAAGGTCGACATGGTCTTTGCCGGCTGCTCCATTGTCTCTCACAGCGGGCTCCGTATTTACCTCTTCGATGTACCGCTCCTGCTTTGTGCCATCTTCTTTCCCCTCAGCCATAGCACTTCAGCGACTGGCCTTTCCTCTCTCAACATTGCTCGATTGAAGGATCACGAGGCGTCGATGGCCATTAATCGGGAGCACCGAACCAATACGAGGGATGTGGCGGGAATTTATGACAAAGACATTGCCTTCCGGGTACTTCTTGGTCGCTACTCTACGCCAGAGGCCACGAGTATTCAATTGAGCAGGAACGAACGTACGTGACGAAGAGACGTTGGCAAAGAATGAGTACACAAATTTGAGAAGTCAAGGCTGTCGTTCTAAATGGGAGGTCACCTTTAAAGGCGCAAAATGTTCTACGCACCAGACGCGGCTTCCCGCCGAGTGGCTAGGAAAATACGAATCAAATCCCCATCATGCCTATTCCCGTCTCCCAATGCTGGAAAGTCTTGTGAGAGCAAACCACTACAGTCGCAAGTATTACTCTGATGATCATGTTCTGCATTGCTCGCATACTTAAGCCACTAACCTATTTAGACAAGAAAAGAGGTATCTGTTATGTGAACAGGGAAGATAGGAACGAATGATGATGCTGCATCTGCCCGTTCCAGCCAGACAGAGGCAGACTCTAGCCAATATTCGATGTGACATAGCGAGCAGATCCTCCAACTCCGGCTTCAAATATCCTATCCGCGGAGAATTAAGCGGGGATATCGTACGATGTTGTATCACATCCACCCGTCTTGCATCAGTAAGTATTATGTATTTCCACCCCAAGATCTCCACCTCCAAACGCCAGTCCCTCTACCGTTCGTCATCCGGTCTACAGACTCGGTCGTGAACTTCGACATAAAATTAATGATAGCATTATTGCTCAGCTCGTTAGATTTCTGTCGGGACTCAAACTCGGATGGTTTAGGTCACCAAAATGAACCATATTGTTCATGTCAAGCTCTTCGCTAGATGACTCTTCTTGCATGTGAAACTTCATCTCCGCATCGTCGAGATTGTGATGGGGCGAATGCATTGGTAAATTTAGAGTTTGTTTTGCGTAGAGATCACTGAGCATTAGACCCTCATCTTGATGATCGTGTGCCATCGTGAGGAAATCTGCAGAAGGACTGCGATGTATATGATCCATAGGGGGGACCCACTCGCTATGACCGGATCACCATGGCTGTAGGTCGATAGTGGCGAAACAGATGGCGGTATGCCTGTTGGGGGATGTTCACCCATGGGCGAAAGAAATGGTAAACTATAGGAAGGATTATAGCTGGAGGCTGGCATGTTGTTGTCGAGGTGGGTGGTAGCTGAGAAGAATCCTGGACTTGGGAAGTCAGACTGCGAATTGGTCGTTGCTGCGGACATTGGCATCTGACGATAATCCATGCCGTATGCGGAGGAAGTATCAATGCGGAGGTTTGGCCCAAGTGGGCCAAGGTGATTGTTGCTATGCTGTGGAATCGGGGCAAAGATACTGTCCGCGTCGATCATATTCACGGAAGGCTTCTGAATGTGGAGAGATGGCATTGGAGGCATAGAGTTGAAATCGATGGCCACAGGTACTGAGCGACTGCGTTGTCGCTTATGGCCCCGCGGCGGAGGAGGCATTCCAAATCCTTGGTTCTCAAACATGGCCAGTTGCGGGTGCGCCATCTGACTAGGCTGAGACGACGGCCGAGGAGGAGCGCCCATTGGAGAAACTGGTGCGGACGCAGCCATGGCTCGTCCGTCATAAGGAAGGTGTCTGGTTTGGAAAGACTCGAAGGATACAAGCTTTGCCAACTGCCCGCTCATCACCTTTGGATGACCGCCTAGGTGATGAACCATCACGGATGATGCTTGTTGATCTTCGGTAAAATCTCCACATCGAGTAAAGCCACCTGTGCCAGCTGAATCCATGAAAAAATTTGGCTCGCGGTTGAGTTCGACTAAGATGCCCCGTGGACGTTGGGGCATTGTATTTGGGTCGTCGAAAGAATCGTTGTTTTCTAAGGAAATGTTTTTGATGTGAGCAAAGGGATACTCGATCTTATAACCTGCACCTTCGTTATTGATGTAGTAGGTCAATGTCGCTTTGTCAGGGGCATAGAAGACAACGAGGTCCATAGCATTCTGGCCGACGCGACGCCATGAGCCAATGCTCAGAGATTTACAGGTGAAGTGATGAATGACTTGGAGCAACTGGTTAGAACGTCAGATCAAACATGAGGCCTTCTATCACTCACCAATTTTGCCGGAAGTCGAGGGGTCGCCAAAATACATCCCGCCACCACCGTAGGTACTCATTTGGTTTGTGGATCTCCCCAAAAAGTCCCGAGTCAAAGGCTTCCCAGATTCAAGGGCTTGATTTGCGAGGTACTGTCGCATAGACTCGGGTATGGCATCACAATCTTCACCCGTCTCGATGCTCTTCTTGGCCAGAAGCTTTATTTTCGCGCGTCTGCATTCTTCAATCAGCTTCCGTATGAAAGTGCGCTTATGTCAAACCCACCTATTCTGAAACCATATTTGCACAGATCTCTCCGTCATACTGATTTCTGATGCGATGCGCTCCCTCACGGTTGCAGTGGGGGTTGGATTTTTATTGAATTCGACTTCAAGCGTTATCAATTGATCTTGTGTAGCCCTCTGGCGTTTCTGGTTTTTTTGCTGCTGTGTCAATGTGCTTTTACGCGGAGGACGGCGAGATGTGTTGGTGGCACTGAGGTTGTCGTCTGAGATTCCGGTTTGCACGCCGTTTGTTTGGGTGGCAGGAGGCGTGCCCATTGGAGAAATTGATGTAGTGGTCGACATGATCTTTATCGCGTCGCTGAAGAATTGCGAGCCTTCGTAAATCGTGAAACAGTTTCGATTAGAGCAAGGAAATAATACACTCGAGAGCTGTGGTGAGTAAAGGGGCCGCGGTGGTGTTCGAGGGGCCAGTCCTCGACACGGCTAGGGAAGAATGAATGCAAAGTCTCAAGTAGCGAGCTTGAAGCTCTTGAGCCCGAAAGAAGTAGGAGCTGCCCTGATTGCGCTGAACGTGATCAGTCGTCGCACGGCTGAAGCTGCTGCGGTGGAAAATGGAGCTGAAGGACAATGGAAAAACTGGGCAACCAAAGGAGTGATGGTCAGGAGCCGAAAGGAGTGGCGGCGTCCTTATGCCAGACGATGAAGAACTGAAAAAGAATGGACGTCAAGTCGATGACCTGACGGATAATATGGGACAAAAAGCAGAAGAAAAGGTGGATGGAACAGTAGTGTTGATGGTGGAAGGAAGAGGCAATCGGAAGGTGAGGAGGGGGAATCGCAGCCAACCCCTGGCAGAACCTTAAACCGCAGACCGGCTGCCAAGTGCCAAAGGGAAGACACACCAAGAGACGCAGGGGCGGAGTCTTCGGGCTACAGTCTACGCTCGAGAAACAACCTGCATTATTCCCACGGACCATCATACCATGGAGTTTATTATCTAGCCATTATTAATATATTATACGAAGTCTTACCCCTTTGACGTGGGTACAAGAGGTGATGCGATGCGGAATCGCTGAAGCAGCTGAGATAATAAGAATGAACCCTCCTGATGGCAATCGCTGAAGATGCTGTCAGAAGATCCAACGAGAATCTGCGCCCTTCAAATGCGCTAGGGCCGTTAGATCCCCCACAGAAACCTTCCAGGACCAACGTCTGCCAGCAGCGTCAACAGGATCCTGTGCATGGCTCGAGTTGGCTGACTGGGCGGGCTACCTTAAGCTGGCTCGCTACTAGACCGTTGACTTTCCGCCGGCTTTTGCGCCTTGAGACACACGGCACCCTCTACGCGAGGCACAGCTTGCATCGTAGACCAAGGCCGGCGGTCTGTCGCTTCTACGACCTCGTAAACGTGTAATGGGGATGAGAATGGCTACGTGGGTCTGTAAAGATGTCATGCAGACCGTTTCTCCAGAGGCATCTGCAACCGTACGCTGTTCCCCACTTTGAGTTCAGTACCTGCATAAGGAACATTCAGGAACAAGTCTAGTGCGAAGTAAATGTTTCGGGCGCTTGTGGGCTTGCTCCTGGTGGCGTGGGAGTCATCGTCTCGTCCAGGAAGCCATCGAATCGCTGTTCAAGAACCCAATCCTGGACCTTGTTTTGTTTGACAGCGATTGTCGGCGCCTATGCGTCCATACAAAGTTGACCGCCTCTCCGCCACCACAAGCTCATGTGAAGCCGCCAGAGATACGGCGTGCTTCTATATATACTCTGCTCAATTGAAGGTTTCGCATCGCTCCACCCTGAAGGTTCAGGTACGTTACACGGCAGCTCACCATGATCAATGTTATTCGAGTCGAGAAAAATAAGGTATAGCACATTAGGTCTTTCATTGTCAATTTCGAAGCTCCGCAGAACAGCCAAACAGGCGACCTCGCTTGGGAGCCATGTCCGAAGGGACTTCCTCTTGACGCGCGACATTGCTGAGAGTGGATAAATGCTTGGGAGTAAGTCTCCTACGACGGCGCCGGTGATTTGAATCCAGCTGTCCCCAAGAACGCCGGTAGGCCTTTCTCCAATCGCATGAACTATTCTTGCATCAGGCTTTCCGATGCTGCAATCATGTCATAATGCGTGCAGACTTACCGTGCCATCTTTGACAATGATACCGTCTCTGACCCATATGCTCAACATACCCATGACGTTGCCCATCATGACATCAGTCAAGAGTCGGTCGCCGATAACCGCAATTTCGCTAGGCTTTGTCACATTAACATCAGGATTACTCCTGAAGTAGTCAAAGACATCTTTGCCACAGCCGGGCTTCTTGATTGAATGTCGAAAAACCTTCACACCCGTACCTTCCTCTAAAAATTCAACCTCGCTAATCGGGTATTTGTCCGTACCGACGGAGTTGCTCACAATTAAGAGTCGAGGTCCTGGATACGCTCTTCTTAAACTTTCAAATGTCTCCTATCGGTTGCGACCCAAGCTTGTCAACACACAGCCTGCAAGACCCCTTTTTTCATAGATGTACAACAACGAGATCTACAAGCAACGATGAAAATTACAGATAGAACAAAAGATGGCATACTTTGTATTGCTTGTGTACATAGATACTTCCCTTCACGGCGAAGGTGTTGTCTCTGTCGAGTACCACCGCTTTGATCTCAGGCCAATCCTGGTATGCGATAGGGACTTGAATTTTATCAAACGTGGGAACTGTGATGTGTGGTATGGCCAATGACGGTCTAGTGAATAGTCTGAAGGCATTCCGAGTCCCTGAAAGATTCATGAGAAGGACTGCCCTACAACTGAGGCTATCGGTGGGAGATGCGGTTGTTGAACAAGCAAAAGGAGCGAGCATCAAGCCTTGGTATGGAGCTAAATGCTTAGCGTCCACCTCTAGATCAGCCCTGCGAAAATCGATATCGAAGTAGATAGTCTCTGGGGCACAAAACATTCTTCGACAACCATCAACATGACCAGCACGATCGGTATACCAATAAAATTGCTCAATGAAGCTCAAGTATGTCACAGTAGGCAAACACAAGAATAAATAGACGATTTGACTAATGATCTCTCGAACCAGAATCATGTCGTTACCCTCGAAATCACATCCGGTCAAGTCTACCGTGGCAAGCTCATAGAAGGTATAATCCTCATCCGCTCCTTGTACCAAGAACATACTGAGCTCTGCCACTAGCTGAAGACAACATGAATGTTCAACTAAAGGACATTACGGTCACTGCGCGCGATGGGCGAGTCAGCCATCTCGACCAAGTATACATACGCGGCAGCCACGTACGATTTTTCATCGTTCCAGACATGTTGAGAAATGCGCCAATGTTTCGATCGAGAGGGCAACGAGGGCGTGGTGTCGGCTTGGCGAGAGGTCGTGCGACAGTTAACAGGGCGAGGGGACAGCGAGGTCCAAGAGGATAAGGCTGTCGATTTGGCACAATCTGCAGGTAGGCTTGACAGACGTGCAAAAAGAGGAATTTAATCCAGGAAATACCAAAAGTGACACAAGAAGGTATGGTCAGTCCCGCCCGATACAACGAGACTGGATGTTGTAAGAGGGGTAAGGCCTGCCAGTAGAAAGACATGAGGGATGAGAACCCAAAAATGACGAAGCAGTCAGACCGAGCAACACAAGTTCGGCGTCTCACAAACATCATTGAACGGATTCATATTCAAACAGTTCTCATAACGTCCCTCACAGCCTTCGCAGCGAACTTTCTCCTCTCCGCTTCCGGCATATGGGCGCCCATATCCCTTATAGCCTGCATCTTCAACAACATGCTCTCCAGCGCCTGCACATCTTCGTCCCCGCCAGACACTTCCTCCACACCTTCTCCTCCCTTTTCCCCCGCCCCATGCTCAAGTAAACTCTCCCTAAGCCCCTTCAGCTCCCCCGCTTCTCCTTCCAATGCTAACCTCTCCTCCACCTCATCAACAAAGTCCTCCTCTCCTTCCACCCCACCATGACCGCCCTCCCATTCACAGCTCTCCAGCGCTTCTTTCACCCTCTCCATCCCAATTTTCTCCCCAAAGTCATTCTTCCCCCCTCCTCAGCATCACCATCAACCCACTCCCAACCCCCCAACTCCCCGCACAGATCCTCCCACTCTTCTGCCCCCAACCCTCCACCGTTCCCAGAAACCATACCTCCTCTCCTGATCACAGCAAGTAAGAGGGGCTCATTCTCCGCATAGTCCTGCTCAGCTCCATTATGTAGATCGATAACGTCTTTCACCGTCCTCATCGCAGCTTTGAGATCGTCAAGGCTTCGGTGGTCAGAGGGATGAGGGAGGCAGAGAATCCAGGCACCTATTGCGTCCACCACTTCATGGGCTTCGGGGGAGGACCACTCGTTTCGCCAGTTGCTCAGGGCGGTGGAGGAGAGGGGCAGGGTGTCCTGCCATATTGGGAGAGAGGCGCTATAGTAGGGCGTTTGGATCTCGTATGTTTCGATATCTGCTTAGAATGTGAGAAGAAGTTGAGTAGGATAAAGAGGAATTAGTACGGGGCTTGGATGAGGAGGTATACCTTTGAAGAGCGGAAGGGGTAGGGAGTCTGCAGGGGCAAGAACTAAGATGCGGAGCGGGGAGGTGACTGTTGGAGGAGATGGCGGCATGCTTTAGAGCATCACAGGAGCCTTTTACTCAGGTGTGTTGGAATGAAGGTGAGATGGAAGACGAAATGGTAGGAAACTGTACTCATTTTACATTGCAGAATACGTTGGTAAGTAGGGAATATCTAGGCTTGCAGACAATATGTTCATCAAGGGCTCCCACAATGCGAAGACGCCATAGCTCCAACATTGAATGCTTTCTCATCCGTAAATATCGTCTCATAAGTCGTAAGAATGTCTCATGTCATGATCGATGCACTGTCATTTCACAGTGAATTACGCCGCTGCTGATGCTTCTGACGAAGATCTTCCCGCACTACCGTCGAAAACAAATGGGCCTGCAGTGTTCGTAGGTGTCATTGGTCCTTCGTTGACCAGCATATCCATCGTTGGTGTGCCGGAATGCTGTCCTTCTAGTGTTTCTTCACTTGACATGAGGGGTTGCGTGGGTACGATTGGGCTGAGGAAAGAGCCTGAGCCGGAGGGAAGACGTATGTTAGCCTGTTCACTGTTTGCAACATTTCTTCGCTCAAGTAAAGTGGAAGAGGTCGTTGCGCCATCGGTGAGATTTGCGCGAGCTGTGGCGTTTTGCGTAAAATGGTCGTCCTCTTGTACATGCGTTACACGCGGCGAAGGAGTCAGTCGTTCATGGGCATTCCCATTGATGTGCACATTCTGGAGCTTTACTGTGTTTTCGCCTATTGTCTGCGTGGCTTCGACGTCTCCAGATCGGCCTGGCGAATCTGACATGGGGCGATCTTCCTCCTCTTCCCAGTTGGTGTCGAACGAGTCATCAACATCGGCGTCCAGATCATGAATAGCTCGGCAGTTGGGACACAGGAATTGCGGCCACGACTTGTGATCATTCAATATCGGTCTTATGCATTTATAATGCCAGACGTGGGAGCAGGGAGCGACAAAGAGGGATTGACAGGGCTAGACAAATTAGTGGTTGCACGCAGCTCCTTCGTTGGGAAGGTCGAACATACCGCTATTGGCATTAGGCAGATAGAACATTCCTGAGACGAATGCGTCGATGCTCCGTCAGAGTCTTTCTTCGAGCTTGTTTTGGCTAAGTCTCGCAGGCGTTTGTGCGTCGAAACGCTTCACGGGCTTTAGAGGATTCTTCAATTTGGTGACAATCTTGACTCACTTGTAATTGTTGAGCGTCTTCTGCCAGCCTCGGTTGCATTCAATCCGTATCTTCACACACCTGAATATCATCTCTTCACCTCCTCGGAAATCTATTCCTAATTGGACCACATCTCCGTCATTCACAGGGAATGGCCGCGACTCCATGTTTGGCTGACTCAGTCTGATATGATTAAGAAAGGTGCCCGATGAGCTCTTCACATCCTTAATATACCATTGACCTTGTGAACACCAGAACTCGCAATGTCTTCGGCTGACGACTTTGGACTTGAAGCCGATGGGGGCGGCTGACGGCTGATTGGGAACAGGATTTGGATTTACATCTCGCTCAGAATATCGCCCAACACGTATCACGCACTCCTCGTGGGGCAGGGTCCTTGTCGTTGCAGGAAACGTTAAGGATGGCCTGTTCGATCGAGGGTCTTGATGTGGCGTCAATCTGATGGTGGGCATGTCATCTTTTGCATGACCATGTAAATTAGAGGAACTGTCATGCTCTTGCGCTTGTGGTCGTGCAGCAGGTCTTTCGACCGGCCCTTCGGCCTCTGCTGCCCCCGTCGAGCGTAGCCTGACCATAGTTGGAGTCGGTTCGACTGGTGGGGTCTGCTCAGGTAAATGCGCCTCGAGGAGCGCACTATCAATCCAAGCTTCGTAAGCAGAGAGAGAGCGTTCTCTCGGGGGAGAGGGTTGGGAGAATCTTCTAAAATGCCGGAACGTTCGACGTTTGGAATTGGGCCGGTCGTCACGCGGGGCAAGGGATGTAGAGACCGGAGGAGAATGCATTAATTTTGAGCCGAGCTAGCAACGTTTTCGACTCCAAGCATCACACTGAGAGCATCCGAGCAGAAAGGGGTCTATACAGACAAAAAGGCGAGAGAAAGGCAATTTTTCTTGGACGAGGAGCATTTAGCATGTTGTAGCATTGAGAAACAGGTGCGGGAACCGGTGGCGCTAAGATTTGGGGGTGTTTGGGGGCAAAAGGAGTTCCATTGATCGTAGACTTACAGTAGCACGACGGCCCGGAGGGGCGGTGATGGCAGACTAATAAGCATGCTAACGTGGATATACGCCCTACAGCTGCTATTGGCTTATTGTGCACTTGTGTGGGCTCCTCTCTGCCCGGTGTGCTACTGTCGATGCTACTGCGTTTCCCATCTCAAGCCAGACTCAGGCAAATCGAGTCTAGATCCTGACTTATGTACATCGAGCGTTACGAGGCTTAAGGAGTCGCGACCTACATTGGACAGTAGTCGAAGCCCTTTAAGATTGAAACCAAGCAGATTCAACATTGTCCACCATCTATAGTCGCTTCACCCCGTGGATTCTTCCTGCTAAGATCATCCCACCCGTGACCGTGATGGACTTTCATGAGCACATAATCGATCTCTTGGAGTCATACAATGCGGTCAATCCTCAACGCATCGATGTTCTCACCATGCAGCCAACTCCAATTGGGTTCCTCAAATATCTTTGTAAAAACCGTCCGTTCATAGTCAAAGGGGGCTGTAGCCACTGGCCGGCAATTCAAAGGTGGAATCCAGCTTACCTGATCCAACAAATGGGAATTTCTCAGGTAGACATTGCTGAGACTCCAGACGGGTAGGTACCACTACCGTTTAAGTACCGGGTACGAACTGACAGCGAACACAACAGGAACGCTGATTCACCACAATTCGATACATTCGGCAAGATGCTCTTTGCGAAACCTTTCCAGAGGAGGATGCCATTCTCCGACTTCTTACCGTCACTTGTCCAACAATCGCTCAAAGGCTTTCAAGATGACCCAATACGTTACTCGCAAAGCCGCAAGTCTTTTTTCCCAGACGACTTAATCGTTGTCTGAATGGTCGCTAATTAGAGGCATAGAGAATGATAATTTGCGAGACGAGTACTTGCCCCTGCTTGGAGACGGTGAGCACCCCTCAGTACGTTCATGGTGTTCCTCCCTTGAAGTTCCTTTTCGTAGTCAAACCAAGCATCGAGTGGGTGGACAAAGCGTTCGAGGGCGAAGACAATCTCGATGCTGTCAATGTCTGGATAGGCACTTCCCAGAGCGTGACCGCCTTGCATCGAGACACATACGAGAATATTTATTGTCAGATCGTCGGATCGAAGCATTTCGTATTGCTACCACCAATTGCAACTCCTTGTGTCAACGAACAATTTTTGAAACCAGCCACATATGACAAGAATATGAATCTTGTGCGTGACGATGACGTGTCGGAAGGTTCACCTTCAGAGAGGGAAGTGCCTTGCGCCCTTTGGGATCCTGATGATCCCGCGAAGAATGCTACAGCCGCGACTAGGTATTGTGAGCCGTTGAGAGTGACCCTTGAGCCGGGCGATATGATGTATCTACCGACGTGCTGGTAGGAATTGCATACATCAATAGCTCTAGATCAAGCTAAGTCGCCTCTAGGTACCACAAGGTGTCCCAATCGAGTTCTGCGGAAGGTCAGATCTGCTGCAGTGTCAACTATTGTGCGTAGATTCTTTCAAATGTACCGCACAACTATTGACATCAGCCTAGGGTACGATCAGTGCTATGAAGGCACGCTTGCTCCCACACTTACATCTCTTCGAAAGGCAGCGTGGTCTACGAACATTCCACCGAATGCCAGATAGACTGCGTTCAACACCGTCTCACCGACCGTTCAAGCTGTTGATGCAATTCATCGCTTCGACTTCTTCGCCAGCCTCTTTTCCGCCCTCGCATCCTTCTTCAATCTTGAATCGACAATCTTATACTTCCCCTTCACACCACGAGGGCGCCCTCTGATCCCCTTATTCTGGTTCTTGGCGACGACAAGCTTGACTTGCTGCTTCGGCTTTTTCTTGCCAGCTCTTTTCATAAGCTTGACGATGTTAGCAGCTTTGTCTTTCTCGCTCATTCCGTCATCCTCGACCATGAGCGCAGATTTTTTCCGTAATTTCTCCAGCTTCTGCGCCGTTTTGAACTTCTTTCTATCCTTCGCCTCACGGACCTTCTTGATCGGCCGTGCATTCATGGCTCTCAACTTTTCCTTGATGGCTGCAGCACCAGCAGCGCTGATTGGTCGGTGCGGTCTCGAATGCTTGGTCTCATCATCGAGAAACCATTCCGGCAAACCGTCCGTGTCACGAAAAGTATACTTGTTGAATCCTTCGTCGACCAAATCCTGGGTCGTCTTTTGGCCCGACGCGATTTGTTGAGCAAGTGTCATGGCCTCAGCAGTGATGATGTCAATGTCGAGACGACCGTCTTTGCGAGGTTCTGATTCTGCTTCCCAATCTGATGTTTGGCGCTTGACGATCTCATAGCTGACGTCTTTCTGTTCTTTTTCTTCGAAAGCCCACGACGTGGTTTCTTGCTCGTGCGCTTTCTGGTCATGCTGCAGAACGCTTGCCTGGGCGGAAGAAGTGTTTGAGCTCGTCGCCGTCCTCTCTTTGTTCCGAACGCTCGAAATCTTCTCCTCGTCGAGGGTTTTCTTGATGCTCATTGCACGGTCCCATAGACTGTCACTCCCCATATCTACCGCACTGTCAGGGTCGCTTTCAATGTCTAGACCTCCAATCTGCTTGAAGATGTCCTGTTCAAAGAACATGGCTTCGCGCATTGTGAGACCACTTGCCTGTGTCACATCCTCAGGCTTCTTGAATATCAAGTGGTCACTGGTCTCGTCTTCTCCATCAGAACGATCATCTTCACTATCGAGATCTACATTATCTTCATCACTCTCGTGCTTTTCTTCGTTAGAGAATCCTTCAAAATCGGCATCTTCACTCGCCGTGCGAGTCTTTTTGGACCAATATCTTGTATCAGTCTGTGCTCTGCGTTCTTGATATTGATTGTACATCGATTCAAGTTCGCCGTCAAGATTGTCTTCTTCAGAGTCTTCGGCCTCCGATGAGACGCTTTCCTCTGCTGGTTGTGCTGGCACTGCGACACCCATTCTGCCCTTTGCTATCTCATCAACAGCGCCAGCTTTATCGACTTGCTTCAACTGGAAGACACTATCCCTGCCACAGACTCCGTCCTGTTCAAGCCCAATCTCGGTGGGTGTCGTCATGTGAAGCTGCATTCGTGTAATCTCCTTTTGCTTTTTCTCGTTTTCTCGCCGCCGCTCACGCTTTCTACGCCCGGCTTCCTTGTCATTTAGTTGCTCTAATTCCTCCTGAATCTTCAACTCTTCATCCATGGGCGTCACTGTAGTGATATCTTCACGGTCATCAGTCGTCTCTGCTGGAGAATCCTTGGTTTTGAAACCGAAGATTACCCGGCATTTTAATCTCCACTTCAGCAGTATTTTGAACTCTTTCCTTCCTAAGACCATCAGATCGGAGCAACATTGGCGGACCTCCTCCGTCGTTTCGGGCAGCTTGTCAAGCGCCGCAAGCGCGATATCTCCATTTTCCTTTTGGTCAAACGTGATCCGATTGAGCGATGCAAGCATGGCTATTGGGTCCGGAGCCTGCACAAAATTACTAGCCGAGACCTCTTTGAATTGTATATATTCTCCCTCTTCGTAGCCTCCCCTCTTTCGCTTCTTCTTCTCTGGGTTGAAGACTTTCGCTTCGTTGTTGCCAGCTGGCTCCGAAAGCTCAGCAAAGACAGCTTTAGCGTCCAGAAAACGAGGATCAATCTTCTTAGGTGCTTTGAACCCTTGACAGACAACAAAGATCTCCGCTGATACATTCCTTGATGAGGGTGGCTTTGTAGCATCAACTTTGGAGAATAGTTGACCCAAGACCCATAGCAAGGCGTTGTAGTCTCTTGATCGAAACACTTTTGTCACGAACACTCCACCCTCGACAAGGAATTCTGTGGCTAATTTCAAGGCTTGCAGAACGAGCTCCGCTTGCGAAAATGCATCTTGAACCCAGGCTGTGCCTACATTCGGTGCACCGTCATGCAGTACAGTATCAACTTTAAGAGTCTTTAGATGTTGGCGTAAAGTCGTCCGGCATTTATCTGTAGTGATGTCGCCCTGGAACGTGGTAGCTCTCGCAATTGGCTTGATAGAAGCCAAGTCGACCCCAAGTATCAAGCTATTCTTTGCAGGCATAGTCTCTGCAGCAACTTGGCACCATGATCCCGGCGCTGCGCAAAGATCCAGCAAGACGCGAGATCTCTCGAGGAAGCCATATTTACGATTCAACTGTATGAGTTTGAAAGCTGCACGAGCTCGGTATCCTTTTTCTTTTGCCAACTTATACCACTTATCGATTCGACCTTTGCCCGTCTTCTTCTGAAACCCCATGTTTACTCTAGAGTTCCTTTTGCAGGCACATTTCAAAAACAATGAGTAAAAAACGAAAAACACCTGTGGCCGATTAGATAGCCAGCGGGGCTAACCTCATCCAGCACGGCCAGATTCAGCCCGGTAAACCTTTTCAAATGACTTGTTAAATTCCCTTATCCGAGCTTTAAAAGGCAAATGCTACATGTACACCCCTAAATGCTACCTTCACACCCCCAAAATGCTACATCCACACCCCTCTCCGGGGGGGGTCCCAGGGTTGTGTTCCAGGGGGTATCCCGGGCAGGCCTGGCGCTATGTTGTTTTTTCAACACGCATGTAAATACAGGAGTTTGGTTGTTGATTATATTGGAATTGAAGAGAAAAGATGAAGAGCTGCATAGAATGTATGAAGATACCTAACAGTTTTAGCAATCTATTATATTATCCCAAATAATTAAGTGCGAAGAATTACTTTTGAGCATAAAAATATTGCGACACCAAAAACTTCGTTTAGGGGCTCCCCCCTAGAGCTGTGATGTTCTAAGGAGGGGTGTGAAGGTAGCATTTTGGGGTGTACGTGTAGCATTTGCCCTTTAAAACCACGGATCACAATCACAGACGCGTTGAGCACATGCTCGAAAGTGAACCGAATGCTAGCTTCCGCACATGCTTCAAATCATGTGAGAAACCATGTATCTATGTATATTGCTTGGTTTCTGTTTCTTTCAAGGTGCTACTGCGGCTAACCCCGCCATTCAACTTTTTGATATTCAACAATATACGATCTCCAGATCTCTGGCTTCGTCCTTCCCAGCTTTTCCAAGCGATCTCAATGCTGCGTCACTTTCGATGGCTCTGATCGCTTCGCACCTTTCACACGCTTCGAAGCGTCGTGCCCGTAGGCATATCCTACTAAGTGCTTGTCGATCTTGCGTGGCGGCGGATGCACGTCATGGGCACACTGGGGCGACCCCTGGGCTGACACCTGCTGTTCCGACAAATCATTATGGTCGGTGTTGCCATTTGCCTGATTTTGGGCAAAATGTACTTTTTGCAATTCGCGTAAGAGCTTCGCATTCTCGTCCAAGAGGACTTTACTCTGCTGCTGAGCCTTGACCTGCGACTCGGTCAATTTCTTCAACTGCTGTGCATTCCCTTCGATTAAGTCCTGCATTCGTTCAATACGCTCTTGGCTCTTGGTATGATTGTCTGTAAGTTGGGCGATTTGGGCGTTATTCTGTTCAGCTACGCCTTGTGCCTTTTGGAGGCTATCTGCCAAAGCCCCAATGTCTATACCATGTAAGCCTTTGGCTGCCTCATTTTGCTCGGGCCCCGGTCCGCCGCTGCCGTTTACGACTCCTCCTATAACGTTACCGTCCGAATCTTGCAGCGGCACGATATCCTGATGCCTTCCCGCTGTACCAGTAGCATCACCAAATTGGGTATAAAACCATTTTGCATTCAGATGCTCGAACTTTTTGCTTGTGCAAGGTTTAGATGGAAAATTATCCCCTTGAAACGAGAAGAGTTGGGGTCCCAGCCGGATAGCTTGGTCCGGATATTCTGATTGAATAAGCCCCCACCATTCTCTACAGACATCGACGGAAGCAAAGGTGAGGAGGTATCGAGATGCCCAGTAGTTGTCAGTCTGTAGAAACAAGTTTAGAACATGTCTTGCAAGGGAAATTTTAGGTGGAGATAAAAATTTATACCCGGTGAGCGTATGCAAAGAACAATTGGGTTGGTTCAACCGCCGCCATATTAGAAGTTGGAAGCTTCCTCCTTTTTGCTATCAGGAGTTTGCGGGTGACTTTGTAAATCAATTAGGGGGTGATAAATTGCTACGACTTCTGAAACGGGTACATAGCTCGAATAAATGCAAACGATATAGCAGATCCAGCCAACGTATGCTAGTGCTTGACCAAATTGAAGAAAAAAGTGATCAAATTATGAACGATAAACTATATAGGAACTGGAGAGGTGGATCAAGATCTGACACCAAATTGGCGATCGTGTATCCACACCGAGTAGCACCGAAAAGGGATCCAAGGCGGGGCAACGAGATTCAATCATGGGGCATACGCGCGAAGCAAATTTCAGTGACGTTGCAACTGCCGGACATTACCCCATGGTGACGTGTAAGGTAGTCCTTAACTTGCCTCATGCTGCTGGCAACCTAAGGCCCGGCTCTACCTTACCTTATCGAGCTTGCGGCGGACGGATCGGTCCGTTATCGATCTGCAGCTAATTTAGGCAATGCCCTATCTACCACCACTACCGTCATTCGCTGCCTCACGAAGACTATTTCGCTCCTCATCACGACCATAAAGGGTTCTAAAATTCAGCGGGCCATTTAGTTCTCCGGCTCCAAATACGAATTGCATTCCATGGGACCGCGAAAGCGAGCAAAACCGAACCCCAAAGACGAATCTGACGCGAAACCCACCGCTCAAAATGGAGACGTGGAGTCCAAGGCATCAGAACAGGAGACTAGTGCTTCCCTTATAAGTGGCTTCCCTAACTCGACCTCTGGTGAAGAATACCGCAAAACTTCCGAGAATGGTGGAACAAATACCCCGAAATCGGCCAAGTCATGGTACGGCGGGAGTTGGCCTCGTGGAAATAAATCTACACCAGTCGCACAAGTAGCAAAAGAAAGTATCTCAGCGGTAGCCTCAGAGGTGGTAGCATCTGCAAGAGCTCGAACACCTCCGTTGCCATCGACACCGTTACGGAACACGCTCGGACGACAGGCGTCACACGGAATAAACAAGCCGTCACCTCTCAGTGCAGAAACTACAAGGCTCAATGTCACCGCAAATGGTGGAACTTCGGCGAAGGGTCTCTTTGAAAACGTAGGCATCAACGATAAACATGTCGACACGGCGAAGATCAATGCCGAGTCTGAGCGCGATGCTAAAAACACAGCTGCTGGAGATGCCGAAGTGAATGAGGTCACAGTTCAAGATGCGAAATCATCTGCCATTCCGAACGACCAAGAAAGGAGGTCTTCTGGCGAGCCAAAGAAAGGCCGTGAATCAGGTAATTGGCTTCTGTGGTTTTCTAAAATAGAACAAGCCAGATCCTTGGATGATGGAGGCGATAGTTGCCAAAGTGGACCTGGTTTTCAAGCTAAAGGCTGGAATGACCCACCTCGAATTTTTCAACAAAATGACGCGGATTCGAAAGCACAGCCCAATTTGAGGCAGGATTCGATTACCCCACCAAAACCTGAGACCACTACAAGCGTGAGTCAAGACCGAAAACGGTCATGGTTAGGCCTGTGGGGTAACAATACAACTCCAACCCCGACGGGCTCTGCGTCCACTACGGCAGGCACTCCGCAAAATGCTCTTGGTAAGGTGGAAAGTCCGACTCAGGTTGCCTCAACAACAGAAGGTAACAATGAATACCAAAAACCAAAAAACCCGTCAACTGCCGATGCCGATGATTCAATGAAGGCTTCCAGTTGGGCTTTCTGGACAAGAGAGACTGGTACTAAGCAACCTGGTAACACCACTGGCGAACTTGCATTAGCCGGATCGCCTTCTCAAAGCAAGCCTGAAAAGGATACTGTTGACGAAGCCAAAGGAATTCCAGTGAAAGTTGAAAAACGCCAAAACGCTTCAAACTTGGAAGCTTCAAATGGTACGAGCAAGCCAGATAAGGCCTCTCAAATCATCAAGGAAGCTGAGCAGCCGAATGGACAAGTTGTACGAAAAGCGAGTAAGAAAGTGAAAGATTTCGAAAGTCAAGCCAAAAAAGAGCCGCCCAACCTACTTCTTCCCTCCTTTTTGAGTACTTACGGAACCACGAATAAAACTAGCTTAATACAGCAAATTGGTCAATGGCTTCCTTTTGCAGCTCCATTCAATCATCCTCGCCATCTTGAACCGCTGAACAATCCCATAAAAGTCAAAAAGGCCCTTGTGATTGGTGTGCATGGCTTCTTTCCGACTCCCTTGGTCCGCTCACTTCTAGGACAACCCACAGGCACATCCTTGAAGTTCGCCAATATGGGTGCTAGTGCGATCCAACATTGGACACAAGCTCAGGGTTATTCATGTGAAATTGACAAGGTTGCATTGGAAGGTGAAGGCAAAATAGCCTACCGGATCGAGACCTTATGGAATTTGCTGCTCAATTGGATCGATAAGATTCGAAAAGCCGATTTTATTTTTGTCGCTTGTCACAGTCAAGGTTGCCCGGTGGCCTTAATGCTAGTCGCAAAGCTCATCTCCTTTGGCTGCGTCTCGTCTGCTCGTATTGGAGTGTGTGCTATGGCCGGTGTCAATCAGGGTCCCTTCATCGATTATAAAAATCGCTGGATTGGCGCGACTGCTCTCGAGCTCTTCGAATTCGCAAGACCAGATAGCAAGGTTTCAAAGGACTATGAAGCATCACTAGCCAGTGCTCTCAAATTTGGAGTGAAGGTTCTCTATGTGGGGAGTATCGATGACCAGCTTGTGTCTTTAGAGGTCAGACTTTCTCCCACGCATCAGCTTTATGTATACATCTGCTGATCATAACTGTAGTCTTCTACTTTTGGTACTATTCACCATCCCAACATCTATCGGGCCGTCTTCGTTGATGGCCGGGTCCATGCCCCAGACTTCTTGACTCATCTAGTGGGATTTGCCCTCAAACTTCGCAACCTTGGTATCTCAGACCATGGACTCATCCGGGAGCTTAGCTCGCCCCTTGCTGGAAGCCTTTACAGCGGTGAAGGCCACTCTCGCATCTACGAAGATGAAGCTGTGTATCATCTTGCTATCGAGCATACCCTAGCTACGACATTAGTTGGCACAATACCCTTACACGTCCAGGGTGAAGGTTCTGCGTCAGGTCAGAATCCCTACATCTTGCCGTTCGCCATGAGGGGACTATTGGAGGAGCATTTCGTGCGGACAGAATTGTATAGCGAGACCACAGACTTAATCCACAAGTTTGATGACTGGAAGCCACATAGTAAAGTGTTGAAAGACGTCAAGTTTAGATTAGAAGGTGTCAGGTCGAAGCTGTGAGAAGCACGTATGCGATCCAATTAGCAATTCCAGCGTCAAGCGAGGCGTCTTCGCGACGTATCGTATGGAAAGCGCTTTAAAACTTCATTAGATTTGTGAACAACGGGAATGGACTTTGATCTGCAAGCAATTTCCCCGCGTTGGGGTCCTGTATTTACAAAATCTGTCAGTGCCCCTGTCCCTCAACTCGAATGACAGTTCGTCATTAATGCCATGCTGTGTATCTCTATCAAACATATTCCGAAATGTCCCATAGACGCCAAATGTATCACTCTTGAACAATGCTCTCATTAAATGCGATGAGTAGGCAAGACCAACCACCACTGCAAAAATCAACAGGCACATCCATCGCCTCCCCTGTCGAGATTGATATCAATAGGATCGGAAAAGTCACCACTGAATTCTTCAGATTCTTCTTGAGCTAGTGCATTCTTTGCAATGACTTGGTCTCGTTAGCACTTTCAAGGAGAAGTATGCATCGTATAGATTACCTTCAAATGCTTGCTCTACATTCAGTGCCTCCTTGGCGCTCGTCTCAAAATACGGTATATTACCTTTCGATTGGCAGAACGTCATTGCCCGCCTATTTGATATCGCCCTTTTGTTTTCTTCGACATCGATCTTGTTCCCGATAACAACCTACCACCCCCATCAGCACGTCGAATCGCCATAAATCAGCCCTGCCCACATACGAAAGGGAAGTTATCGGGTTCCCTTGGGCTTGCTTGTATGAGAAATTCATCTCGCCATGCATCCAGTGTCTCGAAAGACTTAGAATTGTTGACGTCGTAGACCAGAACGCAGCAGTCAGCTCCTCGATAGAATGCAACACCTAATGATTGAAATCGTTCTTGCCCTGCGGTATCCCATAGCTATTTCTGAATCAGATTTGTCTTACTTCAAGCCTTTAAAATGCATACCTGCATCGTCACCAGGCGATCGTCAACCAGCACCTCTTTCGTTAAGAAGTCTGCTCCAATCGTTGCTTTGTAACTAGCACTAAATTTCTTGTTGACCTACAAGTCTCTTAGTTATAATATGTAGTATTATGGGCCATAGTAGTGGCGCACATATTGATTCATCAAGCTCGTCTTTCCGACACCACTATCGCCAAGTATGATGACCTGGCAGTAGACCTTCAGCGATCATGCCGTAAAGGTATAGGCCCATCTTCCAATTCACTGACCTTCAAAAGGACCTTTTTTCTCGACGCCATCCCGTGGACTCTATGATCACCAAAAGCTGATGCTATGGGTGTACGAACACTGTAACGGAATCTGCAACGGGGCTCAGGCGATTTGTTGCCTCTTCAAGTAAGGCGTGGCGGACAAAGGTAATGGTAGAGTCGCTTTCAATCTCCGTGAAGATCGCTCACTATTTCATTGCAGGATCCTAACAAAACATGAAATATGATACAAATTTCGAAAGTTTCGTACGAGTATTTATACAGTAGAAATACTATCAAGCTATCAAATGATGCACGCCAAGGCTTCAGCTGCCGCGCTAAACGCCGCAAACGCTAGGCAGACTGAATGAAAACGGGACTCTTCCATTGTCAGATTAGAGCAGGCGTTAAATTGTAAAACTTACGCTTGACAAGAGAGAGCACCAAGGAGTATGCGTTACCATATGAGAGTCTTTGCAAATTGACAAGAGGCATTGTTTTGCATGCGATGTCACTACTTGAATATTGAAAATGCCGTCGTGGAGAGAGGAGTATCTAGGAGGTCTAAGACAAAGGGATAAGCATGAAAAAGCCAACGAGGCTCTGTACACTAGTTGTTCGTCATCGGCCGTTAATATCCATCAGACGCTCATGAGCATCAGATGCAAGAATAGCGGACAAAACTGCAGCTCTCCAAGCTCAATTAGCTGCAAAGCCAGAGCCCGTGCCACAACCCTCATCTACACCCAAACTGGGAGACCGCAAAGCTTCCCAAAATGCCAAAATTCCCTCAGCGAGCCCTACTCAACCAGATGTACTCGCTAAACTTCGACAGGATCTCTCTGAAGCGCAGCGGAGTCGTGGCCTGCTAGAGAGCAAGCTCCAGTCCACAAGTGATGAGTTTCAGAAGCTCGTAATCCAGTCTAGCCTTGACACAAAACGCATTGCTGAGTTGAAAAGGGAGAGTGATGCTCTTACAAGAAGTGTCAAGGATAGGCGCGAGGAGATTAAAGGCAAAGCAAAATTGCTGGAAGATGTTCATGACGAGACGGTCAGTTTGACTTTACAGCTTAATCTGGCTGATCAGCGAGCTTCGAGATTGGAGAAGGAAAATAAAGAATTGGTGGAACGGTGGATGAGAAGAATGGGCGAGGAAGCGGATAAGATGAACGAAAACTCGAAGTTTTCGTGAGATGCTAATTGTGATTGTGGAATCTTGCTTACCGTCGCGGCATTGGATGATCAAATATCTGCACGTACGTTCCCTAACGCTGAATGATTTTGACTGCCTAGGAAGAGTCGTGCACGACATTATATCGCCTTGAGAAATGACAACACTTGTGCACGTAAGCAAAGCGTGCGATCCTCTCCTCCCCTCCTCTCCTCTGCATCCCATTTTCAAGGGGCTTTCTAAAGCAGGGAAAGATTTGAGATCTTTGAATGAACATGGTATCTTGCGATACACTTACCACTTGCCCCGCGTAGTGAAGCCGAACATCAAGTGAGGAAGCTTCAAATAATGATAATTTCTCCCTTTTTTTTCACCTCCGCTGTACCACCTCCAACATTCATCAGTCGAAAGGGTTTCTCTCCCACAGATCGCCGAGTAAGCAGAATCAGCACCGTTGTCTTCCCTACCCCGGGAGCTAGGGGTAGATTGGAGCCCAGCAGGTGTTTAACAGTAGTGAAAACATTTTCGTGGACTCTCCGTCAATCGCCGTCATACTTGTCGAACATCCCGTCGAGAACGCATTTTTCCCAAGGCTTGGAAGGTTTTGTTCAATGACGTACGCTTCTAAGCCACCTTGTGCATGGTCAAGCAGCTTTGGGGCCTGAAGGAGAAGCGTTCGGAACGTGACGCAGCCAAGAAGGGAGTGACGCTAGGAACTCATTCAGATTCGGGTCAAAAACAGTTGATCAAAAAGATATCTTCCACGTCTCAATGACGATGGTTCTCAAACAAGCATCAATAATTGACGCGCCTAAAGACATTCGATGATTAGCCGGAGAACTTTTGTTCGGAGGAAAGGTAATTTGCAATTTTTTGTTGCCCTAGGGATTGTGCAGGGCATTTGCATGGTTATTTGCTATTTCTTGCCGTCAAAGAGGGAGCTTGCATAAAACAAGTATTCATCCTACCGGCAGATGACTGAGCGTCAAATCACGACAGGAAAGACTGAAAACCATTATGAAATAGGCTTTCTGAAAGGAATCGAGGGCCAAAGTCGTTTGGCCGTCTAAGCAGCGCTTCGCTATCTTTTATCACGCTTGGGTATCTCACGGCATATTTCACCTTAGATTTGTCATCTCAATATTTCCAATTCATGAATTTTCCTTGAAATCTTTTCCGTAACACCAGCTTCAAGGTCACACCATTGCATGCATCATTCTAGTGCCCGCATCCTCTTGCTGTCCTTCTTAGCGACATAGTAAGTACCTGAGGCATTGGTCCAGCTGACGGAATGATCATAGTAGCGCTTTTCTACAACATCAAAGATGTTGTAGATCGCGCCTGAGTTCCAGGACTTATTCTTCTGCCCGACGGGAGCGAAGGATTTCAACGACACAATAGTAGCTCCATCCTTGAGGTCAAGGAAGAGGTGAATCAACTTGTCATTTTGTTCAGGCTGGAACGCCTGATTGTTGACTAGGACGACGTCTGCTTTGGGCAGAACTTCCCGCAAAATTTCGTTGGCCAGGAAATCGCCCCTTTCTAGATGGATTTCTCCAGCAGAGAGTCCCCAAAGCCGGCATCGTGCCTCAAATTCCTTCTTTTGGAGATCAGCCAGTTCACAGCTGTGCTCGGTTATCTCACAGCCCCAGCTTGCACAGCCAACCTCGAGTGCGGCTTGAAGGACTACGTTACCAACGCCGGAGCCGAAATCAATGAACACTTGATCCGCTTTCATTTTTGTGTCCTCTCTGAGAATTTTTGAGACAAATTTGGGCAGCAACTCGCCGTATACATTGTTCTCCCCTGCCTTGTATTTTCTCAACCCGTCGACCTTCAGCGATACTGTACGCGCATACGCCTGTGTCAAAATAAATTCGCAGAGACTAAGGTCGACAGTCTTCCATTCGCTTATATTCTTTTCTATCGTACCATCCTCTCGATATGTGTTGAGGGTCTCGTTCCATTCATTGATGAGGGCTATGTATTCGTTGCCGGCCAAACGCTGAGATGCTCGCTTGATTCTTCGCACTAAGCCTGTGCTTTCGTCGTTCAAATTGTCTTGGACATGACCGGGCAAGTACTTGGCGATGATGACCTCTATGACTTCTCGAATATCCTCTAGTGCCTTGAAGTCATCGTCGGAATTCGCTACAACAAGCTCGTACTTTTCTTGTTGTGAAGCAGAAGGGTACTGTAGTTGTATTTGCTTTGCGTCCAGGAAGTCTGGAAATGCTATTCGGTATTTCTTTGGATCTACTAGACTCGCAATGTTCGCAGCATGTACCATATCGAACCTGCCACCATCTTCGTCCGAGAACGCTTTCCTGCTCTGAATACGACGTTTCGGATCGGGCTCGATGGTGGTGCTTCGCCTCACACGCTTAGCTACTTCATTGAGGTCTGAATCAGAACCCTCATCATCGCTGCCCCAGTCCTGTCGTTGAGGCGTTGAGGAAGCCCTCTTGCGAGAATTCGAGCCTGTCTCGGGAGTCAATGTCTTCGGCTTGGAACTTTTCCGCTTCGCGCTGTGATCGGGCGTGGAGTGTCGAGAATGCCGTTCAGGGGTCAGTCTGCTTATTGTCTTGATCTGCTTTTTCTGGATCTGATTCAGATATGGATTCCTGGTGACGTTCAGATCTTTCCTGGTTTCCGTATGGCTCACGCCTTTCTGTTGCTTCAAGGCGGTGTGCCCAGGTTTCTGTAATTTGTCAAAGAAGCCCATTGGTGGATGCTAGGAAATGCAATGCGAGAGACTTGGGAAAATGAGTGTATCATGAAGCAAATGAGCGAACATATTCTTGTTAATGAGGAAAATCATACTTTTAGCAAAAGGCAATGCTGTAAGACTGTCACTGTTTCCGGTGTTTATGCCCTCCCATGATGACTTGCACAACCCGCATAACGGCTGTGCATTAAATATTCTTGGCAGAAAGATTACCGGCTGCAACTCCATTAATGCAAGCATCCAACGGACTTAGTTTTCTTTCCTCAGAAGACCACTATACAAGGACAGGGGAGCACGCTTGGACGTTGACAATATTCCTGAACCGAGATCATCTGCTTGAACCCTCTACGTTTGCCCCGACTGCCCCTTCCAAGGGAAAGTCTCACAGTCAGCTCCCATCGAAGTGCCTAGCACATCGGGAAGTATTTGGAAAAGCTCCAAGTGTTTCGCATGCTCGTTGCAGCATGTTGGAATACCTGAATTAACAATGAGAGCGGCCTGCAGTGGATGACCATGAGCGCTCAATTTTCGCCGGTCCCGCCGGACGACTTCACCACGAACAGACAACGAAATAGTCTTAGCTTTGACGTGGACAGACGATCATCTGATTCGATATTACAAATTCCATCATCCATAAAAGAAAGCACCCGCTCGAAGATGCCAGTGAAGCGCCTCGCGAGGCATACGATAGGCATCATCCTGCTTCTCGCAACTGTAATTCTCTGGACTGCCTCAAATTTCCTCGCGAGCGTATGTATAGACGAGGACTAGCGCTTTTGGAAAGCTCCACTCACTGAATTATACATAGACCATCTTTGCGGACGATTCGTATTCGAAACCCTATTTCGTGACCTATGTGAATTCATCCTTCTTTACCTGCTTCCTTGTCTGGGTGTTTCTGAAGCGGCTATGGTCCGGCAAGGGGTTGGTGCGCGAAGCGATCAAAGGCACCGAGCAGAGTGCGGCTTACACCCCAGTTGGTGATGAAGATGAGCATCTGATACAGTCGAAACCAGCAAGTAACCCGGAGACGAATGGTTATACCCCACAAGACAGCTTACTGGTTGATGATTCTATGACAAGCTTAGGGTCTTCCAGGTCCTCTACATCAGATCGTTTGTCCATACGTGAGACAGCTTGGCTCAGTCTCGAGTTCTGCATACTTTGGTTTCTTGCAAACTACTTCGTCGCCGCATGCCTCGAATACACAACAGTCGCTAGCTCCACCGTCTTAGCATCTACTAGCGGTATATGGACTCTGATTTTTGGCGCCATGCTGAGAGTAGAGAAATTTACCTTAAAGAAGCTTGTCGGTACTCTAGCGTCTCTGGCGGGTATCATCCTCATTTCGAGCGTGGATCTGACAGGTGAAACCGATGAAAACAGGGGCGACTTCCCCCATAAGTCACGCAAAGAGCTGGCAATTGGCGATGCCCTTGCCTTTGGTAGCGCCATCCTGTACGGTATCTACACGACCTTTATGAAGAAGAAGATAGGAGACGAAGGACGCGTTGACATGCCGCTATTCTTTGGCTTTGTTGGCCTCTTCAACCTCGTCACACTACTTCCTGGCTTCTTCCTCGTGCATTTCACGGGAATCGAGACCTTTGAGCTACCGCCCACAAGGCGAATCACTACGATCGTCATGGTCAATTCTGCTACTTCTCTTGTGGGCGATTTTTGCTGGGCATACTCGACTCTCTTAACTTCGCCGTTAGTCGTGACTGTAGGTTTGAGCTTGTCAATACCACTCTCTTTGCTCGGCCAAATGATTGTCAACGGTCAAACCTCAAGCGCCTTGTACTGGATTGGGGCTGTTATTGTGCTCTTGTCCTTTGTATTCATCAACTACGAGAGCAAGGACAAATCTCATGAGGATACCTCCGAGCGGAATCCGCGGACGGGGCCATGGGCATTTGCGTGGAGAATTTGGGATAGGATGAATCCTTGGCGGCAGTGAAATGCTCACATATTTGCTTGTTAGATATGTGTTAATAGAAGTGTTAGCACAGAATTGTCTTTCTATGTACAGATCGAACCCATGCACAAAGCTTGTCTTGGGATGCAGGCTGTCTATCAAACCATCATTTGCTAATGGTTTCAAACGGCATGCAGGACAGTTCAATCTTGCCTTGGAGGGCCACCGCTTTCGTAACTTGCAATAATCTTATACTTCTTTGGTATGGGTAATCCAGGGAACAGAGTATGGCCTTCGCGCGTGCAATCATAAAAAGCATGCAATTACAGCCCCTCCAGACATTACTACCTGCTCTCCATTCTGACCTTGGAGCAGTCATCGTGCCCATTGGCAAGAGATGAGTGATACTCGGCTCAATTGCCGTTGCAAGTCAAATCATCAGCCCGGATCATTGACTTCTTCGAGCAACTTCTTCACTTTTGGAGCCCAAACATCTTCCGCCTCCTCAATGTCTTCAAACTCCAATACGTTCTTTCCTAACTCATGATCTGCCTGCTTCGTCCGTACAAGCGAGCTCATGCACGCTAGAGAGCCAATTGTTTCTCCCAGGTCATGAGCAAGCGAACGGACGTAAAAGCCAGAGGTCACAGTCATGCGGAGCTTGACCGCCGGTGGACCGCTCTTGGGCATCCTTGATGGTTCAACTTCACCACTCGTATTATCTCCTCGTTGAGCAAGTGCGCCAGACGTCAAAGTACTCGGATCTGTAGCGTCCCGCGAAAGAGCAGGCCTCTTGTTCTCGAGTGCCTCGTCTGCAGCATCGTCAGGTGACCGTCGTCTTTTCAAGCCATGCGAATCGCCGTTCCCCTCAGTATCTCTGTTCTCTGCCTCCGACGATGCCAGGTTCTTCTCAAGATGCAAAACTGTCTCCGCGATTTCCTTGATTTCGCCTTCAGCTTCTTCTTCCAGCACGGTATATTGATGACTACCAGCGTCCATCCACTCGACCATGGCAAGGTTCTTGACCTCTACGGGTCTCTCTTCAATCTGTCTAGGAATCTCTTTTCCTTCTCTAGCGTACTCATACAGCCTCTTTCCATCCATCCTCAGCGCTGAGTAGATGGGTGGCCTCTGCATGATTTTGCCCCTAAAAGTCTCCAACGCCTTCTCTACTTTTGCTTGTGTCACTTGCTCATACGGCGCCCGCTTCAAGACCTTCCCAAGTATGTCGTAGGTATCAGTAGCTGCCCCAAACAGTACAGTAGCCTCATACGTCTTTGTACATTCAAGGAATTTCTGCAATTGTTTTGTCCCTTTGCCGATACCCAATATCAGAACTCCTGTCGCCATCGGGTCTAATGTCCCGCCATGACCGATTTTGACCTGAACACGCTTGCTGCGGGTTCGTCCACGATGCTTCTTTTCCGATGATCGTTTTGTCTCCTCAGCTCCCATCCATGGCGCGAATAGCTTAGAGGGATTGAAGACCCGCTGCAGTCTGCGTATCACGTCTGCAGAAGATAGAGAGGATGGCTTGTTAATCGCAAAAATGCCTTCCACTATCGGGCCATCAACTTTTGGCATCGTGGAAGATTGGAAAGATTGGATTGTCATGGTTGACAGCCCGCTTCTGCCGAGATACCATGAGTATTGCGAGGATACGAGACGTTTTATTGCAGTATCAGCGTTCTTGAACATATGATGACCCACCGATACTTGATAAGTGCTTCTGAAAATGTCAATTGGGCATGGCTTTCAGGCCGACGCTAACCGTAGACGCGTTTGAACCGCGCCCAGAAATGCGTTTCCTCAATAACTCATTAACCAATATCACGATTCAATGTATCTTCACAATGCCTCTGCAAGAAGACGCTGTCCTGCAGCCGAAAGACATCGGTCTAAAATGCTCGGACGATTGGCCCACCTTCTATCTTACCAAAGCCAACATCACGTCCGTAGCAACGGGCGAGCCGGTGAGCCTGTTATCAGCACATAAGGGCAATCCAGTGAAGGTCTCAGGCCGATTAGAAGAAGTGGACGAAGAGTTGGCTCATCTCGGTTTGTGGGTCGACAGCAAGAGCATTTCTCTCGGCTGAACAAGAACGCAGTGAGGCATGAGAAATATAAAAAGCATACAATTGAGCTATCGAACGTGACGGTCTTTGCCTTTGCTGAGTTTGAAGATGAGACATACGGCTTCTGGGCTGCTGGCCAAGCTGGCTGGTATGATATCGGGGAAACCGTACCCTCATATAAGCCTGTCCTAGACGAGATGAGCGTTGAGGCTTCTATGATCTACTTCCTTGCGGACAAAGTGCGCCGGTCGAGGAAAACCAAGTATAGCGCCACTGAGGCTGAGAAGTACGTACGGAGGCTATTCAGCGACGTAAGGAGTCTTCAGCATCGACCTTCCAGGAAATCTCTAATGTTCACTCCGCTAGTACCATACTGCCGGAAAGTATCCGGCACGATTTGCGGACGTTGATGATGTAAGAGATAGTTTCCACAATCATCGAGACTTTCTCATCACTTCGATGCTGGAGGGACAAGAGGGTATACAGTGGACAGACAGTGCAGTTTTCGCATATTTCAATGGGCAATTTCCGGTAAATTCTCTGTGAAATCCGTCTCCTTTACATTGGCTTACCTGCGCAAGGACGACGTCAAACGTATTAGCTCACGTGTCTTTGAGACTATCCCGCCAGATCCAGTGATCTCGAAGGAGAGGAAGCGAAAGTCTACATCACCTCCCACGGCCGAGACAATGCCAAAACGAAAGAAAGGTAGACCGCGGAAGGATGAATTGCTTCTTCAGCGCACACCTGTTGGGAGGCTTACTACGGAATTTACGACATCAGATGACGATGGCTTCGGGGCTCAGAGCGGTGTCTCGCGAAAGAGAAAATCAATTCTCCGCCCAAGCGGTACCAAATACTCTCGAAAAGGGCGGAAAGCAGCGGGAAAGATTAAAGGCTTATCACGAAAAGACTGGCCTTCACTCAGTGCGGATGATGCTGGAGAAGATGACGACGATGAGGCATTGACTCCGACTGTCGAAGACTCTCCGATCATCACAATCAAGAACGGCAACCACTTGAACCGGATAACGAATCCGCCGTCAGAGCGTCCCCTACACGATGACGACTCGCCCCCACCCGAATTCATACCTCGGAAATTTCTTGAGTTGAGAATAGTAGAGCACGAATTACCGACTTTAGACCCACAAGGACCGGGTGATCTCTGGACATGTACTTTCGAAGGCTGTGGCCATCGCGTCCACAGTGCGTCTGCCAATAGGAAGAAGATACGAGATCATTTCAAATCACATAAGATCGGTGCCCAAGAAAAGATTGATTTGGCGCTGGATGAAAGTAAACCGTACTTGCCTGTGAAGTAAGTTTCCCAACCTGGCTCTTTCCCTGACAAGGTGGCGAAAAAGGGAGATCGCTAAGTTGAAATAGCAACCTTGTTCGTCGCCTGCAGGCTTTTGCGCCTGCATTAGGTGAGGAGAAGCCAGACAGCCCAGGGCGCCAATTCGTTGCACCGATACGGAAGAAATACTGATCGAAAGAGCTACCGTTAGCAAATGGATGGATAAGTGATTGTATGATACCCATGGGTCTCAGGATTCGGTCTGAGCATAATGCCTTCAATTTGAGAACATGTCGCATTATCTATGCAGTGATGAGGTGACGTCGCCTTGCTGATCTTGATTTTTCGAGCATTTCGAGGTTAGGTATCTTCTGTTCCTAGTCATGAGTATACTGACGCATCTTTCACGACACTTTAGCCCGCCTGCTCTTTCCCGGCCGCTTTGCTTTTCCTTTCGGGCCCTTCATCTTCTTTGCCGAAAATCCGCTCATATCACCTGTAGACACAGCATCTCCACTTTTGGAGAACCTCTTTTTGCCTCCGAAGCCAAATTGCGCATCTTTCTTCCGCCTTTTACTGGGTGGTGCACCATCGCCATTCATGCCCTGCTTTGACGTTCTCTGTTCCTTAGTTGCGTCATTCAAGGCAACGTCAAAAAGGTCCTCCTCGTTGGTAGCGCCTGAACCTGCTCCCTTCCGTTCTACAGAGCTTCACCATTAGCAATCAAACCCTAGCATCCTCTCCACTCCTAGCATGACTTGGGTAAGAAAGTAATCACGTACTCTTCTTCAACAAGTCAACTCTCTCGAGCATCCTTCTCTTCTCTTTCGCCCGCTCCTGCATCGTAGCAATCTGCACTTGTTTTCCAAACTTCTTGAGGTCCCTCTGCCTCTTCGCCTCACTACTTGCCTTTTGACTTGCCGCATCATCCACAATCTTACTCTTGATTTTGCCCATGTGCTCGTCGCTCTTCACCATCTCCGCGAAATAATCATTTGGGCGGGTAAAGGGGATTCCTTCTTTTTTGAGAAGGGCACGAGCATCCGTCGTAGCCTCGAGGCACTGTTTATAGAAAGCGAGTTCGCGATTGAGATCATCATTGGCGTCGGCGATGGAGACGGGAGAGGAGGTAGTGAGGGTCTGACGCACGGAAAAGGGGACAGATAGGTAGCCTGTCGTAAGGGATCTGTGAGCGGAGAGAAGGGCAGTAGTATTGTTGATTGTGAGTCTTTGGTGGGGAATGATGTCTTCTCTATCGGCTGAGGCAAATGATTCGATTTCAGACATCGGGATATCTTCCTCCTGCTCTTCCTGCTCCTCCTCCTTCTCCTCTACTGTAAGGCCAGTCTCCGCGGACGATGATTTGCCCCCCTTCGGCTCCCTCGTCTCTGATGAAGAGTACAATGCTTCGTCCTCCACTTCCTCGCTGTCACTTTCGCTTTCGTCGCTCAATGGGAAAGTTACTTCGTCCTGCTGGGTGAGCATCAAACCAATTTTGGAGGGTTTTGCACGGCTCACAACTTTCCCGAACGGCTCTGACTGCTCATCGCTATCTGCATTAGACCCAGGGTCGTTTTCGATTGCGTCATCCTGAGTGCTGTCCCCATTTGCGACTCTTTCGAGCCTCCGCTTCTTCGCTAGCTTTTCCTGTTTCCGCTGCTTCTCCAATTGAAAGTCTCGTCCTTTTCGTGCATCGAGTGCTGCTAGGAGCTTGCTCTTTTTGACCATTATGTGGATCAATATTAAGCTTATAGTATGTCAGGAACTTGTATCTAATAGTCTTCAAGATGTAAAGTGGGTTTGGCATGACATGTGCGTTCGGACGCGACCACTGTTTGAATCGATGTAGGTGCGGACTTGAGAGAGCAAGTCCGCCTCCAACCGCGCCAACAAAGACAGCATGTCGGCCCATGAGGCGGATACGATCACAGCAGACGTAAAAATAAGGTCCCATCCACAATTCAAAATGTACTAATAATTGTGCTCGCAGACTCAAGATACCGGTGCCAACGAACTAGTGAAAGCTGTTGATCAGTTGCTGAATGAGCTGGGTCCGAAGTTTTCAAAAGTGTCCTCGGATTTATTCGAAAGATGTATGCTTTTCTTTCTAGTCATAGAGCGATTATCAGCATACTCACCGGCTCAGTGGACGAGATGTCGAGACGATTGGACGAGATGGAGGCCGCGATACAGTCAGGGAATGACACGAGAAACAGTGGGCCTTAAGACGGGGACATGAGCTGTAAATAAAACCTCATACCAAAGGTCGATAGAAAGAACTTTGACTGCAGGGAAAGTCTTGTTCTTCAGCATCCTTGATACGGATATTCAGTCTCCAAATGATCCTCTCATTCACAGTTCAGCCGGTGGAATACTCCAGCCAAGCATTATATCATTTCCTACAACTCCTTCTCATCTGTCGTTGGTGGCGTGCCTTGGAACTTCCTCAAAATGTTCGACCTCGATGTTAAGTCATCAAGCTTCTCAGGTGCCAACCCGCCTTTCTTGATGATGCCGTCCAACCGAGTCAGCTCCTTCTCAACGTAGCCTTTGTTGCCCCCCAGCTTCTGGGCCACCTTTACATAATACTCTGCGTATTTGTCTTGCAGCCCTTTGGTAGCCTTCTTGACCTTGTCCGACAGCGAAGCAAGATCTTCGCCAGAGACAGCGCCAACAATAGAATCTAGCGCATCGATTGTGCCAGCTTTGGCGTCAAGACCGCCCCCCACCATACGATTTGTGCCTGCCTTGGTATTCAGAAAATTAACAAAGTCTGCCTCCGATCGGCCACCCTCATAGGGTTCTGGTGTGGTGGAGCCTTTGGGAAAGTACTTGATTGTAGGGTAGGACTTGACACCTTGGTCCTGGGCTGTGGCTTTTGACTGCTCTGCTTCGGCATCGACCTTAGCAACAAGTACGGAGGGTTCAGCGATGAAGTCTTGGGCGAGCGTCTCCCAAATAGGAGCAAGGCTTTTGCAGTCTACTCAATCATCAACTTTCGGGGTACAGGATATACGTCTGAAGCTGCACGTACGTCCACACCACGGTGCAGTGAATGCAACGAGAACATCCTTATTCCCACCAATTTCCGTCTTGAAGCTCGAGTCCGTCAACATCTGCACCTTACTAGCGGGCTTCGCCTTCTTCTTCAGCTTGATACCGGTTTTAGCCACGATGAAATCTTGAAGATCCTCTAGGTCCCGGCCCCCGGAATAATCCTCAGGAGTCTCGCTCTTGCCATCGAACCATTTCAATGTTGGAAATCCCTGCACACCGAACCTCTTGCCCAAATCCTTCTCGGCATCTGCGTCAACCTTTGCTATCGAGACTTTGTCTTTGGCAAATTCTAGATTCGTAGCTAATTCTTCGTATATAGGAGCAAGCTTCTTGCAATGACCACACCACGGAGCAAAGAACTCCACAAGTGCAGGTTTGCCGGATTTCAGGACGACGTCGTCGAAATTGGATGGGATTAGATCGAGAACAGCGGATCTAGCATGCGTGCCCAGAACGCCTATGGATAGAAGCAAAAGATGGGTTAGACGAGCCATGATGAGACTAGAGGGGAGTCCTTTGCCGCCGTTGGAAAGAAATGACGTGAGGTGAACAGTGTTAAGGAAAAGATCAAAAGCTCGAAGAAAAGTTGAGGACAAGTTGGCGGTTCCGGTTCGTAGGGCTGAAGTCTTTAGGCGTGTTTCGTAATTGCCAATACTTACAAATGCCAATGAACGGTAAACAGCATGTCGTCCACAGGACTTTTTCTAGGAACAGAAGGGAAGACAAAAAGACGCCTGTCTCGAAGACCATGAGATATTCTGGGGGTGTCACCTCCTTTGAGATAGCCATTGATTCGTATCATCCCACATCTTCCGGTCACTCAGAAGATCTCCTGCCTCTTTCACCCCCTGGTAAACCTGCGAAATGGCTCGTTAGAATGCTCGACTCGCTCAGGGAGTCGAAAGTACTCACCGCATCCCATAACGTGAAGGCGTCGTTAAGGCTCGCCTCAAAATCACTATATTGAATCCACTCCTGTCCAAGCTTTCTAGTTTGCTCTCGAGTTGTTGGAGCTGTCGGGTCTCCATGAATGTCGAGATTGTCAAGGTAATTCAAAGTAGCAATGCCCAGGCTGCACGAGAACATGTCGTGAAATGGAAGGCTGTTCCTTGGTTAGCGACATGTCACGCATCAATCATGTTTCATTACCGTCGTGATAGCTCCAACCAATCATCCCGTTCCCTAGCAAAGCCGCCTTCAAGGAACGTAGACACCGTTGCTGTCTCCAGCAGATCTCGCAAGCTGGTTTGTAAAGCGGATACAATCGAGTGATAAGCCAGTAGCGATCGGCTCAAGGGCCCACTGTAACCTTTTGGTTTGTGACGAAGGCGCCCCAGACTTGCAACTCGAGAGACTAGCATACACGGCCCTTTGTCGTTCACTACGCACGGTCAAAACTTGAATTACATATATGAACACGGCTCAGACACTCACCTCCACCCCTCGCAGGACTACCTGGATAGTCCAGGAATAAAGAATTGAGGTTCAAAACCTCGAATCGCAACAATTCGATGGCTATGTAGGCAGCTTGTTGGAGATCCTCCTGGCCGCCGACAGCTGAGAGTGTTCGCTCTAGAATCTTTCCCCAGTGTGTAAGCTCGTGCGACTCAGTCACAAAGTCGCGCAGCTGCAGTACACGCCATAGGGTGTTGGCAAGAACCTCATCAGCTGTTGATAGGGCCTAGTTCATTTGAGCAATGACACTGCGCGAAACCAAGGGACGTCTTACCTCATCACTTTTGAGCTTTGGCGTTATCGTCTGCTTCGCATATTCTGCGTCTTGCAAGCTCCGTGTAGCAAATAAGAGAGACCCGGGCAGTGCATCGCCTACTTTTGCCTAAACTATCATTAGGGCGCATCTTCAAAATACTATTGTTGCGCCTACTTTGTCCAATGCGTCCTTCTTTACGTTCCATTTCGAGACTTGTGACCTAGGCGAAGGGCTCACATCCACAGGCTTGAATTTTTCTTCAATATTCATGTCAAACCAAAAGTGGCTTTTGTATTCCGCTCGTTGATAGTAGCGGTGAAGGCCATCTGTCAAAAGACAGGTTGCTTGCTGTCGAAGTGGACCAAGCTCGCCTCTCACAAAGCGTTGGCATATTGCTGTATCGCTTCCAGCTAGGGGAGTCGGCACGTCTATCTCACCTCGGGTCAACCAGTTTAGGACACGAGTGCCTATCAGACCCCTTGAAAGATACATATAAAGCTCTTCGGGCAGGCGGAGACCGATGCAAAGATGCGTATCTATAGGAGCTTGAGCCTTTTCCAAGCTCTCGACTTCGCCCTCGGCCGTTATTATCACGTGATGTTTTATGATTATCATGGTCTGCTTGAACTTATCGAGCCAAATTTCTTTCAAGGACGCATCTGGATATTGCGAGCAAACCTGAGAAACATTTCCACGAGCAGCTACAAGTAGGTTAACAGCGTCACGAATAACGCCAGCTTGCTTATAGTTCGCATTTTCGACCAATGGTGGGAAAGTCTTGAGGAAAAGATCTGAGCCAGCTAACACCAGAGCTTCCGTGAATACCTGCAAATGTATATTGCCTAGTGTTTTGAGGCACGAGGCGCTGTCAATCCAGCAAAATTGGAGCCTTTCCAAGGGTACAGAATGATCATTAATCGAGACCTTGTCTAAGTCATCCTTGGGCACATCGGTAAAGTCAGTGATGACTTTATCAACGCCGAAGCAGAAAAGCTCGGACGGCCCGTAAATCGCATCGACAAACTGTTTGGGATGCTTCTCATAGTAAGCAAGCTAAAAAAATAGGTCAGCTTACTGACAAACTATGGCATTCTTACCATACCTGAGCAAGAGCACTGTATGGAGCGACTGTAAAAGGAATATCCATGTCATGAAGGGCAAATTTCAAAGTACTCATATGCTCATCTAGCTTTTGGGATGCTATGCAACGATGAGTCACAATCTCGCAAGGTTGGAAATCTCTTGCAAACGAACCTAGCTTTTGGAAAGCACGTCGAGCAATTTCGGGCTGTTGATTCTCGTACACGGTGAAAGCGTCATTGTTCTGACTGTTAATGGATTTGGAAGTCGCGAAAGCATCCTCACTCCTCGCATACTGCAGACCATTAAAGACAAAATGCAAGCGGATACCCGCATTCTTGAGATTCTTCACTGCGTTGGTGAAGCCTTCCAAAGCAATTGGAGAGCCGCCCAAGGCAGTGAGCAAGGGTTCGACCAGAAATTGTTTGGCGAAGTAAGCCGCGTCTATGCCAATTACAGAACCTTTCAGGAACTCCAGCGGTCCATGCTTGAGTAGGCGTTCCTTTTCGATCCACTCTTCAAAGTAACGAACTGCGATGAAATCTTTAGTAGGTGCTAAATAGGCGTGCGACGAACGTACCACCCATGCTCTCCTAAAACCCCCAATACGCGGCCGATGTTTTACGAGTGAGAACTTACGGCATACTCCGAATAGAGGAGAATTATACAACGACCAGTATTAAGGAGTGTAGAGAAGCACACGTTACACACAGCCTCAATCACAAGCAAGATGCAATGGTTCAGGTGGGCTTAACGGTCCCATTGTTTGGAAATATGCCAGACAAAACTCACAGGCTGCGCAGCGGGAGCTAAGTCGGGCCGCCCATTAGCTCAAGGGCCATGATGTACCTTACGCTGTAAAATACATGTATCCTAATTATACTGTCTTGCAGGAAAATCTTTCCCCGTTCAAGGTCAATTTACAATACGACGACAGCCAAGGTCGCAATGACATACGGTAGTTACATCAACAACTTGCCATGAGACTCGTTACTACTGTCTCGTCTTTTGACTCAAACTTGTTGAACATTAGGTTTCTCAGCCAATCGTAGAAATTGTGAAAATGAGTGCCACTGATTCCGATACTCCGTCCTTCCACATTCCTATCATTGACATTACGAGTCTTGACAACGAAACTGGTAAGACAGTTGTTGACGCTGCCGCAAAGTACGGCTTTCTGTACCTAAAGGCGCAAGACCTTGGCTTCACTCCACAAATTATTGGGAATTGTTTTGCGCTGGTACAAAAGCTTCTCATTGTCATTGAAAGAATAATGTTCATCTGATTGATTTTTAGTCTAGACAATTCTTCGCCTCAGAGGAGAAGAGGCAGTGTGAACATGGCTCAAGCGTATAACCGTCCTTTCACTGTATCTCCAAATAACGCTGACCGTACAAGAACCTCGGATGGGCCGCAATCCATTCTGAAGTGTTAGATCCGACGGTCCAAAAGGTTGGCCGTTGATCATCTTGCGAGTCTATACATCTTCCCGCTAAAGTCATACGCAGCGAGGCGACTTCAAAGAGTTAGTGTCCTCTTCTTCTAATCGTTCAACCGCTTTCTCTGCCACACTCATTGTATTTCACCTTCGCTGTAAGCCCATGGTGAGCCCTCAAACACCATCACAATCATCAAAATAAGTAGCTACTTATGCCTGTCCTGCCTTGTTGTTCAGAACGTCGGCCAACCGCGTGCCTTAGGACGATGAACATTGGCGAATTTTTCGGCGGCCAGCCATCTCAAATACTTTCTCCACTTCTCAAAACTCACGAAGGGGATATAGCAGATTTTCAAAAGCGATGTCATGATCTCTGCTGCAAGCTACTTCGCCTCTTTGCACTAGGGTTTGAAGTCAGCACTCCCGTCCACAGCTACAGCCCATGGCAAACTTCGCTTACTACCAACAGATCTCTCCAGAAGCTGGTGGGCAAGAGTGGTTTGCTACAAGGCATGATGAGGCTGCTGGCCCCTCTGGCACGGTGCTTCGCTGGCTTCATGTATGCTTCTAACCCCCTTTGCTGGCTGATGTCGTCCTCCCTCAACCTCTAGCTCACATGAACAGTATCCTGCAGTCGAAAGAGACGCTTTCGACAGATCGACCGACATTCGCGCTGGCGCACATAGTGATTACGGTAACCCATCCACTTGTTTGCCCTTTGCCTCTCCCCTCCATCCCTCAGAACTAGGCTGTAACACCAACTCACAGGCTCCATAACTCTTCTGTTCCAACTCCCCGGCCAACCAGGCCTTGAGATCCTCACCCCTACCTCAGCCTGGTCTCCTGTGCCCACGGTTCCTCCCGGAACCTCCGAGCTTCCCTTTCCTCCAATCCTTGTAAACATAGGTGACCTGATGCAGTTCTGGACAAATGGTTTGTTGAAGAGTACCGTTCACCGAGTGGTTTTTCCGGAAGGAGAAACAAGGGACAGATATAGCATAGCATACTTTTGTCATCCGTTGAATCATGCGGAAATTGAGACTGTCCCCAGCAAAGTTGTTATGGAAAGGAAAAAGGATAAGGGGACTGAAGGAAGGATTACAGCGGAAGAGTATCTGTGGAAGAGGTTGAGGGCGACTTACAACGTAGCGATGCATAATGATGAAATGGTGACTACATAAAGCATACAAGATCAGAGCCTTACGCAGTAAAATGTTTCAAGGTGTAGAATTCTTTGGTTATGATCATTATGAACAAATACAAGACGCCTCAAAGGATTGATCGATACCAAATTCGGGCAATAAAGCTGGCATTGTCGCAGCTATTGCTCGTGATGTGATCTCAAGCAGCGAAGTTACAGGCGATCTCGACTGCGATAGAGCTTATTGAAAGCAATAGCGTCTCATAATCCAAGAAAGGCGCCTGATCGTGGGGAATAGGAAGCAAATATAAGTCGAACCGCCTGGCAGCACACGAGTACGGGACGTGTTCCTGGTATCAATTTGCCGGAGCCAGACCGTTCGAGGCAGCTATTTTCAAGGCTAACAAATATTCATAGTTTTGGTAAATCAATATGTTCGGGTAGAGTTTGTGCGGCTGGAAACAGATGATTGCGAAGATTTGCCGAACGCCTCCATTATGATGCCGTAAACATTAATCGAGAATGCCGCTAAGCGTAAAGAGCGCGGATAGGTACACAGAAACAGCAACGGGCAGGTGAGATCTTCAAGGCGACGCCACTTGACACCAATGTCGGTGGAAAACCCAAGCGTTCTTCTGGCACTCTTTGCTACAATATTTTGTGCGGCGACAACGACGACATTTAGCGAATTGCCGCGTCCATTGCTCCCATCTCCCACACTCATAGAATGCACACTGCCTGATGCCACCTCGTGCATCGTCTTTCCGGCAGAGATTTCTCATTACAACACCAGCCCAATGCTGCATGTCCTGGGAGTGATGGCGGACGGTGAACTTCTCAACAAGAGGAAATATAGTGAAGTCGTCAGGGAGTAGATACTCTTCATCTGAGTCATCGCTGTCCTCATCCTTATCGTCGTTGCATGGTGGAGAAGCGTCATCACTGTTCTGACTTTCGAGAACCTCATCCTTGAGTCTCAATTTTGGGACTAGATGAGAATTGTGAAAGTAAGACCTGAGATTGCAATACTTGGAGACGTAGGCTAGAAGTTGCAACGACATGAGGACATCTTCATCGCGAGGGGTTGCGGCCAGTATACCGGGTGGAGCCGACCGATCGAGAAGGTAGCGAGCATGACTGTTTTGAGGCATGGCCTGCGCGGCCATGTTGACCACAACCATTGGTTGTGTAGGTGGCGGAAATCCAATGTTTTGGTTCGTAGGTGTAACGTTAGCGTTGATAATGCTGCCGTCATTCGCAGATTGATGGGTGATATTGAAAGTTTCGGTTTCTCGCCCGTCGGACACATTTTGCAGTGTGTCTGCGACAGACACGTCATCTAACATTGCGTCTTGGTCTTCGCCTTCCTGAATGTCGACTGATGTTTGTATATCGATCATGGGTTCGTCAGAATTATCATTTGCAGCCGAGACTTCCGACGCTGCCTCATCCGCGTTTGTATCATCTGAGTCACCAGAGTGGGATTGTTGTCGTACGGATGGCCGCCGTCGACTTCGCGTTGGCTGTAGTATGGATTCAATTGATGGGGCGCTTGGTGTGGTGGGTGAATCTGGCTGGGAGGTAATGCCCGTTTGCCCAACCTGGCCAGTCTGCAATGGTGGTAACATGGACGGCAAACGATCAGCATCACGTACAGGTCTCAATGGAAGTCCACCTCCAGCATCCATCGACGGCACAGCAGCCGGTAGAGACTGCATTGAAATATGTCTACTTCCGTTGCTTATGCCGCCGGATGTAGGCTGCCTGAGATCTTGACTCCTACGATGATGGTGGTGGTGATGGTGATGGGAGTGGTGGTGGTGGTGGTGATGATGTCGAGTCGGTGTCCTGTCGGTTGGAGAGGCTAACGAGAGTGAGGGCAGTGTGGGTGTTATATCCATAGCCTGGTTATCCGATGAGTTTTGTTGAGAATGGGGCATGGCCGGGGGTATCTCAATCGCAGGAGGAGGATCATGCCGGCGAAATAGCGGTATGTGCTCTGTACTACCTCCTTCACGATGCGAAAACGTTTGACGCGTGTTGCTCTTGCGAGATCGGCTGTTTGGCGAGGACTGACGAGACTGTGAGACCTGAAGAGATCTTCGCCTGCCTGCAGAGTGTTCTGCTTCTGCTTTCTCCCGACATGTGTCAACGACCTTGATGTAATTGTATAGAATTGTTGCGATGACAGGAACCATATCCGCCTCGACGACTCTCGTCCGTACACTCTCTGATCCTCGGACACCAATGTTGACCACGCACTGGAACGCAAGGTTCCACTTCCACATCTCCATCATCTCCTGACTGCGACCCTGCTTCAGAATGCATACTAGTCGTTCCACGCCACCATCGATCGTCAGAATATCCCGTATCCGAGCCGAGGATGTGGTAAGATATGCCAAATGATTCAAAGAATTGATTAAAGGAAGTGTAGAAGTACAATCAAGTGCTCGCCGATCGTAGAGGGCGGTTGTGATGCCGACCGACGCCTTGTTGACGTTCGGTATACTAAAGTTAACTTCTCTCATCTTGTTGACTGTTCCGTAAGCCCCAAATCGATTCAAATCATCATACGGCTCTTGGCTTTGATGAGGTCAATGGGTTTTCGAAGGCTGAACGATGGAAATGTGAAATATTCTTTCCGTGAAGGGATGGCAAACCCGTCCGGTGCGGCGATTGTCAAGACGATGAAGGCGCTTTCAATATTTCGTCAGCACATCTGGATAAGTCAGCTAACAATTAAAAGATCAGAAGTAGTCGAGACATACGGTAGTACAAGAAAATGCTGCCAGCCCCCGATCAGTAAGCAATGGAAGACAGCAGAAGGCGTGACTCGGCGCGCGGGTCCGTCCTAGTCGCTATTGCAGCGCAATCATGAGGACAAAGGCAATGTACGAAGCAAATGGAAATAACAGTCGATGAGCAAGGGAAGAATTGATGCCTTGGTCGAAGGAAGGATGAAAATTTTAGGTGGGTGACGGTTTAGGAGGGAGATGAAGATCCATCCAGACTCCTCCTCTAGCGCGGTTTTGTCTCAGATTGGAGAGGCGAGGAAAGGCTGGCACATATGCGGCATACCAGACTTGGCTTTTAAGAACGTGGGCTCAAGATCTCTACATTTTAAGAATACTTGCTGAACGAAGCGTTAGCGATCTAACCTCTTCATGCTCCGTTCTCGTAGCTTGGGCAAGGAATCATTGGTAATCCATCCGCCTATACGTAAGACTTCGCCACCATCCAATGCGCACTCCTTACTCCATTTGCAGACGGTCGAAAGATGAGTCGCGATTACTTCAAATCCAATGCAAGAAATAAAGAGACCCAGGCCTTGTATCAGGTGTCCGAATCTCGTTCGAGGGGGCGAGCTCAGCCTGGATTGATCTGGAGTGACCTAAATAGTTTTATGAGGCCTCACTGGCCAAATTGACTCCAATACCTCTGCACACTGCTCGAGAGTTGACGAGCAGGCAGCTGCAAAGACCTCGCTGTCTCAAAAACCCAGACACGAATAACAGAATGATCGGCAGGCTGGTGGATGATAATCCCGACGCGCCAAATTGTCAAAGCTCTTCTCAAACAGGCACTGCTTCTGACAAGAAAGAACCGTTTCGCGGTAAGAACGCTTTTGTCAAGTCCATGCTGCCAGCTCCGCAGCCAAAACCCACCGTAAGCAACGAAGGCATTAGGGCCAGGAGGGATTTCGAGGGGAGAGAATTCATGGTGGAAGCAACTTTTACTGTCGTGTACGCAGTAGTACAGAATACTCGTAGTCGTTCATGCTCCACCCATGTAGGAGGTTTTATTACCTTATGCAGGTAGGACGTGCGGCTTGAGCATTAAATGATCCGAGGCGGCACATCACTGGGGCCGATCTGGCTGGGCGTTGCCATTTTCGCAGAACGGAGGACATGCTGGATGGCAAACCGATGTTAGGGACTTACAAGCTTGAACAATTGTTGCAGTGACGCGGCGCACGCATGCGCCGTCTGACGCTTCTAGAAGCAGCATCAGACGAAGGCCGTTGCAGAAGGATATGATAGATCCGTGGACGGATGAGGATGAGGATCAATAGATTTGGGGGAGATTGGAAATTTTGGGGGCAAAGTTTAAAAAGAAGTGTTTAGGCGACCTCGGGGGACACGCGGGTAGACCTTCGTGAGGTAGCAGCTCGATAGTAATGCCAGAAGAGAGATCTGAAGGGGATTGTTGATGTCCAACGTCCACTTCCACTTCGACTACCCCTTCCACTTCCAGGCTTAATTCGCCCACTGCTGCTGCACGCTGGAGGGGCCGGACATAGATGAAAGTGGACACTCACGTAGTGGAGGATCAATTTCGCTATTCCACTAGCGCCCTTTTTCAGGTCAAACCAACTCCTCTGCATCTTGCCAGCCCGTTAGAGACCTGCATCATCGAACAGGACCCGATTGACCTTCTACAAAAGACTTTGCTTCTACTGAACGTTCTATTTTTCTTCTGGTCACATTTTATTTGGAGTTTCTGCATTCAAGGTTGTCGCAGCTCGTATCCGGTGTCTCCTCCCTAGCCTGCTTGGTGGGCGGCAGTGGCTTTGGCGGTCTTACCTCAACCCCATTCAAAGCTCCTCCAACCACCGACTTGATCATCAGCAGACATCAACATAATATCAGAGAACTTCAAGAGCCGCTCTTTGCGCATTTGCTTCTCGGGCTGCGTCAACGATGAGTTCCGAAATGTCTGGGGAGCAGATGCAGGCCAAAATCGCCGCTGCTCGACGCGATGCCGAAGGTCTGAAGGATAGAATCAAGAAGAAGAAAGATGAACTTGCGGATACCTCATGTGAGCCGTCTCGGTGACAGAGCGCAATGGCATTCAGTGCGCTGTAAGATGCCTCAAATGCTGACACTCTGTCCTTGCAGTACGGTCGGTGGCCAACAGCAACACAGATCAGCTACCCAAGATTGGCATGAAAGCGCGGAGGGTCTTGAAAGGCCATCTAGCGAAAATATACGCCATGCATTGGTCGACAGATCGCAGGCATCTAGTCTCTGCTTCCCAAGACGGCAAATTAATTATCTGGGATGCTTACACAACGAACAAGGTTCATGCCATTCCTCTTCGGTCATCATGGGTCATGACATGTGCCTATGCTCCAAGTGGCAATTATGTGGCTTGCGGAGGTCTAGACAACATCTGCTCGGTATATAACCTGTCGTCAAGAGAAGGGCCCACACGCGTAGCTCGAGAGTTGTCAGGTCATTCGGGGTATCTCTCATGCTGCCGTTTCATCAATGACCGCCGTATCCTGACCTCCTCCGGCGATATGACTTGTATGCTGTGGGATGTCGAAACGGGCTCGAAAGTCACCGAGTTCGCCGATCACCTGGGAGATGTTATGAGCATCAGCATCAACCCTACAAACCAGCACGTGTTCATTTCGGGAGCCTGCGATGCCTTTGCTAAGCTGTGGGATATCCGGACTGGTAAAGCCGTGCAGACTTTTGCTGGGCACGAGTCGGATATTAATGCCGTCCAATTCTTCCCTGATGGTCAAGCCTTCGGAACAGGGTCCGACGATGCTACTTGCCGGCTTTTCGACATCCGAGCCGATCGTGAGCTCAATACATATGCCAGTGATCAGATACTGTGTGGAATTACGTCCGTGGCATTTTCTGTATCAGGGCGGCTGCTCTTTGCCGGGTATGATGATTTTGAGTGCAAGGTACGGCTGCCCTCTCCGCTGATCCCGAGAACTTAATTGACGAGAATCCTCAGGTGTGGGACGTGCTCCGTGGAGATCGGGTTGGGAACCTCAATGGCCATGAAAACAGGGTGAGCTGTCTCGGTGTCAGCAACGATGGCATGAGCCTATGCACCGGATCCTGGGACTCGACCGTAAGTTGCCTCATCGCCTGTCACGTGGATGTATGCTAAGACAATTGGTGGAATAGCTCAAGGTATGGGCCTGGTAGGCACCACCAACCGCGTTGTCCGCGCGCGCCGCAATATCTGCATGTCATGAATGTCGAAGCAAGTCCGAACGACACCAAACCCAGGATGACGGCAACAAAATACCGGCGAAATTTTATAAACTCAACGCAGCCATGCTCTGGCCGTTCCGAGGCCATTATCTATTTCTATGAGCCTACGACCTCCGACTGAAGACACGTTTGCACAGTCATGCCAGCGATCTACTTCTCTTGTAACAAATTCAAAAACTGGGCGGAATGTGTCCCCAGCTGGAGGACAGGGGCAAATCGTCCGAGTATCTCTTCAGCACCCCCAGCAATAGCTAATATCCGACTTCTTCTGAGCGATTCCCCCACAATTTTGGACCTTTCCCATTAAACATAGTCCCCGAAATGTAACCCCCAAGTCTATCGATTGCTCTGACACGCTGGCGCGCCGCTGATATGGCTCGTCACCTAGCTCTTTTCCTTGTGCTCGAGTGGCTGCGGAGCTTTTTCACTTGCCACAGATGGATGAGAGCTTTTCTACAGGGTCATCCCAGAAGGCTTGAAAGAACTGGTTCAAGTGTTCGGCGAACGCATTTTCTATTAGCCAAAACCCCAAAATGATTCTGGATAGCAGATGGTGGCCCCCAGAGAAACGGAAAAGATGTATTTTGTTCTATGTATGTTACGCTTGACCACCGGATAGACCCCTGTATGTTACATTGCGAACTCATGCGAACGGCGTGGGAGGCAGGAGACGGTTCATAGGGAAGGTTTGAGGTTGTCCTGTACCGTATCACTGCTGCCATTCACCAACAGCATCCAAATATCCCTCAGGTTTAGCCCTAGCAATGGCGCTAATTGTCAAGTGATCCCAATTCCCTTCTACGTTGTTACTGCATCATTCCACCGCCTAAATTTCAGTATGCATAGCTCCGGCCGGCATCATCAAACAGGAGTTTCCAATAACGCTGTGCAGAAAGCCTCGCAACGTACATATAAAGACGTGCCGTTCCCAGACGGTGTTCATCAGGTATGCCATCCCCGATCAGCAGTGCTGACGAAGCTGGCAGAGCTATCTGCAGGAATATGCAGGTGAAACTATATTCGGACAACGACGAGCGGGCCTGATTCCTTCTGGGCATTTTCCACGTCTAGCTGCATCCAGGTCGCCAAAGCAGGCGGGAATTTGGAAGAGGTTGCATCGGTCTCATTCGCCGTGAAACGCAACCGCTCATTGATGACAATCAAGGGAGCGAAAGGAGGATGAGAGGCTCACTTGGGTGGTGTGAGAAAACATCCGTAGCAAGAAGCGAAGAGCCACAGTCAGAGTCAGCCCCAGATGTAACGGTTGGTAGTCGCTCTAAGAATTCGGATGTTTTTCTCACTCTTGATCCTGGGGGATCGGTCATCGGCGGAGTTGACCTGCGAATATACATATATACATATACCTTATACATATACTCTACAGGATGGAAATTCACATGACCAAGACAACAGCATGCTGCATGCTGCAAATAGCGGGCAGTGTGCAGCGTGCAGTGTGCAGTGTGCAGCGTGCCGTTGAAGTGGATCCAACGAGAAGGCCAGCAAAGCCGGTGGCCTCGACGATGCCCTGAGGTGGCCCTTAGGGAACCAACAGGAGCCTGAAACTTAGCGTTCGCCTTATTCAAGTCCGAGCGCGATGCTCATTTGCGCTAGCGACACACTAAGGGAGGCATGAGGAGAACATCCCTGTCGGCCACGTTTTCCTCATCTTTGCCCCCTGACCCCCCTTGCCACCAATAATGCAGAATAACGGGAATGGACAGAAGATCCAATCATAGCCGTCAGAAATCAATAAAGCGCGGCCACGTCCAGCCCAGCGCACGTGGCAATCTTACAATCTATAAGACTCCGACAAGTCGCGTTCCTTCGCTCACCCCGTGGCCCGTCATCAAGGAGCCCAAAGATAAATCGTAATAATTCGCGATCCCTTTGCACGACTACACTTACTAGTTACTACTATTATTGCCCACCCCGGGATCGGATCTAGACCGGCCAACGGCATAGATACTTCCTAAGCTCATTACTTCTATAGCCGACCGAGCTAATTCCAGGGCGCCAAAGACTCAAAGAGAGAGAATCCAAGACTTGAAAGGCAATCTTCCTCTTCCCATCACTGCTCATCACCTTGATATCTCGAAAGCACTCCTGATTGAGAAGGCCCACGAATCCATCGCGGAGGGATTTCAGTCCTCTTGCATCGCCGCATCCCTGGCGCTGCTTCAAACTCACTCGAAACCCGCCCTGAACAGAATTCAGAACCTGAAACCCAGAGCCTCCTGACGCACCCACCAGCCCACGCGAGACCAATTTATATTTATCACTGGGTATCTCCACCTTTCAAACATGTCGACACCCGCCCAAAGAGAATACGATGATCTAGTGGCCAGCTCGCACACCTTCTCCAGAGTCCATCCTGAAGACTATCACCCTTCGGACGGAGACTCGGACGTATCTTCCGACCACGACGGAGCCACCACCCTCCACTCCACCGAAGAACGTTCCATCGCGCCCTCGAACTCCTCGACCATTATGCCGACTGCCACCTATCTGCCTGCGACGACCACCCAATTTGACGCCAACACCGGTCCCAAAGGCGTTATCGCCGATGCCCGATCTTTCGAGACCGCAAAGAAACGCTCCTTCCGCCAGACCCTTCACGCCTTCACCGATGCCTCTCCATTCAAGAAACTTAACCCTGTCAGCCGAGAGAAAAGCAAGTCCCCAAGTCCAGATCTCTCCACCGACGAAGAGGAGGACGATTTCATGAGGCAGTGGAGACAAAAGCGGCTGGACGAGCTCGCCACCATGAAGCAAGAGATTCGAACAAGGAGGCAAAGCCCCAGCAAGCGACGGTATGGGAGCCTAGTTGCTGTTGATCCAGCGGGATATCTCGATGCAGTGGAGAAGGTCGGTGCCGAGACGGTGGTGGTGGTATTAATCTACGATGATCAGGTACACCTCCTTATCCTCTCCTATCCCAATTTCTGCCACGTATCTGTGTCCACGAAAACTGGAAACACTCCGCTAACTCACACCCCCGCAACAGTACACTTTATCCAACAAAGTCGAAGACGCCCTCACCTATCTCGCCCGTAAACACCCCACCACTCGCTTCGTCAAATTGCACTATCAAGACGCCGAGATGGACGAGGTCGCTGCACCCGGCGTGCTGGCTTATCGGGCAAGCGAGTGCTTTGCCAACCTGGTCTCTTTCATTACTGAGATACCAGCGGGCAAGGACGTGAACACAGCCACTGTTGAGGAAGTTCTGGAACGGTACATCCCTCATCATGAGTCAATCCGAAATGATGCTGATGATCTTCACAGGCATAAGATCCTAATCTAATGTTGATCATATTCATGATCTTGGGTATCTTACTGAAGTCCGCGGAATTCGGATGAAAGCATTGCGTCGGAGTAGGATTGGTCGGTCGGCTTTCGTGATTGCGTTAAACGCCGCTTGCGAGCGACCGAGCGGGTGTTTACATTTACAAGGATATAGAATGATGCGAGAAAGCCTGGTGCTACGGAATACTATTGTGATGATTTTTAACGTACTACCACTCCGCGGCATTTGGTGGGAACGACGCCTCATTGAAACCTAGCGATTGGATTCATGAGTTAGTAAAGGATTACATTTGGCTGGGGTGGAATGCTATGATGTATTTGATTTATTGTCTTCTTTCTCGATGTGCCAAATCGCGAGAATTGAAAGCTACATTCCGACAATTCTCTGAAATGTGGGAAGCACTTGCAGGAATTGATCTGATATGTGCTCCTGATTTTTGAGAGCCACAAGCTGCCATGTTTTGCGCTCGAATCGAACGATCATCCAGAACGTTTCTCCCATACCACAGCAACGGCCCCAGGCGAAAATGGATTTTTGAACCTACAATGTCCGTTTACACCCTCCTAGTCGCTGTTATACCTTAAGCCCCGTAAGTGCACGTAGCCGAGTCGTATTGTCGCGACTCATAAGTGAGATTGAATGACGCGAGACCGCTCGTTGACAGTAAATAGGTTTAATAGTGTGCTGACAATCTCTCCAGGCATTAAACCCAACACGATGACGACCGTATAAGGCTTATGCAGTGTTCTGCTTGAGAAGATTGGCGCCAGTCGGCAAGAGTGGAAGAGTACTTTGATGAGACCTTCACATCTAGCTTGTCCGCAAGAAAGGGTTAATAGCCTTCTGCAGCGGATCCTGATGGAAATGTTGATATGCATATATCCGTTGTGCCTGGGCCCACTTCTTGTTCAGTATACCATCTCCGCATCCGCTTTCAAGTGCCTACGTGTCCACACCTATGGGTATGGCGGATAGAAGCACGGCTTCTCTCAAAGGTGTAGAACCGAGCGAGCAGACTCAGGGTTCCGCAACTTTACCAGATGACTTTAAACCATGTAAGATCATCTTGGTCATCCTTCACGGAAAAAAAGAGGCCGCAGTCTGATTGGTTCCGGTGGCAATTGACAACCCTAAAACTATATGAATGTTTGATATGGGGTCCAGTCGATAGTCGACTGCTTGAACTCTTTCCGTGCGCTCAGTTGCAGCTGGCATTGAGAGCAGCAAGGTCCGATAAATCGACTCAGTCACCAAGAACTTCTGAATCTGTCCTACCCTCATCAGTGTCGCGGACAGATGAATCCGCTCGGTTGTGGAACTTGATACGGGAAGCCCATCCACAGAGAGTAGCACTTAAGCCGAGGCTCCAGAAGCTTCCTCTGCTGGTCTGATCTCATCATGCCGCTTGAAGCTCTACTTCAAGAACGCGGCGATTCGCAACTTTCTGTCTCAAGCCATCATCTGAACAATCACGTCATTCTGATATCCTTGTGGTAATGAACCTGGAGCAAGTACCATACCTTGAACATCAAAGTACAGTGCCCACAAACCAGGTGCTTCCTTTACAGCCAGGAAACCTTCCCAGTTGTCCATAGTAAGGTGGTTACCATCTTGACTGAATTGCCAACGCGCAGCAAGGTGACTTCTGGCAGAAGTATGTTCACCGTATTTAACTTCGTATGTATCTTTATCAACATATATCCACGTCCCGTAACGCCCTCCTTCAATAAGGGATACCAGCCCCAAGGCTTCCTGGTGCTTACCGACACCGGGCAAATGACGTAAGCAGCCATGGAACGGCTTCTTGAAGGGATACGCTGAGTTGAGGTCACCAGAGTCAGAGGGACATATGTAGAGCTATTCATTTAAGTTTTCGTTGTGCGAGACCTTGTCAAAGCCAGCCTACCTTGTTGTTGCTTAAGACCACAAGTCCACCGTTGACATCATTGCTTCCAGTCCGCGTACGAGAAGTCTCAGAAACATGCACTCGCAGGCCGCAAAGTCTTTGTGGCGGGAGTGTCATTTCAGTCTTAGCATTTGTCCCTCTGACCTGCCCACTTGTTTTCCAGGACACTTCTGCCGACAGGCGAATTGATGGGGGCGCCAAGAGGGAGGCTCCAGTAGAAAGTAGATTGTTCATCATATTGACTGTCAACCTCGGTCAAATGATATCGTTCATACATTGAAAGGGCATAGATGGTTTATTGAGATAAGTCCCTCAAGATCCGTGATGAAGATCAGGTCCACCCTATGACATCAGCAAGCGCTAGCGGCTAAAACAACATCAACATCTCTAGACTTCACGTCCATCCCGTCGTAGAACTATGACCGGCACAGTTGAAGGACAATGGCTCCTCAGGTGCCCCAGCCTAGTGCTGCCAACAACAGCTTTGAGGAGCATAGTCCACTACTCAAAATGGCTAAGCAGACCACGGGCTCGTGGGCTAAAAGGCTCAATCAATCATTCTCGGATTGGTTTTCGTGGGAGCTCACCTGCGCTATAACTTCCGTTGCCTCATGCGCCGTCATTGTTATTGTTTTGATGCTTTTCGACGGTAGTGCCTTACCCGATTGGCCTTCAATATTCACAGTACAGCTCCGCTACTTGCCTTTCCAATAATATTATCTATCAGCTCATGGTGGGATAGATCAACTCAATCGTTGCCCTTTTCACGTCCTTTGCTAGTCTCTCGTTTATGTCGGTTGTTGGGGCGGCCATTTCTCAATCTAAGTGGCTCTGGTACCGTCAACAGCCTCGGCCATTGGAGCACATTCAACTATTCGATGAAGCTAGTAGAGGTCCTTGGGGCGCAGCTATTCTTATATTCTCTTTCAAACACAAGTGAGTCAGCATGTCTAGCTTGAATCGCTCAATTCTCATGTAAGATGTACAAGCACTCTCGCCTCGCTTGGTTCTGCTGTTGTTATACTGTCACTCCTCTTCGGTCCTTTCGTTCAGCAGTCCCTCTCCTACGGAGATATGCTCGTTGAGTCGGGCGACAGAGATGCAAGTATAGTCCGCGCTCAAGATTACCGAGCTCAGAGTGAAGAAGGCCTACCTTTGCCATCGGTGGTGGACCTATCAATGAAGGTATTGACCCAACTAAACGCATAATCATGGCTAATGAAATGAAGGCCGCCATTTATAACGGCGTGTTCGATGCCAGCAATCAAGCCAATTCTGGTACTGAGCATCATTGCTCGACAGGAAAGTGAGTTGTCAGAACTTCCAACCTACGACGCGAAGCTAATGTGGCAGCTGTACCTTTGACAACTTTGCATCGCTGGCTGTGAGCTCCAAATGTGTCAATATAACAGACCAAGTCCAAAAGAGATGTAACTCGACTGGATGCTACGAGTTATCTCTACCTGATGGACCCTCCATCTCGGGATTTGGAGGTCAGATCAATACGAGTATGACCAGACTTTCACCTTCGCTGGACGAATATGAGGCTTCAGCGGTCCGATTCTCTGCTCTGTATTCTAAACCAATCGATGATTCCTACGACGCACAAGCATGGGAATGCGCCTTGTATTATTGTGTTAATGAATACAGCGCTTCGGTCAACAATGGCGATTTCTTCCAAACCATTGAAAAAGCATGGCGTAATGATTCTGCATCTTTGTCTCAGGAGGAGGATCTCATCTACAGACCTCCGAAATCGTTCATCAACATAACGGCGAACAGCTCGGAATTTCACGTGGGCCACCTGGCGGCGAAAGCTCTGAATAGCTTCTTGACCAGTGCCTTCACAGGCAGTGGTGGGATCGAAGATCCAGACGCAGGCTCATATTTCTCGTCAGATGTCATTCACGCATTTTACGAAACCGATGATCTTCCCACGCGAATTGACAATCTCGCGATCTCAATGTCGAACAATATACGTCAACAGAACAATAGCGGGTCTCAGCCATTTCAAGGAAAAGCAATGAAAGGTCAAACTCATTTGCAGGTTCGATGGGCTTGGCTTGCTTATCCGGCAGTACTACTAGCCATCACACTAGTATACCTGACCTGCGTCATGATCCAAACAAGAAGGGGGCGTATCTTAGTATGGAAATCTTCTTCTCTTGCGCTCCTCTTCCACGGTCAGCAGCTCCATCTAGGTGGGAACGATTCATTGCCGGCAGATACGTTGAGCGCCATGGGCAAGAAGGCTTCTGATATGCAAATTGGTCTGTCTCAAAATGATGATGGTAGGTGGCGGCTTGTGCAGATTTAGCAGCTCTTGTGGGATTGATCTTGCTCATGTATACATGGTCTTCAATGTTGACCATCTCGGAACCAGTTTGCATGTCTATTCATGAAGTATATGTACATATTAAGTCTTATGTCACTATTGAGCGTGAACAGTTGAAAAGACAAAAGGCATCAGCTTCAGAGCGCTTCAGGAAACTTTCGAAACATCACCAGCTTTGATCGATAAGCTCCTCAATTGTGATTGGCAAATTCCTCCCTATCTAAGATCTAAGATGCCAGAGCGAGCAAAACTCCACGACATTTTTCCCCGCCGTCTTCAATCTCGTAGGCTAAAAGGGCCGGTTATCAACATCGTGGGGCTGCAGTAGCGTTCGGATCGGCCTGTGTGGGGTCGTGACGTTTGGAAAACATGGAAGTATGGGCTCCAGACACCCCGCCATGAAGCCAGAAAAACAAATCAGGGCTCCAAGCTACTGGTCTACTTGAAAAACGGGGTTCTGATTACTTCAATTACACGGCTTTACACCACAACTACCACCACCATCATGGCATCTTCGCACCCGGTCGATCCAGAGAAACAACATCCAGCGACTAAAACCTCCAGCGCTTCTTCCTCTAACAATAAGGTAGCCCCTCCGATATCGCTCTTGGCACCACCCTCGCCATCAACGCCCAACTCGAAGCCCATGTGGTCCGCAAATTTGACATGCGCATCCTGCCCGTGTTAGCGGTAATGTACCTCTTTAACAGCCTTGACAAATCCAATCTTGGGAACGCCAAAACCTCTGGACTCGAAAAACTCTAAATCTGCAAGGAAACGACTACAACACCATCCTGTCCGCATTTTTTGTACCATATGTCCTCTTCGCTCCGGTGCTCGGTATAGCGGGCAAGAAGTACGGCCCGTCTAGGGTGTTGCCGGGGATGATGGCATGTTTCGGCTTCGTCACCATCATGGTAGTGGCCGTGAAGAATTTGGCGACCTTATGGCCGTACGGTGGTTCCTGGGTACTTTCCGAGAGCGCCTTTTTCCCGCTCGTGATCTATTACCTGACGACGTTCTACCGGAGAGGGCAACTAGCGAGGCGGTTGGCGATTTTCTTTGCGGCGCAGAGTATTGGAGTGCTTTTGGGGGCTTGCTCGCGTTTGGTGTATTCCAGATTCAGACGGGGGATCTGGCGGATTGGAGGTATTTGTTTTTAGTCGAGGGGGGCTGCACGTTTTTGTTCGCGTGGTTCGCGCTGTGGTACCTGCCATATTCGGCCGCCAGGTGTGAATTTCTGAGCGAGGAGGAGAAAAAGGTCGCATTTGCAAGGATGCAGCTTGATTCGAGTAGTGAGGTCAATGAGGCTTTCAAGTTCAAGGAGGCAGTGAAAATTTTCAAGCATCCCACGAGTTGGATTATTCTAGGTATTAAATTAACCCCTGGTTCTTCTAGGGATTGCTGACGATTGGCAGGCATTGAAACTTGCTTAGGCATACCGCTGCAGTCTTTACAATTGTTCTTACCAGTCATTGTAGCTCGTCTCGGATATAGTACGGTCAAGACGAATCTCTATACGGTGGCTCCAAATATCTCGGGCGCGATTGTGCTCCTCATCTTAGCATTCAGCTCAGATCTCACTCGGTTGCGATTTCCATTCGTAGTCCTTGGCTTTCTCCTCACATTTACCGGCTTCATCATCTACGCGTCAATTGACGTCAAGGCTCGTCTACACGTCGCATACTTCGCCTGCTTTATGATGACTTGGGGAACATCCGCCCCGTCTGTCATTCTTGACGTATGGTACAACAACAACAACATCGCAAACGAAAACCGGCGTGTCATGTTGACGTCAGTGAGCGTGCCGGTGGCAAATTTGATGGGCGTTGTGAGCAGCAACATCTTTCAGAAGAAGGATGCGCCGAAATATATACCAGCGCTGGCGACCACGGCCGCTCTTGGCGCTTTCGGATGTCTACTGACAATAATTCTAGGTGCTTGGATGATCATTAATAACAAAAGGAGAGATCGCAAGCAGGGAAGGGTGATTAAGGCGATCGTTATGCCAACCGATTTGATGGGGGACGGCAATTAAATTAAGTATCTATCTTATAGATATCTAGAACTCTATATTATATTTTAATTATATCTTTTCTAGTAATATAAAACTATTAATATTAAGAAATTAATAAGTATTATAATACTTAGAATACTATAGCTAACTATTTACTAGTTTATAATATAATAAAAAGTAATATATAAATTATTTAAAGAATTAATTATTAAAAAGTCTAACTATTAAGACTTAAATATATAATATAAAATAATATTAAAAATAAAATTAATAATATTTTTACTAGATTTTAATAGATTTCTAATAAGTATTTAATTTATAAACATTTTATTAAAATTATAAAAAAAGAATTAACTTCTATTATAAGAAAATAAGGATTTTTATTATCTAATATAAATTTTCTTACTTTTAATAAGAAGTTTTTAAAATATTTTCTTTATTTCTTAGTAAACTAGACTACTTATTATATAATAGGGGTAATCTTTACTTAAAGTAGATTTTAAAGAGACTTTTTAAGAGAATAATATAATAATAATATAAAGAACTACTTTTAATATAGATTTTTTTTACTTATTATAGTACTTAATTACTATATTTAGTAATAATACCTAGTTTTTACTAATATACTAGCCTCTTTAAAAGCTTAGATTTATTTTCTTTAAAGCCTATTAATATTAAACTAACTTTTCTATACTAAAAGTGCCTACTAGTATTTTATTAAACTAATTATATAATAAATATTATAGTCTTTAGCTATAATTATTAAAAGTAATTATATATTCTTTACTTACTTTTTAAAATTAATATAAAAGTAAAGTATAAAAATAAGCTATAAATTAATAAATATTAATACTATATTATAAATAATAATACTTTCTATTAAAAAGAGCTAAAAGCTATATATAACTAGGTAAAACATAGTTTATATTTTTTAAATTAAAACTTTTAACACTTTTAAGTAAATATATTTTATTATTACTTTATATATATATAACTTAAATAAGCCTAAGTTACTATATAGCTTATACTTATAAATATAAGGAAAAAGTATTATATTTATAATTTACTTTTTTTTAATAATAATTACTTTTATTTTATTTATTTTAAGGATTATATTTATTAGTTTTTAATAATAAAATTAAAATTATATTTTGATATTAAAAGACTAGAATTACTTTAGAAAATAATAGAACTTTCTTATTAATTTAATAATCTAAAATATTATAATTATAAATAGTTTTAAATAAAAGTTATCTTATACTTTTATATAGCTATAAAACTAATAATTTTAGCTTATTTACTCTTAAATAAGATTCTTAAAGCTAATTAACTATTAATATATTAAATAAGATTTACTTCTACTTTAATATTAAATAAAGTATTTTTTTAAATAAATAAACTTAAAAACTTATTACTTTTTTATAGAATTAGCTTATAAAAAACTTTATAAAGTTGCTACTACTTTAAGTAATTTTTAACTATAGAAAAAAAAATATATTATTTTTATAAATAATTTTTTTTTAAAATTAATTATTTAAAAATTATTTTAATATCTTTAAATTTAATAATTAGTTTATAACTTTAAAGGAGCCTATTTAAAGGTCTATAATAATTTATTTTAAAAAATTAATATTAAAAATATTTAAGTTATTTAATAAGAGTATATATTACTAATAATTTAAATAGCTTAAAGCTTTATAATAAGAGTATATTACTACTTAGTTAGAATTTTCTTAGTTTATAGAAATTTCTTTTTTAAAATAGAATTTAATATAAATAGGAAAAAGCTATATTATTAAAATATTAAATAATAATATTAAGTTATTTTTATATAACTTTTTATTTAAATAACTAAATAATTTAAAAGTATTAATTAATAATATATAACTAAATATTAATTTAGAGATATTTTATTAAATTTAATAAAATATTTAAAAAATAATATTTTTTTAACTAAAATACTAATACTTAAGAGCCTATAAGCTAAAATATATAACTAAAGGTTTTAATTATATTAAGTAAAACTGCAAAAGAAAAATTAGCTATATTATTATATAAGTTTATTAAAATACTTTAATAATAAACTAAGTTAAATATATTATAAATTAATATATAACTAATATAACTATTTATAAGGAAAATAATAATAAAAAGAAATTTAATCCTATAGTTAAAGTACTTATAATTAAAGTTTTTAAAAAATTATTTAAATTAATTAATATAAGCTTACTCTAGCCTAATTATAAAAAAATATATAATAATAAAAATATTATTTATATTTATAAGAAACTAATATACTAGGATATTTATATTTAATTATATTATATTAAAGATAAAGCTTAAATTAAAAGTAAAAACTTAATTTAAAAAAATATAATATTATATTTTTAAAATTTAATATTTAATTTTCAACTTAATATCTTATTTAAAAATAAATATATAAGATTTATATAGCTATTCTTAAGACTAATATAACTCTTTATAAAACTATAAAAAAAATTTAAACTAGTTATTTTATTAGTATTTATAAAATTATAAAAGTAATACTATACTTTAAAAAATATATTAAAATAAAAAGAAACTATATTATATATATAATTAGTTTTTAAATTTATATAATAAGTTAATATAATAGATAAATCTATTTAATATACTTAAGCCTAAACTAATATAATAGTTAAGCTTTAAGTAATAATTCCTTTATTAAAAAATAACTTAAATATTAAAGCTTTTATTAGTAAGTTTAATAATAGAAAAAAGTTATTTTATTATATTATAATAGTATATAAATAAGAATATAAAAAAGTATATAATTTATAATAAAAAGAATATTAAAAAAATAATTATAAAAAAGAAAGAAAAAAAGAACTATAATATAATAAATATTTTATATAAGGTTTATCTTAAATATTTTACTTTTAGTAAGTACTAAGGAATATAATTACCTTTAATAAATAACTTAAATTAAAACTACTTTATTATAAAAATAAAAATATACTAATAAGGCTTTACTATTATAGTAGACTATTACTTAAATTCTTATAATAATAACCTCTAATTTTTTTTACTTAAATATATTACTATTTTATTTATATTTAAATTATTAGGTTTAAAATAACTTCTAGCTACTTTTACTAGTACTAACTTTACTATAGCTAATATTAAATTCTATTTTATAGTAACTATAGTTAATAAGAAAAAAGTTACTAGTAAATAAGTTACTTTTTATAATTATAACTAAAAATACTTAGCTTAATTAAAATTATAATAATTATATAAGTAATTAATAAAGCAGCTTCCTATATTAATAAAACTATTAATATAATTATAAGAATTAATATTATTAAAATATAAATTACTTTAATAAAAATATAAATTATTAACTTTAATAGCCTTAAACTTAAAAGGCTTACTTTAATAATTTTTAAGCTAATTATACTATATAAAAAACTATATATTTTATAGTATTAAACTTATATTAAATAGATATTAAAGTAAATATAAATAAAAATTAATTTTAAATTATAATAAATTATAAAAATTTTTATATAATAGTATAATTAGAAAAATAAAAAAGTCTTTAACTTTAATTAAAGATTAGAAATAAAAATATATTTTAAGAATATAGTAATTAACTATTATATTTCTATAAGTAAATTTAAATATAAGCTAAGATATAAATAATATAATTTTAAATTAAAATTTAATAATACTTTATATATTTATATTAAAAATAAAAAGTATTAATATAAGACTAAATAAGTCAAAAAATCTAGATCTAGTTTAAGCTCTATAAAAATAGAAAATTAAAATTTAAAAAAAATTAAAACTTAGTTATAAATAATTCTTATAAAAAAGGGGTTAAAAAAATAAACTTTAACTAAGCTTTAAAAATTATAGAGTTTATAGCCTTTTGAGTAATAAATTAGTTTTTAGAACTTAGTATTATTTTATAGCTATTATTTATTTTATTTTTAATAAAAGTAATAACTAAGTCTATATTAATATAAGTTATAAAATAAGCTTAATAAACTATTATTTTATTAAACTTTATATATTTAATCTAAAAATTTTAGGGTATAAGTATTTAATAACTTTAAAAATTATTAGTTTTAAGTACTATTTTATAAGTAATTATGTTTTACTCTTATTTTTTATTAAAGGAATATTAAAAAGAAATAAAATCTATATTAAATTCTTAAGAATTTTCTATTTAATAAATAATCTTAAAATAAATATATTTCTAGAAATAGATTTTCTAAGTCTTATATAAGACTTTATACTTAGAATGAAGATAAATTATTTTTTTATAAACTATAAGTTATATTTTAATAACTTTAAAAAAGAAAGCTACTTATTTAAATTAAGATTTTCTTTTTAAACTTATAATATAAGGAACTTTTTATTATTTTATAAATTTAAAAGTAAACTTTATTATAATATATAATAATATAAATAAACTTATAGTTATCCTTGCCTAAAGAAAAGTTAAATATATTATTAAATATAAAAATTAGAAAATATATTTAGTTAATAAGAAAACTTTAAAATAATAAATTTAAAATAATATAAAAAGTAGGAAAAATAACTATAATACTTTAAAAAACAATATTATAAGAAATAAAATAAATACTAAGCTTAAAATAAAGTTAAATAATAGTATTACTATTTATAAAAATAATAATATTACTATATAATTATTAATAATAATTAAAATATTTCTATATATTTTTAAAAATATAAGTAATAATATTAATATCCTAAAAAATAAATAAATAGAAATACTTTTTATTAAAAATTAAAAAATATTATTAATTAAAATAAGTTATAAAGTCTACTTATAAAATTTAAAATTTAAAGTTTTAATTAATAAAAAGTACAATAAAATATATTAATAAAATAAAATATTTTAAATTAAATATTTTATATTTTTTAACTTTTTAGTTTTTATAGTATAGAAAGTAGTTTATAGAAAGCTTGAGAAGAAGCTAACTTAGAAAGGAAAAATCATTATAAATATT